CGGTGCGGGCTTGCGTGCTAAAGCTGCAGCCTCGGCCTCGCCCAAGAGAATAGTGAGCAGCATTTCCCCGCTCACCGCTGCTGAGTTGTCGGATGAGATCCGCCAAGGACGTCACGGGCAAGGCACAACGGGCGAGCACGTCCAGCGAGCGGGCACTTGTGGCAAACCCAGCGCTCGGCGCCAGCTCGCATGTCCACCTCCCACCACATTGGCACTCGGCAGAGGCTGGCGGTCAGGGACTTGTACACGAGCAGCCTGCAGCTCATGCTGGCACCGCAGGCAAAGCCACATGCCGGTCCAAGCCGCGATGCCTCCCTCGTGCGGGACCGGTGACCATTGCATGCTGCGGTCGGGCAATTCGACGAAACCCATTCACGCACGCCGCGCGGCTCCGGCGGCTCAGGCGCGTCCGCGTGGGAAAACGTGCGGATGCTGTCAGGTGTGCGAAGGCACCGCAGCACGGGAACAGCGAGTCGTCGGCCCCGGGCGGCCGGGATGGCTCCTCGAGACATATACAGGGCACGCGGCCGGAGGTGCCGGAGGCGTCGCATCTCCGAAGCGCGGGGAATTGGGCGACCGTGCGGGCCGCAAAGGGAAACCAAAACCTATAAAAACCAGAAGGACCCTCCCGGGGATCAGCGGTTGCGGCAGCGGCCTGACCTATCGAGGGGCCGCAAGCGCAACAGCAGGGGCACTGATCCTGTGGCAGGCTTGTTTCAAAGCGACCAACTCCGGCCATCCTGCCGTCAGTTGGACCGTTGACCCATGAGGTGCAGTTCGACACTGTTCTAGTGGGCAGGAAGCGTATCGCCATCATAATGTTGCATGGTGGCTGCGTGCTCAAGATTTGCTCAAGGTCGCAAACTCCTGATCGATGATGCCTCGCTTCAGAATATGATGTCCGCCACCGTTGATGGGGCTGCAGCCCTCGATCGCCTTGGCGAGCTTTCAGCCGTTGCCGAACACTTGACAGTTTCACCGTTGCGTTTCACCTGCGCTGGCAGCGCAGCGGGGCTGTCTAGCTGAGCATGGCGGATCTCGCTGGACGAGGGCAGAACTTCTCGGCCGCATAGCCGACGTGCCAGGGTGATCGCAAGCGCGTTGAGGCTCGCTCGGATGGTCACGAGTCGTACCACTCACGCCAAGGGCCCGAAATTGCAGCATCCGGGGCGCCAAATCCATCAGACACACCACGCGGACTCGCGCGCGCGCGCAAGCCTGCATGGGCCCGGCGGCGCTCTGCTCCATCGTCCTGATCCAGTTAGGCTGTGCTGCTGCTGTGCCCGCAGCAAGCGCAGCCAGTCGCCTCGCTCAAACGCCCGGGCGCTCGCCAGCGGCACGTCGCATCCCTGTGCTCCCCTCTGCTCCGTCCTCGCAGCTAGCATGCGATGCGCCAGCAAATAAGAGTTTCCAAGCGCGGCAAGCGGGGAGTCCCGCGGGACCATCGCTCGCTTCGCGGATGCGGGTGAGGGCCGTGACCGCAGCGCCCGTCGCACGGCTGCGCGAATGAAGGGCGGCACGTCCTGGGTTTTTGGTCACGCGCTTCTCCCTTGTGATTTTATGCATGCGACGCGTTTGCAGGATATACGGCTTTTGCCTCTGCCGGTTTAAGCCTGTTCTCTTCCGCTTGCCTCCCCAAACCGTTTCATTCGAATTCGTTTTATGCGAGGCGCATCGATTCGATTCAGCCGCACAGAAAGAAAAGTGATGCCTGCTGAGCGGTTGGAAGCTGAGATAGGCCAAGACGTAGGCCCAGGGAATGTGAAGATGTGCGACACTCCAGGTCGCCGGATGCCTCATGTGGGATCATTTGGGAAGCCGGTGACCTTGGACTTCGGCCCTGCCTGCATTCAGAAATTCAAGAGTCCTTTCATGTTTCGTCTGAGTTTGAAAAAGTTGATGGGACAACACGCTGTCTTCAATGTGATGACGCGTGGATTCCGGTATCGTTCAAGAAGAACTCCTTAGTGGCCGAAGCAGGAGTCTTTGCTGTGCAGGCACTGTTCCTGAACATGACGTGTCCGGTGGAGGATTCGAAACCTATGTACGCGACTCTGGCCTTCAAAGCAAGCGAGTTGACTTGTGCTGCACTGGGTGATCCAGTGTGCTCGTGTATGGCCCTTAAGTTTGTCGACCTTTCGTCCGCAATGGAGCCTTCTTTGTGGAAGTTTCGTACCACCTTGGTTCGTCTGGAGGTCGTTGGAGTTTAGCAGAGTTGCAGCACCTGGAAAGTTTGGATGCATGTATCCCGGGAGTGCACGAAGAGGCTTGGATTGTGTAGTTCAGCGATTGTGGTCGACCTGTGGAGACGACCGGAATCCTTTTCGAAGAAGATCCAGGGGAGCTGTGGACCCGAAATCTCAGGGGCCCAGGATGGTCCCCGAAGTGGCCACCCCGGTGGAAGCCAACCAGGGCATTGAGGGCATTGAGGGCATGCCAAATGACAGCAACCAGATGAAGAACCTCCCCGTGAAGCCGTGACCCCTGGCATCCACGATCCCGGAGAGCATAGAGACTGAAGGCATGGTTTATGATCACAATGCCCCAGCAGAACTCAAGCAAGCTGGTAAAGCTTTGCTCTGGCGCTCGAACTTGGCAGCCACCGGAGCCAGGAAACTGTTGCTTTTGTCTGCCAGGTGGTGCTGTGTCGGACCGGGGCAGTGCCGTCGCCTTTCCAGGTCTTCTCGGGATTCAAAGGCCTCCCAGTGAGGTTTCTTGTTTCCAGTGTTGACACTGTAGTTTGACAGGGCATAATTCGAAATTAAAAACGCTTGGCTCAATGAGTTCTCAAGGTTCTTTCCCGATGTTGTCACAATGGAAGCAGCTCAAGTGACATGCGACTCAATCATCGCAAATCCAGCCCGAAGGTTCGCAAACATTGGTTGTTTGGCGGCAGCAGCTGGGATGCAAGCGCTTTTAAAAATTGTGCCACTGTGTCAGTAAAACCTTTTAAGGTTAATGCAGACACGCTTCTTATTGTGGGGCAAGAACTGCACGGCACACGACGGCCACCCTGAACAGCTTGTGGCAACAGCACTCAACCATCAGGAAATGCACGTGTCTCCAGCATGTCTCCCACGATGCGCTTATGTTGTTCTCGGCAGCACGTTTTTGAGCGCAAGAACTGTACGCTTGCCTTCCCATTTACCTGTGGCTAGGTACTCTGCAATCTTCTTCCGGCAGTCTGATGATTTGCAGGTTCACACAGCCAGCGGGCAGCACATCGAGTACGGGTCTTTTTCTTGTGGGCCGCCATTAGCATGATCAGCACCTCTCTAAGTAAGCACAACTCAGGCCCCGTACGAGTAAATTCGAGTTGCCACAAACCATATCACGACTAGCTACAGTCTCAGTCATCACAAGATGGAAACGGAGCCCAGGTTTGTCTGTGAGACGTCTGGAGCCATGCTGAAGCCATGCTTCCACACCACTAAGGATTTAGGCTTGGGGGTATCAACTGCTGAACTGCAAAGTTGATTGATGATGCAAGGGCGCGCTGCCGGCATGGATTCAGACTACAATAAGCGGTGCGGGTACCAGAGGAACCTCACCTGCCACAAAACACCACAAAACATTCATGCAGGCCACACGTTGAGCTTCAGCATGCTGCGATGCTTCAGTCCCTTTGCGACATCATGTCCATCTCCCATGCCGGTGCAGGGATTGCTAGGCTAGGCTCGGTGCCTGGACTTGTGGCTATGGCTGTTGATCTCCTTGGCGTATGATGCAAAGAGGTTGTCCAGGTCACCACTCCTAAGTGTGCCGTGCACGTTTTTTTCAACTGTAGGTTGAACCACTCCCGGGCGGTTTGTTTGCACTCACTTCAAGTGGTGGCTATAGGGACAACGAAGGAACGTGGGTCATGGAGCAGGGAAAAGCTATGCACGGGTCTCGCGCGGAGAGATAGCGCCAGCCTATGGGGTCCTTAGGAAGAGACCGCGTCGAAGCGAACATGTCGTCCGCCATGCCTGTAACAGGCCGACTCGGTAAACCTGAGCACCATAGCATAGCGGAGTGTACAGTCTTCAGGAACCAGTCTCTTGCCACTCTTGCAAGCCAACCCCTTTTCACCAGCCATTTTGCCAAAGATGATGCGGTCCCGACTGACCGAAAAAGAGTCTGCCAAATTTGCTTAGGCTTGGAAGGCCCACAGTGGAAAATCCCAAAGCGGCGCAGCAAGATGCTCCCAACGCGAAAAGACAACAATTGCAATTGCGATGTCTCTAAGGGCACTAAGGCACTGCAGTCACTGGAAGAGAGCATCCCTCGGTTCCGCGCACTCCTTGGAAGGTGCACCCCATTGAAAGGTGCACACCACTGTACTGATGGAAACTTCACACCCGAAGCTGCGGAAAGCCCAATAAGGGCCAATGGAAGGGTTGCCCTGAGTATACCGCCAATCCGGCGGCGACCCCTTCACACTTCCTGAGGGCCTCCGAAAGACAAGCCCCACTCTGCGACTGCAAACGTTAAGCTCTAGCACCATGCAACTTGCGAGTTGAAGGGAGATGTAGCTGAATGCGCAGTGTGCAGCTTGCCTGGAATAACATGCAGGGATTCTCTGTGCAATGAGATAGGTGACTCTGCAAAACCCCGGCTCCAAGATGAGTCGAGGCTTTACTCCAGCCGACTCGTCGAACTGATCTCAGCTGCCATAGGGGAAACACATGGTTGAGAACTCCTGCGCATTTTCTCCATACTCTGCCCAAGTCCAACTCCCCTTAGAAGGCTTGCACCGCCTTAGGCGAACGAGCCTTCGAGCAACTGAGCTCAGATGGGTGGTTGCAGTGGTTGCTACGTCTTCACCACAGGCCTTCAAGTCTTTTTTGCTGTTCTTAAGATCCTAGACTAGACATTGTGGAACATGGCAGATCATTGCAGACGTATCACCTCTAAGTGCCGATGTTTTTGCAGGAGGATTTGGAATCCTCACGCAAAGCAACCGCGAAGTCGCAGATACATTCTGGCAGTGTTGGGCCCGTAAGCCTCGCTTGCGCCACTCAGGGCACTTGAATGGTCCGAGGCCCTTCATCAAGGTCCTGCGCTAAGAAAGTTGACATATGACAACAACAAACACGCGAGATCCGGCACTACTTATGTCAAGGTAAAGACCAAAACTGCACGTGTCCTGCTCACTGATCTCTCCCGGCTCTTGCCAGCGAACTTCCTTCGATTCCTTTGGTTTCATGGCATCCTCAGCATTGCTCTCCTCCGCGCGAGCATACAAACACATGACAACATATGCAACACTCACAACACCCTTCCAGACACCCTGAAGTGAAGACTAAGTGAGGACCCAATAAGTGAAGACCATTGAAGACCCTAAGCGAAGGCCCGGAAGTCGGCGCTGCGGCCTGGAGGTCGCTGTTGGCAATCGAAGCGTCCGGCTTTGACTTGTCGCCCATGCACTTGGGCAAGCGAAGGTAGCCTCGGAGCCGAAAAGCACGAAAAGGAGCCCATCCTGCAGATTAGCATGAAGTGCTGGCTAGGGAGCCAAAGTTGTACTCAGGTCCTGCCAGAGTCAGCAGGGGTTCAGTGCGGAAGGTTGTGCGGACAGTCCATTGTCAGGTCCTGCGAGCCACAGGACTGCCATGAAGAAGATCAAGGAGTAGAGGAAGGAGTACCTGAAGCCAAGACATGGACCCGGAGCAGTTCACGGAAAAGATAGATGTGTCGGCTTGTTGCGACTTCTTTGAATTGCGAGGGAAGGAGGGCAAGGGCGCATGATAGTGACGCAGATCAGCAAAGCCATCTTGATGAAGAAGTAGAAGAAGCACATGAACATCGTCGCGCCAGCCAGCATAGTGGTCAACGCACCTAGACTCGATAGGGGAGAGAGCACCGACACCAACAGGATCCTTTCAGGCCTGCGAAGATTGTCGAGCCCATGTTGCGGATGGCAAACTTGGCTCGCTCATCGCCTTCAAGGAGCTCTTTCCATCACACAGAACGTGACAGCAACAGTGCGGGTAGCTGCAAGATTCTTTGCAAAGCAAGCTGCGAGTCTCATGGCCAAAGTGCTTTGCTTCGCAGTACATGTGTGCCAGGTGTACGACGTAGTCCACGGAGTATCCGATGACAATGACGCCGGCGATTGCTTCACCTGCAGGGCCATCAGCTTCCCAAAGGCCCGAGGCTAATGAAAATGTGAGTACTTACAGAGCAACAAGCCTCAACGTGCTTCATAATGCTTAGTCTGTGCTAGATTGTAGTTGGTTACGTGGTGTCATTACCGGGCTTAGTGAGCCAGTGAGGTGCCTACGCCCAAGTCCCAGTCCATGGCGCTCTTGCAGAAACCGAGCACGCAAAGAACCTGCAAGGGCATATAACATGCAACATGGTGCACAGCTTCCCAGCTTTCAGGGTTGCAGTGCCATAAAGCAACTTGGACGAGGCGCAATGGAGGCAACGGTGAGCACGGCGTAGATGGCGACAACCTGCATTTGTGCACAATCAGCCCTGGGGCCGTGCCGAGTCGGAGCATCGTGAACTAAGCCGAGCTCCATGTTCCGCGTCGAGCTGAGAAGTACCACAAATGAGACCGGCATGGCAATTGCCTTCGTTGGACAGATGTGGACAGAAGGGCCTGCAATTGCAGTGATGGTGCTGAGACCGTGGCGATGCCAGAGAAAAGCCCGTTGATGAGCTCCTCTCCCATGTCGTACCTGAACAGGATGTTCCAATTTGCGTGGGAGTTGAGGCCAGCAGTCGGCGAAACCTCTGAAACTCCCCGTTGCCGTGGAACTTGATGCTCTGGAGGCTGGAAGGCAACAGCCCTGGAATATCCAACAAATGCAACATACGTAACAAATGAGGGAACAAATGCAAGAACAAATTCAAGAAGTGTCCAGAAGAGCACAAGCCAAGTCAGTCGGCGGTCCTCTTTGCTGACCCAGCCACTGACGAAGCATGTCCCGCACTTCTGTTCCTCGCCCGATGAGCATGCTGACAAGCCACGCCAGCTCCCTTCAAGACCCTCCTGCCTATGGAGAAAGGGAGCCGCTTCTTCATCACGCTTCGGAACTTGATGGCGACGTACTTCAGCTCACCATTGATGAAACCGATGTCCTGCACTGCTCGACATAGCACCGAGAGCATCCAGGACTGGAAGCCAGATTTCCACTCACATCCAGCTACCAATGCAACAGGTTACGGTACACAAGTTACCAACAGTTACCACGAAGTCTTTTCACTCAAACATGTCGCTCGAACTCTTGAGCCCCAAGTGAAGGCTTAAGAAGTCTTTCAAGCGACTTCCTTCCAATGAGCATTTCACGACGACTCTTGGCTATCAGCGGCCACGCGACAAGACTCAATAACTTGTCAACTCGGTGGAAGACACTGCACGTACGAGCACACGTCTTTCAGCAGATCCTGCTTGTAGTTCACCTCTTTTCTCATAATGTCTCCGTAGTAGTCGCCTGCGAGAAGCATCGAGAAACCCTTCATGGCAGGGCTCAAGCTCTCTGCTTACGCCGGCTTTGAATCGAACAGGTTTGCAAGAACTGCTGCAAGCTGCCTTTATGGGTGGCTAACTCAAGTACTTACAGTGTCACTTCCCGCTGTGTTCATTCCACGGCACCGACGTTGGCTGCGTTGCGGAAGTTCTGGAGCTGAGTTGTGAAGTTCGCACCGGTAGGCAAAGGTCCGTTGAGCCAGGTCTGAAAGTCTTTCAGGAAGCAGGCGTCCGTCCTTGCGACCACAACTTGCTAACATGGCAACCCCTGGGCCCGGACCCGACTCCCGACATGACATCCTCTCCGAGGTTTGCATGAGGAAAGTCTTCTGGTCATAGCCCGCGTTGTCGCACCCCTGGCAGAGCTGCCATGTTGGGACTTGCATATCTGCTGTATCTGCTGCTCTGGTTCTCTTCGGCTTCTAATCTCTCACGGCCTGCAGGTCACAGGTGATGTTGTGCACTTTGTCGCAGATGCTGAGCAGCGCTGATTGGGCCTGAACCACAAGCCAATGAACTCGAGTTCTCAAAAGAGCTCTCAGCACATGCTTTGAATTTGCAGTGCTGTCATGCCAAATAACGTTCTTGCATCGAACTGGGACCTGAGGCAACTTTTACCGTTCTGGTGCGTACTTTTCTGCACAACTCTTAGAGTTTGGGAGATGCGGAGATCCTCCGGAAATCACGAAATACGTTGGACACCGATGTTTTGCTCATTCCGGAAATTGCCACCAAACGCAAGGCAAACATGCCCAACTTCCCATCCAGGTCCTCAGGAGTGCTCAAGTCGAACCCACTGTCGTAGATGGCAGTGCCAGTGAAGGCTCCTCGAAGGGCATGAGGGGGAAGTCAAGGACGGGAAAGTAAGGGCATAAGATGAAAATGGGGGTTTACGAAAGTAAGGGACCCCGAACATCGACCCCCAAATGGTCCCCTTATACTAAGGACTCCAGTACGGTATCCCTAATTTCGGAAACCCCCTTAATGATGAAATATAGGCCCATCTCCTGGATCATAGACCTGGATGCCGGTCTTGTCCAGGCCTGCAATGCCCAGGAAGATTGTAATGACCTCGGGCGAGAATGCTCATACCGATGCATCCACGATTCCCCCAACTTGCGGCACAAAATTGCTTGGAGATCTTTTTCAGGCTTGTTGAGGCGAAAAACAGCGTAGTTGTCTGAGGATGGGGTGTAGAAGTTGTCTGCCATGAAGTCCTGGATGCTCAGGAGCATGTGGTTTCCTGCGCAGCAAGCTGGGTGTAAAGGTGTTTACAGATCCCGAGCCAAGGCGCCAGGATTAACTTGCACCGCTTTACGTCAATACCCATGGCTCCTGGAAACCAGACCTCTTCGGTTCGTGGAGGAGTCAACTGTAGGGCGAAGGCGATGCCTTCATGAAGGGATTTGGTGGTGAAGGACGTGTAGGAAGCCAAGCTGATGAGCAACTGTAAATGTCATGCGAGCTTGACAGGCAAGCTATGCAGCTGTGGCCTTGAATAGCCACGCCGAGGAGGAGTACACCCAGCAGCAAAGCGTAGACGCGAACTCCGCCCACTTGCTTCGACATAACCTTCGTGGCATCTGTGTGTTTAAGGAACTTCTGTGCCTTCTTGCAAGCAAGCCGCAGGAATGTAGAGCTTTTCAAAGAAGTTCTCCACGACGCCCGCGGACTCCTCCTGCCCGATGGGAGACAGAAGCAAACAGAACTGGCCCCTGTTTGCTCATCCATGCTCCTCATCCTTCTTGTCGAACTTCTCTTTGCTGGCTCCCTCTGGGACGATGGCAGTCGGACGCTCCGAAAGCCCAGGGCAGCAGCAGCGCTTCGATTGCAGGCGTCGATGCCAGAGGATGACGACGGATGGGAAGTAGATCAGCGTTAGCACCTAGCACATCTAGCACAAGCTCACTTTCAAGCACGCTCGATGTCGAGCCTTTAAAGCATCTGAAGAAGGCTGAGAATCAAGCGTACAAGGTGACGATGCACGTGGCTGCCTTGGTGCAAGATCGGTGAACATGCAACAGTTGTCCTTGCGCTTAAATATCCCCTACTTGCTCTCGGAGCTTGACCCAGTAGTGTCTGCTGGTTTATGTCGCCGAGTCAGGCGGCGCCTACTCACCTCGCACATCCCGAAGTCCAACTTCTGTGAAGGTGCGTACCAACCACAGGTCCGCATCGGCATGGCTTTGGACACCTGGAAGAATGGCCATGGGTCACATGCGACACCTCTCCCTTAGAACAGCACACAAGTGACTGTATTCCGTATTCCTGTTAGAACCAGCCCCTGAGGCTGATTGAGGCCGAACATGCTTTTTACTCACAGGTGCCAAGGTGCAGAGCAGGAGGCAAAAGCCAAGGCTGTGGTAAAGGAAGTGTTGAAGATGGCAGTGCCAGCGCGCTGGAAAGTCAAGGACAGCACCCGAATCTCCTGAACAGCCACATTCTTTTGCATAGTCAAAGGAATACCATCCAAGATTATTTATATACTTACACGCAGGATTCTAACAAAACTCTGTAAAAAGATATAACCCATAATTCTTATACATGTGGTGTTCCGCGCTTCGCTGTTGGCGCCTGCTCCTCCGTCAGCCGTCCGGGCTTAGCGAAGGGGAACTCGGCCTGAAAGTGGTACAGCGTTTGGCTGTCAAAGCCCAATGTCATCCAATGTCTCTCCACGCTTTGCAGCGATGCTTTATGATGGTTCCCCGTTGCCCCCTGCCTTCTTGACATGGCAGAAGGTGTCCTTGAAGACGTACACATCATCCGCCCCGATGCCCAAGACCAAATACACCACGAGGATATGCAGGAACTCGAAATACTCAATGCGGAAGACACCTCGCGCGCTGCCGACCATGCAAGCTGCATGGCACTATGACTGCCAAAGTGATTCGCTCCTAACTCTTCGGCACTTTAATGCCAAGGGTCCTTGGTAGATGAGCGAAGCAATTGGCAGGGTCAGAATCTGGGTGGTTCAACTGCACTTTGCTTCACAACTTCCAAAGATGCTGCAGTGATGTTGCCGCGCTGTGTTGCACTAGGCTCAGGTGGAGGCCATCATGAGTAGCGCTGCAGATGCCATGAAGCTGGATCTCATGTGGACCCACCTTCCACATTACGAGCATTCACAGTGCCCCCTCTCTCCCGCAGACCGGGTTGTCCAGTTAAGTACGTCTGAGCTTCCAGCGACACGCCGAAGACAAGGACCACTGAAATGAAGGAAAGTCCAAAGTCTGGAAGGGCCATTTTCTGAATCTCGTTGATCCCGGTGTAAGTCACACGAACTCGAATGTCACCTTTTTTTCGGGAGCTACAGAATGGAAAACGATAACAGATGTGCTGCTGTGACACTGTGTCTCTGCGCCCTTCAACACCCGAAACCTCCCGCCTGATTGGACGAAGCGGTCTTCATCCCCCTGGAAAGCGGAGCGAAGGAAGCCGTAAGCCAGGCCCAGCTTCTCGAAGGCTGGGTTCATCACCTTCTCGTCCTGCTTCGGAACCACCTCCAAGGAACTTCAGGAAAAACAGGATCGGATACTGATCGGATACGAGTATATATTCGAGCATCCTTGTGACCCTTGGGTGACCTGGAACTCGGCGAATGTTCGCGAGTAGGCCGTCTGCTTGGTCTGCGGGAAGTTTGGGTCTACAAACCTTGCAGCCAAGCCGAATCAAGCCGAATCAAGCCGACCAACTGAGGATGTCAAAGGAGCTAGTGAGAAAATACGGAAGAAGGACATCACAAACACACCAACAGTTGCAGCCAAGGGTCCGTGCATACAGCGATTGCGGGCCCTGACAAATAGAATCAGAGCGCGTTTTTGAACGAGCAGCAGGGAGCAGAGAATCCCGGAATCCCTCGAGTCCTTGTCGGTGAGGTCCGTGTGCATGACGTCGACGACGCTGTCGACTTGGGTCTGGGTGAGCATCTGGCAGCTCCAATCGTAGCCAGTGATGCTGCGTGCTGCTGGCACAGATTGCAGCATCGGATCCGCCGCCGTGCCGTAGAAGAGGCCCAGCACCGAATCCGCGGTTGCTACAGCCTCTCCGAAGGAGTAGACAGGAGAAAACGGGGGGTGGGGGGGGCCTTTCTAATCTTCCACTTTTAAAAATTTGCTTATGTTCGACGTGCACGGGCTCCTTCACCAGCGAGTTGTTGGCCATCATGGTCTTCTCTACCTCGCAGATGGTAACCAGCCTTTCTGGGGTGAAGAGGGTGCCAGTCCCCTCCACATCTGTCTTGTAGAAGAAGAACAGCCTGCGAAACATATGAAAACGCAAGAGCTGCCATAACAGAATCAACTTTATTGGCAATCCAACCATACAACAAGATGCGCTGCAGCAGCTCAGGGCGCCTTTCTTGCTCGTAATCCTTTTCATCGTCGCCACTAGCGGCAGATTGAAACTCCTTGTTCTGGGACGATTGAACGACAAAGCTGAACAGAGTATTCATTCATCCCATATGGTACATACGTACATGATAGACCATAACGGACAGTCTGAGCTTTCCACCTCCATGACGCTCTCGCGCGCTGCTCGAAAAGCGCGATAATGCTGCGTCATCTCTCCATCCAAAATCATCCAGGTATCTTCCTGCACCAGGCAACCCAAAGAGTCCACTGGACTCACATGATGTGGCTGCTGAGTCGGCTCTGCTCCAGCAGAAGCGACTATGCGAAATCAGTATTTGCCATAAGCATGGCGCTGTCTGGTGCCTAGACTACCTACTCTTTGCACAGCCGCGCGCTTGTTTTCTTCGGGGTGGCAAGCTGCCCACAGGCCGCCGAGCCGGCTGCTCCGCGGGTGCGTCGGAGGTGGATCCCCAGTAGTGGCAGCTCTTCGTTCACCACTTCACGGAATCGGAGCATTGTTCGATAATCCGATGTGCAAAATTCTTCCTGTCCAGGATTCGGATTGTAAGGAATAAGGTTCAATGCAATGCCAACATCAGGATGCGCATACATTGGGCGCAGGAAATCTGCCAGCTCCCGCGCGTGTTCTTCGTCGTCATTAACCCCAGCAATCATGACAACAGCCACCAGCAAGCGACGATCGGGTGTCACCCCACCTCCTGCTTTCAGCAACTCCATGAACGCATTTCTTAAATCACGGATTGTGTGCTTTGCAGTGGGGACCAGCTTAGCACGCAAAGCGTCGTTGGCTGCATGGAGTGACCACACCACGCCACAACGCATGCCAGCCATCTGCATGACCTGTGCAGGCGTCGGGGCGACAGTGGAGACCTGCAACCGCTTGCGCCCAATGGCCATTCGAAATGAATCGCTCAATGCAGCGACTGCGGTGCGGACACTTTGGATGTTTGCCAAAGGATCGCCCATGCCCATAAACACAACCTTCCGAACCTCCGGAAGGTTGAGCTCTCGTGCAATGCGACGGCCTTGGACCACCTGGGCCAAAATCTCTTCGGAGGAGAGATTTCGGAGTAGCCCCATGTCGCCTGTGCGGCAAAAGCGGCAACCCTGGGCGCAACCAACTTGTGAGCTGATGCATACTGTCGTGGCAGTCTTCACTGGGCTGGACTTCAGAGGTATCAGGACTGACTCCACGGCCAGGCCATCGTGAAGCCGCAGCAGGTACTTCAACGTCTTCTGCGCTCCTTGCGCTTCTGCCTCGCTCTCCATCACTGTAAGAGAGTCCACAGCATCCTCCCGCAGTAGCGACTCCATGTCGGAGTCAAGGGCACGCAAGGCTGCCAGTTGCTTCTGGGGCAAGCTTACAGAAAATGGCGAGATGCCACGGCGCAGCGCAGACCAAACATCTTTCGACACGTTCTCGCCCATCACGACGCTCAGATCTTCCAGACCCATACTTGCAAGTCCTTTGCAGCAAGTCCTGCGTCGCCCGCGTCTTCGATAACTTCCGAGCCGGAGTGTGACCCGGACTGCCCATGCAGCACAGCATGGCACTGACGCCCAAGACCGCCATCGCCTGCGGACTGGAAAGTACCAACCGCGCCCATCAAGTGGAAATTGGTGTGGCGATGCTACGGGCTGCCCAGTAATGGGGGTTCGATGGGGTCGCAGGCATGGCTGCACCCGAATCTGCCCATCCATCCCTCTCTAACAAGTCGCCATCACATCCAAAGCTCCTAGTCTTAAATTCTTGAAATTCTCGAGACTGAGACATGTTCTCCCCGCGACGCTCAAGCTTGACACAACTACTGTAGCAACCAGCATCAGTCCGCATCAACACATGTGGAATCCGTGACCTAATTGCCTAGTAAGGCAGAGAAGCGGCCCAGAATCGTGCAACGGAGCCTTCTGACTCTTCACCCTCTGGGCTGTGCTTCGCACATGCACTGCAAGCTTGATGCATGGGAACGAAGCGAGGAAAACCCCCGATGTCAATATGGCATGAGGCGAATGCATGAGAAGCCAGGTTCATTCAATACTTGACTCGCAGTCAAATTCTTGGCTCACAGGACAGCGCCGCACCCTCGTCATCAAATTCATATATCCCAGGGCTGCTGATAGACCCGAGAGTGCAAACTTGGTTACAAGGCACATCTCGAAATTACGGCCGCACAACATGAACAAACTGTTGCCGCTTGACTGATGCAGACAACGGGCCATGAGGAACACGCATCCTGCGAGGCAAGCGCATGGTTGCCGCACATACCAGGTCGCCACTTTGGTGGTCGCCCTGCACAACGAAACCCATCAGAGACCACCAGATGACTCACACATGACATCAGCACGCACCACCTTATCCCAGGCCTGTCGATCGAAGACATCTCGATGGGCGCAAGTGCGGATGTTGTGAATGCGAGGGTAGCAAGCTCCCTCGATCGAACTACACGATATGCCGCGATTGTGCCTGTCTTGGCTTTGAGGACTCGTTGCTACTAGATTCCAAGCTGTCTCAACCTTGCGCTTCCGTTTCTTGCCTTCTTCTTTTGCATACGGCCTACGGGTCGCTCTCTCAGAGCAAGAAAAAAATGCCTTCCAGGTCATCCTATCGAGAGCAGTAAAGGTAGCTCACAACCAGAGCCTAAAGAGTGAGGCACTAGAGCGTATCAGGGCAACTCAATGAAGACCGCAAGGCTGCCAAGCACGGGACTTGTGGCACTGGAGCGGCCTTGAGAGAGGCTCAGCGGCTCGACAGCTCGACAAGCTGTTGAGGTGCTACTCTGCTGCGCTACAGACTGCACAACGTTACAATAGCAAACCCCTCAGTCGCACTTCAGCCCCAATTTTTGGTACTACTATGTACTACTCCAATCTACTGCGCCGCACTTCGCCATGGCCTGGCCTTTTGCGGCACCCCCAGCATAGGCGCTGGGTCGCTCCTTCTCATGAGATTCATTCGTTTGCATGTATTCGAGATCTCAAGATGTAAACCAACGAGCACCCGATGCGGTCTATGTCTGAGCCACCCGCTGCTGGTGGTGCCAAAGGCAGATCGCCAAACCAAATGACCAAAACAGTCTTGTCCTCAAAGTCGCACGATGTCACACAAGGCGAACAATAGGCTTCGATGCTCTGACGTGAGAGGTGTTTTCAAGCATGCAGAGGATGCCGGAAAACTCCTCCTCTGCCTTGCAAACATAGCGAGCCTCGCCACCTTCGGAGCTGAGGCTGCAGCGTCGTGGCCATCCCTCTGATGCGCGATTTCGAGGAGCTGCCGTGCCGCATTGTTTGCTGGCTCCTGGTCCAAGGTCGATCGATGATGATTAAACTTCGCTAGAGTCGCTCGAGCTTTTTCTTCCTATTTTGCAGACTTTGCACAGCAGCATACGTTAGAGAGGGCTGTTTCAAAGGCTTCGGTGAGGCTCTACCTTTGAGGGCCTCTGGGGCGTGGAGAGAGATTACTGGAGAGCCCCTGGCTTTGCGAGGGCGGGGGTAGTATATGGGATAGTAAACGATACAAGTACAATACTTACATGACTTACATGTATCTTGTTCCAGAGAGCCCTCTACAGTATGAGACTGATCGGAACGCGGCACTGCGGGATTCGCAGGGCTCTCTTTCCGAGCCTACAGCGTCGGGAGGGGCTCTGATCTCTGATGACTACTGGCACCGGCATCTCCGGCGACAAGAAAACCCAGAGTTTTGGGGTGCGAGCCCTCAGAGAAAATCTTCACGCCAAACGGAAGAAGACTTTCCGAAACTCTCCGAAACCCCTGGTAAGCAACGAGAAATATAAAGGAAACCAATTCCGGGTTCGGCCCTCGCTTGGCAAATCTTGAGTGGGGTCCTCTCCGCCTTCGCGCAGTGCACCGGCCACGATCCTCACAGCCTGTTCGCAAGCGCGTGGCAGCTGGGCTGGCAAAGCTGCGTTAAGCTGCGATTATCTCACAGTTGCTGTAATTTCAAAGCTGCTTTAATTAAGCTGCTCTTGCGCTCTTCTTCTTGATGGAGCGTGCCTCGCCGTCCGAAACCGGACCCCAAACCCCATCGCTGGCGATGACGACGAAGCAGTCCTGACATCACACACAAAACAAATTCGACGCCGTTCGATGGGTGCTCAGGAATCTCGATGGTCCTCTCGCAGGTCTATGGCTGACAGAAAGACATCGGGCCTTCGAAGCAACACACAGCAATCAACACAAGCGGAACTTTCCAGGACATCTTGCTCGCTTCAGGCCGTGGCACCGCGCTCACCACCTCAATTGCAGGCTTTCCGTCATGCCATCTGTGGTCCGCTGGCTGGCTGTATGTCTGAATTTCACTAGACTTAGACCTCATAAGTTCGGCATCTAAACTCGAAACCCTTATAACTTATAACCAAATCAACCCAGGCCAAGACACGTTGGTGCCCATCTTGTATTCGATGTCGCCAAACCCACGAGACACCGACAGACCAGCGAGGCCGGTCCCCTAGGCAGAGTGAAGGAAGCTAAGGAGTGACCTATAGGTGCCAGGTGCCTACAGGCTGTGCATGGCTGCGTGTTTGGGCTGAACTCTGATTCTAAAGGAGGTCCTCAGAACGAACTCAAGAAAGACAGTGGAAAAAACTCCCAAGTCTGCCTTCTTGCTGGGTAGCACAATTCTCCAGATGCCGCTGGCTTGCACCACCGCCTTTACCAGCAACATTGCAAAACTGAAAGCACTCCAGCTGCAACTGCAAACGTGCCTCCGCATCACGCAATTTTGCCAAAAAGGAGTTCGAGAACGTACTTCATGAGTGAGTATAGGACTAGGAGCTCATTCCATTGGCACAGCTCAGCGCGAGCTGGGAACCTGACCGCACCTTCGGTTTCAATCCGCTTGCGCTCGCCAGGTACGTCAGGCCTTAAAGGAGCGCTGGAGTGAAGTGCTCAGATGCTTGATGCCGATATATGCCGATCCAATTTTAAGGTCCAAGCGTGTGATCTTCAGAAAGCCGAACGGCGCTACAGTCCTGCGTTGGCGTCTCTCTGCACGTATTTTAATAAAGCCCTGCAGAATCCGTGGATGCACCATGAGCCCCAGGGTGGCGCCTTCCGACCCAACACGGCGCGGCTGTCCCCCGCATTGGCGACTGCCAGTCGCAGGCGGCCATCCTGAAAAGGAAGCATCGTCAGTGCGCTTTACTACTTGAAACTTGCTGTGGCTGATGCTTGCCCTACCTCATCTGGGCCATAGAAGGTGCATGTGCAGGCCGTACTTCCTTCATGCGGCGGTGCCCAGCTCCAGGATTCACATCGACGTACTACATGTCAGAAAGGAGTCCTGCATTGGTCCAGGCAGCTGCAGGCCCCGCATCCAGCCTCAACCAAAAGGCTGGGCCCGCGAGCCAAAGTGGCCAATTTCACCCCACAATCAACTCGCAGGCCTGTTTGCATACTGAAAAAAATTGTGCTCCGTCGTGCGAAACGCGGCTTGCAGGGCAGATCGCATGGCCAAGTCGCTGTTCACCTTCAAAACTGTTGCCAATTTTGGGTGTGTCCTGCCCCCCCCCCCCCCCCCCCTTCTTAGCAAACATCGCCGCAGGCCTCCCGTTTGTTCTGGTGTCGGATGCATTCGAAGACCTGCAACTTTGCAACAATCGCTTGGGCTCTCGATGGGAACACTCCGCGATAAAGTCTAAAACACTCACTCATGCTACCGTCTTGAATCTTGCCACAGTTTTTGTGCTTGTAAAGGCTTACGTTGGATGATCTCAAGGCCTTCCAGTTTCGTCTGCGATGACTTTTTGCAGGTAATTTGGTTGGAGTGCATGCTCAGCACCACACGACGCGATCCAAATTCGTTGCTACGAAGTCACTGCAGGACGCACCTGCCCATTCACACGCGTGCACACAGCACTGCGGTACAGTACTGAGCATTGACTGAGCACATTGGAGCTGCAACCGGGCTGCCAGAGTGACCATCGAAAACGCCGAACAAGGAGACAACGATCTTCCTGCAGCCGGCACCTGCTTGCTTCACGGGTCGGAGGGGGGAGGGCAGCCATAACTTTTCTGAGCCCCATCCTACGGACTCCACGGGAATGCCGGCGCGAACAATCAGCCGATCCTGGACATATTTCATATTTCAGTCTTTTTTCAATCTGTACCAAATGGACACTGCCAAGTCGTCCTCCATGTGAGGCTTGCCGACTCCCCTTTCCTGACAGGCACAAGTCGGCTTGCCACCCAACTGAAGTGGCACAAGCCCACTGCGACGTTCCTGGAAGGTGCCAATCTGCATGCCATTGATCCTTGAGGCAAGCAGCACATATGTCACGTTTGTGATATCTTGTACCAAATGTCAACTAGCACGTGCTGCAGTAGTGCTTCAGCAATCCGTACCAAAATCCTGGCATCTCACAAAGGACATGTCTGAACATTTCTGTGTCAGATGACTTGCCTCAAGACCTTCCTCATTAACAGACAGCTTCAGGAGGGCAGTTCCCAGGTGAGGTACCTCATGGCTCCATATCCTGGGCAAAAAGGGTTAGTCAGGGAACTACCTGCCTGAATTTGTCCTCTACTCCTAAGACTTATGCATTAAATTGCGGCTGCGCGACTGGCAGCCTAGAGATAAGGGTTCTCATGAGTCACGACTTTGTCGTCCAAATGATACCAATACGTGGTCAGCTGGTCATCCCGGAAGGCCAGCCACGGCCCGCCCTCACGGGCGCGTATAGCTCTGTGCAGGATACGGTTGGCCTCACCATGAGCAGGGACAGAGATCTCTGTGAGTGTCGACATGTTCGCCCCGGCCCCGGCCCCGGAGCGACCCCCTTGTTTCCTCATTTCCTGTCCGGGGCTCCCTCCCCGCTTTCGTTCGGAAGTTTCTGCGTGCAAACCTGAACTGTCACGTGCTGGGAAGTGGACTCCCAGTCGTAAAGGTTCTGTTTCCGCACTTCACACTCTCACCCCCCAAGACCTCACCAAGGGAAGTCTTCGGGACCTCTTGTGAGCTAGCAAAACCTTCATCGCCTTTCAAACTTGCCCTTAGTAGCAACCTCACAAGGATTCAGGAACCCCCCCTTTCTCTGAACATCTCTGAACCCCCATCCCAATTTTAAAAGCCCCTAATACCAAAACTTTCTAACCTTCAACGGGCCTTCTAGTTACTATGGGCCTCCTCGTGTGGGACCATGCGGCCCGCACGCCATAAGCGATTCTCCGCGTCTAGGGTGAGCTGCACATGGTGCCGCCGGTGGCCGTGCCCGTGCCGTTCCCAGAATGCCTCCGTGCTGAAGAGGTCGCCTTAAGGCTGGCGGACTTCTGTGTTGCTCGCTCGTCGTCTGCTTAACACGCATTATAGACCTACGTACAATCCGATAGGGCTGAACCAGTCTCAACTCGGCAACCTCCATGGGCAGGGCCTTGGGCCTGTTTACGCAGCCTAGTTGGCGTCATCAGCTCAGTCGCAGCAGTCCTCGCACACCACCTCGGATCTCCTCTCCTGTGCTGAAACCAACATTTCAGCAAGAAGGCGGTGACTTTATTCCACTGCTGTTCATGGTGCCTCACACGATGCATGTCCAAGGTTCTGGGTATTCTGAGCAGGCAAGGCCACCCAAAAAACGGCAGTGCTTTGAGCTTAAGATTGGTGTGCGCATGATTGCATCCGCATAGCCACGGCGTGAGAAGTACTGCCCGTCCACCTGCGTCACAGCTCTCCCTCCACCACGGAAGCAAATCCCCGAACTCCTCTTGAGCTTCACCAGAATTCTGCACGAAGAAATTGCTGGCATCTCGGCTATGAGAAGCTTATGTTTCCAAAAAGCGCCAATTATAAACACAGCAAGAAACCCCAGAAGAAGACGAGCAATAGACCGTAATTGCGAGAAATGCATTAACGATGACATTGATCATCACACCATCGGCCCTGCCTCGCAAGTAGCAGGCTCCTGGGGATACACCGAGCAAGCACACCTGGGATGAGGTTCATCTTGTTTGGCGAGGGCACCCTGTTCTAATCCATTTCATACTTTCCATCGTAGTACCAACACCGGCTAGAACTCAGGATGAGAATCTGCTCCACCTTAAGTGGATGGTGATGACGGCGCTTGCCCGTAGAGTGGCAGCGAGCAAACCCTTCCATACTGAAGAAGTCCATGCACTCCTGTGGTGCAAGAAACTGCGTCATTCAAGTGCTCGGATCTGCTAGGAATTGTTATGGTCGTTTGGGGTTCACTTCTGACAAGCGAGTCCTCACACTTGACCGTGGCGGGCTGAGCCTCCAACTCTGAGCACATGATGATGCCGTCTGGCTGGGACATCATCTCTTGGATTTGCTCTTGCCGAAGCTGCGCAGCGAATGCATCGACATCAGCTTTGACACCAGTAGCCAAGGAGATGTCGTACTGATCCTCAGCGAACATGTCCATGGCCATCTTCACCTGCAAGCGAGCTACAGCAAAGCTGCTGCTTAATTTGAAGCTCTACTTCAAACAGACGCTGGCGTGTGGCTAGGACCGTGGTGCCTTGGTGCTCAATGCAAATTCCGAGCTGGTGTCCACCCCCAGCAGCAGAGCTGCTCGTTCAAGCAGCTCAGGTGTGACAGGTGGCAGCTCGCGATTGCAGCGATTCAATGACTCGTTCAAGATTACAGCCAAGTGTGCTCGGATCCTCCGCCCACCATTAAGCGCTTGTGTCTCAGGCGCCCGGTGGTAAAAAGCCCGCAATCGAGCCACATAACACCTATACCTGTCAAGCATTGGGTGCTTTCGAACCACCAACTTCTTCTGCTCGTGGTAGTATGCCGCGCGCCCTGCATCGTCGTGGAACATGGCCCAGCCTGCCGGCAACTCTGCACCGGCAGCGCTCTCCGCCAACCAGCAAAGCCCCTCATCACGTTCCAGGTCCAGTCCTATCAGCTCGGCAGCCTTCCTCACCCCCTGTCTCGAAGACACTTGATCGGAGCTAGAGTAGCTGGAGTGGTCCACGTCCACCCTTTCCGTGCGAGCCGGCGTCTGGGACTGTCTTGATGTGGGCGACTGTAAAAGCGGTGCTTGGTCGCTTGTATGTGCACGTGAAGGCGAAGGCGAAGGCGAACCGGGCAGCCTGGCTTTGGCTCTCGTGTCAGATCCTGGGAGTTGTTTTTCCGGTGAGGGAGGAGACTTCGAAGAGCTCTCGCTCAGGGCCTTTGGACTCGTTGGACTCTCTGAGGCTCGGGTACTAAGTGCACTCAATGCACTGAGGCTGGGTGCCAGTGGCAGTGGCGAGGGCTCGCGATTTGCCTTCTTGCCCGCCTCTTGGACAGAGCCAGTGCTAAACTCCGATGCGACGCGTGGACAATCTGGCTTGGGCTTCTGAGCAGACGCGGCTTCCATCACTGCTGTCAAGTGCTTCAAGAAGAAGCCTCGGCGTTCTGGTTGAGCCAGATAGTGGCCAAACGCACGCTCACCACCATCATCTCTTAGCACCACAATGGCCATGCTCTTGTCCAGGGAAAGTGGAGCACCCCAGCTCTCTGGCCATCGGATGCTTTCAGGGTCAAAGTCCACAAGGCTGACCACACAGCCACCTTGCGGCAAATGCCATGGGCCTCGGCTTGGGGGATCCAACTTCCCCGGTTCGTAGCGCCGTCTGGATGCGGAGCCCGCTGCTCCCATGCATCTGCACAGCTTGGGGCGCTGAACGTCTTGGCTTGTTAGACTACCCACGGATCTGGTACTGCTTGGTTACCGTAAGTACAAGATGTGCGTAGTTAAATCATGCTTGAAGGGAGCGGGCCGGAGCTCGTCACGCCACGAATATGCGGAGTATATTTTTCACCCACTTGAAAGTCACTTGAACTGCTTGCTGAGTGCGAGCGACACGTTTCAGCAGAAATGTCTGGGGCGTATGCAGCAGCTTGCGGATGAGGGCGTCCTTCTGGCCTGCGCAACAACTCTGAGTCAAAAAGCTGCCGAGCAGCAAAGGCTGTTTGCAAGCCACCTCGCCTGCGTGCTTGTCAGGCACAGCTGCGGATCGCACCCCCGCCACCTGCTCGGCACAAGAGCTGGAGTTTCAAAAGGCTTAAGACTCAACTTGACTCCTGCAGCCTCCGGGAGCCAGCCGTTGCTTCTTCCATGTCTGCTATTTTGTTTCGAGCGGGATCCGGGGATTCAAGCCTTCAATGAGGCAAGCTTACGACGACTCGGATTTAACAGGGCGGCACCATTGTGCCAACCCCAGCAGAAATTGGACAACGGCGTCTTCTCAGCCTGTGTTCTCCACATTTTCTGCCAATTAGATGCAGCTCCTCGACACGTACTCTTTTCACGTCGTGGTGAAGGCATTATACTGGAAATGGCAACAAGTTGCAAGGCTGGGTCGAAAGCGGCGTGCGAGGAGGCAAAAAGGTAGTGCGACGTTGTATACTTAACGTCGTGTGACTTGAAGGGTAACAAGGCCAGTGCTCATCGGGCTCTCAGAGCACCCCAGCATAGCGGTCCACTTGAGGCGCCCCCCTTGTCTTATCTCTCTTCCCCTTGCAATTGTTTATAAAATTACTGTACTCATTCACTCATGCTTCTGCAGAGGTTCTGTCGAATCTTGCGAATCCTCACCAACGAAGGCCGTACAGTGGATTACATGGCGTACATGGGCATATCAAGTTTATCAAGAGGAAGCGATTCCTGAGCACCGCTGCCGGTGCTCGCACTGCGCCTTCAGCACGCCATCTTTAGATGGCGAGACGCTTGACATCGCTTGACTGGGCTTTTGCCAGTCACACTAAAGAATGCAAAGACCTGCAACCTTGAAGATGCTTGAAGATCGAAGATGCTCGAAGCTTTGGAAGCTGAGGCTGGCGCCTGGCCTGGCTTTGCGCAGGCCGGCTGACCAGGGACTCGCCGCATCACGCGTGCCTCGCGCCACCTCCCTCACGACGCAGCCGGCATTCCAGTCTCTTCACTCTTGTTCCTGTGCCTTCTAGGGAGAAGAGGTGCGCCTGAGGAGAGATGTGCCTGATGACGTGGCAGCTTCCAGGGCACTTTCGCAGCAAGCGCGGGATGACTCGAAGCTGATGCTGCGAGCGGGGACCTACCATGCGCCTACGACCTACCGACTCAAAACTTCGCTTCAGCCGCACCACCCGAAGTCGGGTGGCTCAGCCTCTAAATGCGAGACGATGGAAACTCACAGGCAGCCGCACTATCCGCACTCCGCAGTGGCTTTCTCCCCTATCACTTATGCCACTTCTATTGTCTTTGGCGGCTGCCGGCAATTTCCAGAACAGCCTCTCGCTGCAATAAGACCTGCTGGAAAACACGATGCGCAGAGCCAATGAGCCCCGGCACCCTTTGCAGGTTAAGTCCTGGTGAGCCCGGCCAGTCCCAGTCCGATGGTCAACTAACTCCGAATATCTCCGGCTCTCTACTCAGCGAACCACTATAGCTACTTGCTAGCCGGTTGCGGGCCCTCACGACTCCCATGGCTGGCCCCAGCCAAGACACCAAGATCGGCTAAAAACAATGGCGAAGGCATGCGTGGATGCCAGGGGAAAGTGGCAAACTGTCGCCTGGGGCACCTCAAAAGGCGACGTGCACGGTGCGCTCAAGCGGCAGTCAGCGAGAGACTGATCCGCCGAAGCTGGGGCATTCGTTTCTTTCCTATATTTGTTGAGCTTATGTGACAGATGTCCTGCAGAGAGCAAACGAGAAACGACCTCGCAAATGTCCCCATGATGTGGAATGTCAGCGCCATTAAAGTTTGAAGAAGCTTTCACGCTGCCGGAGCAATCATGCAACCCATCCTTGTCTCGGGTTCTCGGGCACGGCTTGGCTTGGCCTGGCTACAAGGTCCTTACAAGCGTTGCTGCTGCTACTTCTCACCAGCCTTTACCGATTCCCGTCCTCATCAGCAACAGAAGTTATCCGCTTAAACGTCGGGTGCGCGCTGGCTTCTGAGCGTGCACGCCTTTGCAAACTCCTGCGATCTCAGCTGCAGCGCCTCGGCGTGAACTATGTGCGCATAAGCCGCTCGTTGCTTCGCGCAAGCAAACCCCTACGTGCAAGTAGGTCCTTAGGTGCCCGGCACGCCGCAAATCTCGGGGATAGCTCCAGTGCCTGTGCCCCAACGACATACTAGGCCTAGACCCGGTACCACCCCAGCCACGCGAGCGGATGCTGCTCTGGAACGATCAGCCAAGCTGCAGCATGCTGTAGCAAAGGAAGCACAAACCCCAAGATGCCGCCATCAACACCAACACAATCTTTGTCAAGTGCACCTCGGAAAGTACAGCCACTTCCTGACTGAATGGTTGTTATGGCACCATCACGGAGCTCTTCGACGGTAGCGAAGTCTCAGCTTTTGGCACGGTCGTTGGGATCAGTGAGCGACGTCCCATCCTACGAAGTGTGCTCCGCAAATCATCTGCATCTGTTGTCTGTTGCATGGTGAACTTCCACAGCACGAAGTCTGCTCCCGTTCCCCGGCGGTCATGCACGGATGCCTTGTAGTCAAAGACGAAAACTTTGATCCCATTCAGGGGAGGCATGACCTCCGGACATGGCCAAACTAGCCAAACATGGGAAAAACCCCTCGGAACACGACTCGACGGGCTCGACAAGCTGACGCTGGGCTTCAGGCACCCAGGCTGTGGCCAAATAAGTGAGGTGCAACAACCTTCGGTGTGCAGGTCTTTACGGGTGCATTCCTGTTTTGTGAGGCATTGTGAGGCACCTCTGAACTCTAAACATGCAGGCCAGTGACTTCCATTGAGGACGTGAGCATGCAGCCGAAAGCCCCTTCGAGGGCTCCCTGCCACGCCAGGATGCCACTTTTTCTGCCCCATGGGGCCAGCTCCGCAAGCATCGGCAAGCATGCCTTGGAAAGAGGAATGACTCGGGGAACGACTGCATGGGCACGAAGCTCACGCTCTCTGGAAGCTTCCGAGGGCAGGGCTCCCACCGTCCAACTGGCCACAAAAGCGGAGCCGCAGATCAACAACATCTCGTAGGCGAAGGGCCATTGGCTTGGCGGTGGGACCTTGCCGATGTGCGAGATCGAGATCTCGAGTTTATGCTGCGCAGCACCCTGAAGCCCTGAGGCCCTCACCATAAACGATACAACAAGCAGAGGGAAGCTCAGCGCCAGCGACACCTAGCGAAAGCAGGTGCAGCCACTGCAGCCCCAACGATTTGTAGATAAGGCTCTGTTAGAAGAGTTCGGCCTGCGCAATGCAAGGACGACCGTGCACGGGGAAGGACCTGCACCACTTCTCGACACCAAAAAGCAGGAATGTGATTCGAGAGAGCTGTTCAGTACGAGGCTGCTCTCATGTTGCCGTGACTCTGTTAAAGCTCCTGGCAAGGCACTCGCGCACAAAGTGGTTCCGGACCGAATCTTTTGCGACATCGCTGGACCCGATTAGCAAATAGGTTTAGATGCTAAGCGGAGCTATGCTAAGACATGATAACAATGCAAACAAACGTCCACCCCAACGATACAAAGATGTACAAATATTTAGTCAAGCAACTTATTTTATTTCGAACATCCCCACCCTCTCTTGGCAGAGATACTCTGGGGTTTGGCACTCCAGGGACACTCTGGGGCTGGGCACTGTGGGAAGACTCTGGGGTTGGGCACTCCTGGACTCTTGGGGTTGGGCACTCCAGGCAGGCGGTTGGGCACTGGGCACTCCAGGCAGACTTTGCGCTTGGGCACTCCAGGGAGACTCTGGGGCTGGGCACTCCGGGAAATTCTGGGGTTGGGCGCTTCAGGGAGACTGTGGGGTTGGGCACTCCAGGGAGACTCTGGGTTTGGGCACTCAGGGAATCTCAGCGACACGGAGTAGACCGGGCGAGGAGAAGAGTTCCGGGCGAGGAGACAAGTCGAGTTTAAAATCTAAAAGCCCCACACCGAGGGTGGTGAAAAACTTCCAGAGGCACCTGGCCAAGAGGTCAGCCAGCACTCCACCCAGTAGCGCGCCCAGCGCAGCTGAGCCCTCTCACAGTGAGGGCAGTGAATTGAGTCTCTGGGATACTGGCTGGCACTTAGAGTCTTAGAGGCGCTGTATTCAGTTCGGAAAATGGAGAATTTGGGAGCCATTGCAGGTGCCTGGGCCGACGAAGATAGAATCGCAACCTGCGCACTTCGGTCCCGTGGGATCCCGTGGGCCCGGGCCACGTGTTTATGGCATGTGCGTGGAGGGGCGCCTCCCAGTCTTCGAATCCGTAGGCTCTAAGGAACAGATGCCTGAATCCCAATGCCCAGGGCATACACATGATACCTCGGAGCATCAATGGAAGTGGATACAGTGCAGGTACAGGCCGGTTCGACCGTCTGCAATAATGCTTAAGGCCACCACAGGCTTGAATGAAGAGGAGCAGAAAAGATGGGAACTTGCCTGGGATACCATGGCTGATACGCCCGCTGCCTATTTCGGTGCTGTTGCCAGTCTAAGTCGAGTTGCAATATCCTTGTAGTCGCCAGAACTCAGCCCTGATGCCTGCGATCTGTACTCGAGACTGGCACTGTCAAGGCAGGAATCATGATCACATCCCTCACTGGACCACTTCTCCAAGTCATGCCAGGCACTGACTTACGTCCCTTCTCTTCTTCTTCTTCTTCTTCTTCTTCTTCTTCTTCTTCTTCTTCTTCTTCTTCTTCTTCTTCTTCTTCTTCTTCTTCTTCTTCTTCTTCTTCTTCGTCTTCTTCTTCTCCTTCTCCTTCTCCTTCTCCTGCTCCTTCTCCTTCTCCTTCTCCGTCTCCTTAGTTCTCCTTCTTCTTCTTCTTCTTCTTCTTCTTCTTCTTCTTCTTCTTCTTCTTCTTCTTCTTCTTCTGCTCCTGGGCGACCTCTTCTTCTAGCGGGCTTGAGAAAAACGCCCCCGACAGGAGCCACTCCCGCGCGCCCTCGCTCTCTGTCCTTGTTTGTTTCTTTCCTTCTTTCGAGGGGCTTGGAGCTCTGCCCCGCACCCCTGTACAGAACGCGCGAAACAAGGCAGGTTCGTGTCGCCTTTTCCCGTAGGCCCAGTACAGTGTTCAGAGCTGTCTCTCTCACTCTCTCTCTCTCGTTTTCTCTCTCTCTCGGTCTCTCTCTACCTCTCTCTCCTCCCGCCTCGAAAGCCCTAACCCTCAGCCTGAAGGTTGCTCGCTTTTCCAATACATGCGAACCCTCTGGAAGGTTGCAAAAATGGGGTGGGGCCACGGCTCAGTTCAACAATTCGGATCACGTGTTTCCTACGACCCTGATCTGAGTAATTCTGTGGCTTGCTCGCCTGCGGCCCCGATTCGCACCATTTCGGCATGCTCCAACATACGCCCGCGCACAAAAGATCCGCCCTTCCAAGCTATGACGGCTTCCTGAACCAAGCTTTGCGACGCAGAACGGCCCTGGCACCTGAGGGTTGTTTCAGTTCAGAATGAGGAGGCTCATACTTCACAATAAACGGGTCTTGACTCTTGCTTGCGCGCGTCTTTCAGTTTCACAGAAAGTGGCTGCGCTCAATTCCTCTTCACCACTGTAGAGCCGGAGGTTTTGCATCCCGCTTGTGCGGAGGAAGATACTCGGGGGGGAAAAGCAGTTTCCAGATGTTACCAGTCGCATGCAATCAAAAACACGGTTTACATTATAATGCATCTCACGCCTGAGTGGAGGGTATGAAAACAGCGCCTTGTTCCTCATCCACTGCAGGAGGCTCACGCGTTGGTTCCCGCAGCAGAAGTGAAACCTGAGCACAACGCCAAAATCATCACCAAGCCAGCATACAATCAGAGAATCATGGGAGGGTTGGCTCATGCAGGTCGAAGGAGACCTAGGTTTTGGCTCACACAAGCATTTTCCACACAACGCCAGTCCTTCCTCGATACGCATCAGGTGCTTGCCGCTATGATCCTATGTTCTATGTCCAAGTTCAAGTCAAAATGACCAAGCCCGACGTGTCCGCGTCACTGCTTGGCGGCCCTGGATACGTGCGCCAAGCATCAAGGCTGTCACAAGCAAGCTGCTTAAACTTCTCCACGCACTCATCCGATAACGCGGGTGGTGCCCACTGCAGGTCGCGCAGCTTCTCTCTGCCGAAGCAGGCAGCAGCAATTGTTAGGGCATGCAGGTATAGGCCTTCTTCGGATGGGTGCTCGAGATCGTCATCCAGCAGGGCATCCCGCAGTTCTTCCAGCTCTTCGACCGTCCCGACCAGGCTATGAGCCAGTCCGCCAGGAGCAACGCAAACTCCCAGGCTCTCCTCTGCACATTTGTGCGCCCAGCAGATGTCTCTCAAACGAGTGCTGGGCAATCGCTCGTATGGATGGGCCATGTAAACAACTGGGACAGCGTCAGTTGCTCGTACCACCTCCAGAAATTTCGACAACACTGGCAAAAAGTGTTCACAGACAACGCGCCATCTCTCCCGCTTTTCATCCGCTGGAGCTTTGTACTCGGGGAGATCATCTTGAAGGACAACTACATCCCATCCTTCATGGATTTTTGCCTTTGCGTTCCCCGATCGCCAATGCCTAGCCAGGGTGGCCCCTGGCAGCGTCTCAGCATGAGCATCAAAGCCCCAGCTGCGGAACATGCTGTCCAAACCTCCCGACCAATATGTCAGCGAGTTGCCAATGAAGAGCATGCGAGCGGGTCCAGCAGAGGGCGGCATGGCGAAGATATCGGTGATTCCACTTCCAAAGAGACTCTTGCAGGCGAAGTGATGGAGAACATCAAGGTGCCCCAGTGCCCCAACTCTTCCGACCCGTTGTGACTTCACAACAACTACTACACTACTACTATAGCAGATATTGGCCAACATGCTTCATAGGTCCAGGGCCAAGTGCGAACAGTGAGCAGACAACACGACGTTGACAGAACAGGCGCATGCGACATTCCTTGCACTTGACACGGAACACGGTCTGTGGGCACTGCAATAAAGCTCACCAGGATGGACACAATGCCGACGCTGAGCACCGGGAGCCTCCAGCCCTGATACACAACACATCACAACGAGGTCCTCTACCACGGGTCTGTAATTTATAATGCAAAAAGGAACAAGAGCAATTGCCGGGGTCCTCCAGGCCAAGAAAGTGGCGCGTTGCGAGCCATGGGCTCACGCAGAATGCCAAACCGATTCCTCGCGCTTTCATGCGGTGGAAGCTGCGCAGGGACATGCACAAAGCATGCACAAAAAGACCCCGTTTGGAAGCCCTTGCCTAGGTAGAGTGCCCCGAAGAGCAATCCGAAGGCTGATCCGCGGAACTCGTGCGTCACCTCGGCGATGAGGCCGAAGCCCGCGGGGCGCAGGGAGGCCTTGGCCAAGGAGTTCAGCGCGCCAAGCACCAGCAAAGGCACCTCGGATTTGGCATTGGGGAAAGCGATCAGAATCTATCACAAACTGCCTCGGAAGGCCCTGTAAAGGCTCCACTTCGGACCCTCTTGGACCAAAATCTTGACGATTCCTCAAGCCTCACGTCTCGTGCATTTCATGGCACCCGCGACGATGCCGCGGGGAGAAGGCAAGTGAACAGGCCCTGGAGGAAGGCCCCCAGCACCATCAGGGTCTTTCGATTGGCCGCCGCGCTATCAGCCAAGGCCTTGACAACATCAAGGTGCACCTCCCCTCAAAAAAGTCAAAGTGTTTGGCAATTGGACTCTGGACATCGTGCATGGATCTGCCGTCTGGGCCCGCAGCTGCCCACACAGGTGATGCTACCGCAAGGCAAAGTGCCTGCAGAAGCCACAGTCTGAAACCATCCAAGCAGCTCAGGCTTGCGAATATGGTTTGCAAGACATGCAATCGACACAATGTAAGCTGGCGCCTGCACGAGTACTAGCAATGCTATGTCATGTTGGGAGAGGTTCAGGTCGGCTTGCAAGGAGGACGCAAGGGCCGGGAGCACGACAAGGTCAGCTCCTGCCGAGTCTCAAGGCTACAACTTAAGGAATATGATTCCGCATTCGGACACTGGCATCAACTGGCATTTTTTCGAAGTCCGGCCTTCGACAATGCCGACTGCACCGATAAGGCCATAAAGTGTGCTCTGTGCCTGTGGCTTGCTCTCCGATGTGCGCGAGCTACCGCTCGAGCTGGACATAGTCACAGCTTCCGTCGCACTTCTCCTAGCACGAACTTTCGCACAAGCATATGCAAGTGCTCTTTGGCCAACAGCAGCTATCTGTGCCTTCTGTCACCCACCACTCTCTCTCGCTCGCTCGCTCTCTCTTCTTCTACTTCTTCTACTTCTTCTACTTCTTCTACTTCTTCTACTTCTTCTACTTCTTCTACTTCTTCTACGGGGCTTGAGGGGCGTGGCCACCCCCTCGCTCTAGGCGCTCCCAGATCCCACGTCCAGTCTCTTCGCGGTTGGCTCCCCCGATCCAATACTCCCGCGCTCTCTCTCTCTCGCTCTCTCTTCTCATTATTCTGCTTTCTTCTCCTGCGCTCTTTAGAGTCCCTCCCGAGGGAGACACCCGGCCGCCATGGCCAAGGTTTCTAAGTGGCGGGATGTCGGCCGTCTTGGGGTTGGGGCTCAGATTCAAGTGGCGAGTATGGATATGAGGATGACGAAAATCGATACCGCAACAGTCAATCTTCCCCCTCTGTGCCCGCGAACGTCAGTCACTACTGGCCCATCATGTCTTCACCGTCGACCTCTCTCTCTGTCTCTGTCTTGGTTCTTGCTTTCGTTCTTTCTTCTTTCGTTCTTTCTTTCTGCACACCTAGCCCCCTCCCATTGGAGGAGGCCGCCCGTGGGCGTGTCTCTCTTCTGCTTCTTCTTCTGCTGGGCACGAGGGGTCCCCCGAAGGAGCCCCACGCGCTTGCGCGCGCCCGGATCCTGTCCTGTTGTGAGCCCAGAAACTGGAAACTCAGTGTGACACACTCCCCGATATCAATGGGCTCTAAGCCCCCAATTACACCCCTTCTTCTTCTACCGGGCAATTACACCTCTCTCTCGCTCTCTCTTTCTTTCTTTCTTTGGGGCCTGGAGGTGAAACACACATTCACATCACAGCCCTTTGGCTGCCGCATCACCACCTGAGCAGGGCCTGTTTTCGACCCGTACTCTGCCTTTCACAGCGCTATGTCCCTTTCTCGGCCCATTTATCGGCCTTCTTTCACAATCCTACACCCCTCAACCCCCGTCCCCCAGATTGTTACCGGGCCTTGGCTACATGGTGGTGCAATATCGGCCCCCTCAACTCTCATCAAGGCTGTACTTCTCCCCTTTGAACCTGATCCCTCTCTCTCTCTGTCCATCTCTTTGATGGGCATGTACGGTATGACAGTCGAGACCCTCTCCCAGAGTTCTTACATATAGTCACGGGGCTTGAGACCTCAGGCCATCTCAGACCCCTCTTTGCCCAGGTGCCTAAATGTCTCGTCAGGTCCTGCTAGGGGCTTGCCTCACCAAACTTTTGGGCTAGCATCTGGCGGTCGCCCCGGCCTTCTCCGTTGCTTTTTCGTCTCTTGATGGTCGGGCTCTTCCTTGGACATGGTGAAAGCATGTGAAGCGCTGGTATGCCCTGGCATTTTTCAATTCCAAGGCAACCCAAGGTACAAGAATCTCAGGTGCAGCGAGTGCGAGCCGAAGCTGATGTAGCCGCTGCTCCACTGTCAAGACTGACGCCTCGAGCAGACGGAAGTCTGTCCAAGTCCTGCACCTGCTTTGAACCTTTTCAGCATCCTCTTCAACCCTTCTCACCGGCCCTGAGGGAACTCGGGCCCCACCTCCGGTGAGGACGGCAGGTCCGTGGAGGCCGAGGGTTCCGTGGAACTGGAGGACGCGCTGGAGCTGGCGGCACGGCGTTCCTCGAGGCGCGCTCTTGAGCATTTTTTGCGCCGTGGCAGGGGCGCTTTCTCGTTTCTTCATCGACGAAGCTACCTGAAAGCCTACAAACCAACATGAACCCTCAAGAACCCTCGACATCCACCTGCCGAACAACCTTGTGAAGCCTGGACATCCTCGACATTCCTCAACATTCCCCAAACCTTTGACTTGCACAACCTTCTGCCTTTGTTCTGCATCCCCTCCGCAGGTCCGCAGGCCTGCAGCCGCTTCAGAGCTCCAAAGGCCTCCTCGCTCAGCAGCAGCTTCATGCCCGTGACCGGCTCTTCCTGTACGGAGTCCTTGCAGGTTGGCCGAAGCCCGCAAAGCCAAAGCATCCGTGTTGCTTGTTGCCTTCCGAACTGCATGTGCTGAAAGTGTGCTTTGCCACTTTGCCGTGCCTCATCACAGCTGGAAACTGACATGCACAGGATGGAGGGCACCTATACGTCCACGCCGGCCCAAGATGTAGTGGCACCGGTACTTCTGCTTTGCCAGACTACAACATAACCTAGGTCTTGCTTGTGGAGCCGATGCACTGAAACTTATAGCAAGTGCAGCACGGCTTTGAACATAGCAGCTGCGCCAATGCCAGCATGGATCAGCATGGCAAAAAACAACAGCAGCTGTCATCAGTAATGAATTACTGAAGGCTGAACACGGCTGAAGCATGTCTGTGCCCAAACGACATTCATTGCCCGATTGAGCCCAACCTGCACGTTGCAAGCTGTTGGCTTCCCATCGACTTGAGAAGTGATCACTTCGTATGTGACCACCGAGCCCTCCGAGACTGCCTGCAGCAAGAGGAGATCCGACACAAAACTGCCTATGTGCCGAACAACACTGTACAGCCCGGCCTGCGCATGCGGTCCCTCGGGCCCTCCTTCAAACCGACTCTTGTGGACGAAGACCTGGAACTTCTTCAAACACACAAATGTGGGATCATGTCGGGCATGGCACGAACTCAAGCCCCAATGCCTCCTCCAGCTGGCCAGACGGTGCGCTCGGCAGGATCTTGCCAAAGCCTTTTTCCTTGCCTGAACACTTTGAGCTGTCTGGCAGAGCCGACACCACCACAGGGCCCTTGAGCAGCTGACTGAACCACTTGATGCGGCCCTCGAAACGTGGGGGGCCTTCGGCAAGCAGTTGTCTCGCATGGCTCAAGGTCACAGTCTTGCCGCTTCTCCGCAGCGCCCACATTATGTCATTGCCACGCAGGATAACCTTTGCTTCCATCGATTCTTCCGCGACTTTGCTCCGACCGCTGCAGGCTGCTTGTTGCAATCCACAGTGAAACTCACATGCAAGCTAATAACTTCGTAACTGTCCTTGTAGCGAAACCACACTTGTGGGTGAAACTCGAGGGAAAACTGGCACGGCCAGCGCACCTTTGCCTCCAACAGTCCGGAGTAGGGTCTTGCTGTGGCACACATACATGCGCCCAATTGCAGATTCTGTGCTTGGATTGGCATAAACAGGCAAGGGTGCATGTGATACATGGAACAGGTCGAGTCGGGCCAGCTCAGGGCAACCAATCACCAGGCCTGATTCGTATGTGTCGTGAAAGCGTATATGCCCTGCAAGAGCCGGTTTCAAGGTGATCTATACAACCTCAAGCTTAGGTACCCAATCTCAATCTAACACGCCCGCCCGGGCAAACAGCATCAAGCAGTCGCAGTATATGAGCAGCAGCACAAGCAAGATAAGCAAAGGGCCTCCCTCTGACCCCGCGCGCGCGAGATCGCGCTCCACTTGGTTAGCGTCGTCGACGGCTTGGCCGCATGCGCCGGCGCCGCAGGAATGGCCGGTCCAGTCGGGCAGGGGCGCTTGCCTGAAATAGGCAAGCCAAGGGGGGTATGCCATGTTTTGCCCATATGGTATGCCATGATATGCCATGTTTTGCTTCTGTTGAGCTGAAGTTTAGACGAGCCACCGTGTGCGTGAGCTTCGGGCACAGTGGAACTACATTGATGAAGGTCCGCTCTACCTTGATGTCCCATTCGCACATGCGCGCGTCATCGCGCTCAGAATCCGCGGCAGCAGGATCGTTGCCACGCAGCTGAGGTTGCGGAGGTTGCCGGGCATGGCGAGCGGGCTGGCTTTGACGCTGCCCTATAGAATCTGTATTGCCAACGCGACACTCAAGATTCACGCCTGATGGATCGCGATCTCTTGGACCTTCGGTGTCCTGCTGCAGTGTCGCCTCCGGTTTGGATGCAGCCCGCAAGGCTGCAGCAGCCATGGCTCGATTTGCCACGTCATTCCGAAAGTTGGCTGGGCCGGATGTGTTGCAGCTGCGTGCCGCAGCAGCTGCTGATCTGCCAGCCAACACAGCCGTTGCGGCCATGCGGGCAGCAGCTGCTTGTGCAGCTGCCAAGTGCTCGCTTCTGGTGCGGCTCATGGAGCCGGCAGTGAGCTTCCTGTCAACAATGCACGCCCAAAGCAAAGGGCCTCCGGCACTCCCAGACGAGGGCACAAAGAGCCATGGGCGCTTGGAGGGGCTTTTGAGAGGACGTGGCTGTACAGGGCCAAGATGGACGACGTCCATGGCGGCAAAAGAATTCTAGAGGCATGATTGGCACAACATGGCACAACATGGCACAACTGCCACTCAGGACCCTGCCTGTTGGCGCTGCAAGTGGTGCCTCTGCAATTTCAAAATGCAGGCACAAGCCTGCCTTGAACCTCACAGCCTTACCTCGCTGGGCTCAAGCCGCGGCTTTTTCTCTGGAGGCCTCTCACAAAGCATAATGCTGACAGAATGGCTATGGCAGCTGCGGCGCGGTCTGACACTTGCATGCCAGACTCGTCTCGGCACACGGCTCGCCGTTCGTGGCTAACTCTGCGAACTGATCCACGCCGCCCCCATTTAGCGGTAGGACCTCAGCGGCGCCAGCTCATACGATCACACCGCCTTCGTTGGTTCTGGGCGAGAGGCCGCAGAAAAAGGTGCCAACTACTGGGACCCCGAGGACCCCCCTGAACTCATGAGGTGCGTGGTGCTGCACCATGCGACACGGGACTTGTGGCTTTCCTTCGTCTGCCATGCCATGCATGCGCACGCCACACCCCGCATTGGGCCTGCCCGGCTGCCGAGGTGGGGCCCGCAAGCGTTAACAATAAACCTGCCTCTGGCTCACTCTTCACTGACTCGTCGTCTGAGCGTATTTTGAGGCTGGGCTGTAGGCTCGTTGCAAGTCTTGACCTGGGCGACGCACGCAGCGTGATCATGCCAAGGGGCATCTTTGCATCTGAGGCTGAAGCGCTTGAAGTAGAAGAAGCTGTTGTTGGGCCCTTTCACCTGTCAGGAACAAGCTTCACCCTTCTTGAGTTACATCGACAGCATGCAGCCTCTCGCGCTGCACCGTCTGCTCTGATGGCATACTTGTCCTCTAAGACATAAGCCTTGGCCAGTAGTCGCACACGCTTAAACACACTGAACCCTCACGTCTCAACACCGTCTTTCGATAGTCTTGCATATCATTCCTGAGGCAGTTTCCCGCGTGATGACACCCTGCCGACCTTCCCCAAAAATCACGGCCTCTGCAAGAGTGTGGTTAGCGCTTCTCAACAATGGCATCTGATGTGCTGCTGTGTACTGCTGCGCTTGCAGCTCTCTGCGGCACTACGCTGAGCACCGGTACGGCTACTTGTTTTGGGCCCTGCTTGTCTGGCTTGGCAGGTCCAAGGCATACAGGCATCACAAGAATCAGCTGCCTGGGGCCTTGTGGTCTTGTTAGTGAATTCTGAATGACACAGAGGCAGGGGAGGGCACCGTTGTTGCTAAGAAGGCCGCTCTGAACTGCGAGCAGCCAAGACACTAAGATGAGCATCAGCTACATCAGCTACCCTGACCCTGCTAAGAAGCTTCAGTTGCCCGGCCATGATAGACAATGACCCAGCCAAAAGTGACGAGAGTTCTGCGCATGAGGTGGCCAAGCTCTGGTTCCCTTCATGACGACCGCTACGGGCCTCGACCAGATAAAGTCATATGAAAGCAAGGAGGCTCCGAACCTCTCCACGCTGAAGCGGCTCGAGTGGCTCTGCCACCTGGCGAAACGTAACCCGGAATACCTTCAGCCTATGTTCCAAAAGGCTTTCACCTCGCAAGAATTGGAAGGCGTAAGCTTATTCTGTCGAGTGGCCGCCGTGCCATCCGGTTCTGGTGCTCTAGCATCTTCCATGAGCTCGGCCACATCCACATCCCGGATGGAGGCCCAACTGCAACACCCCAGGCTGCCTGTGACAGCTATCCGATGCTATCAAGGTGCATGACCAAGAGTGTGGACTTCAAGTGGTTGGTCTGCTGAATCCACCATACATGTCAACCCATGCCCCAAGGACCCTTGCATGTGAACTGTGTTGTGGCGTCGACTGTTGACGTCCGAAAAGAGCGCATTTGCAGTGGGTTGCATGGATGGTCTTGGTTCATATGTCTATGCACTGCGCGAGCCAAAAAAAGGCAAGGCGATTGGACTTAACAAGAGTCGTTACCGCAGCCACCTGGCCTCAATGGCTGCAATCAGGTGTTTCGGCTGCAACAGCGTCTCCAGCTTCTCTTCAGCTTGATGGCAGCAACAAGCGGAGGCGAGAACGAAACTGACGCAGCCAAAGCAAGTTTTCAGCTCAGCGGTCCGTCGGCACGGCTTCCCGGAGCTGTGTAGTCGAGCCTGCAGTGTGGGGGGGGGGGGGGGGGGAGAAATCGGATTCTCCCTAGTGGCCTCGGTGGCCTCTGAGGACAGGACTTGTAGCGCCTTGCAGCAGCAGCCTCTGCATCGAAGAGGGCGGCACCAAAAGCAGCTGCCTCGTACTTTGTAACTTTGTTACTTCGTCGTAGCTTGCAATCCGTGAAACCACATGAAATGAATGCCCCCACGTGGCCTCAAGGCTTAGGCGTCGCCGGCCCTCGCCTGAGGCACAGCCAGACGCAGCAACAATAAAGCATCGTCAAGCCGTGTACTACATGCCAGAACTGCTTTGACAAGCAGTGAAACCAGTGCTTGCTTTACCTTTCTTTGTCTAAGGTTATGAAGTTTAAGCGGGAGCTGAACCTGGACATGGGACGAGTGGGGCAGGCGGGACAAGCGGGCATTTGCTAATATGTTACAATACATTGTCCACTAATGAATGAACGGGTAACCAACAATGAGCAAAAAAATATACAATGGTAAAGTCCAGAAAGCTGTTCCGGACATACGAGCATGCGACTTGTGATGAGTTGTTCCCATCTGCTCCAATAATGGAACCTTACCTATCAGTATCCATTCATCCCTGCTTCCCGGTGCACAACACGCGGCCTGACAGCTGCAACTGCTCGACGGCCTCGGGCCCATAGTCCAGCTGTCGCAACAGTTTGACCTTCTTGCAACGGCACGCATGTCTAAAACACACATATATATATATATGTATATATGTGTATATATAGCATATAAATAAATAAATATATATATATATATATATGTAGGTACGCATACAGACTGTCTCATGACACAGATGGCTTCTCTCGACCCAGACCTCACTGCCGAAGAGCTCTGTTGCTTGATGCTGCACCGCCCGCTGTGCCTCCCGTGTGGCCTCGCAAGGCGGACATTCCACGTTGCTCCATTTAAGAAACAGCTGTCGATCTGCCATGCACCGCTGCCAGGTATTGGGCGGCTGAGGATGTGGCGGCTCGGGCCAGCTCCACGGCATCCGCCGGTGAGAGCTTCCTGGAGTCGCTCTTGCCACATGTGTTATTCAAAGGAACTGTGGTTTTCAAGCGGGTTTCAGCCACGCCAGAGGACGCCACTCCATCCAATCGGAGAGGCTTCCTGAGGGACCTCGAGCTCAAGAGCGGCAGCATGCGAAAGTGCAAGAGCGCAGTGCAAGTGTACTATCAAGTAGTACAAAGTATACCAGGCCTGGCCCCCTCCCCTCCCAAGAAGTCGGGTAGTGCGACTCTCAAGCTATGCTGGGCCTTGACCCAGTGACTTCTCCAGCTCAAGGCCTTGCCCGGGCATGCAAAGACATAACCCTGGCCCCCTAGGACGCAGAGTCCGTTCGGCCCCGAGCGCTGCAACCCTCTGCGAAGGAAGTACCCAAAGCGAGCCGCTGAGATGTAGTTCTGCCGGGCGAGGAGAACCTCCAAACGGCGAAGCTTGTGTACAAGTAGCTGGTAAATATCCATAACGCTGGTCTCGGGGCGCGGCGCTCCCGCGCACAGCCTTCTGCATCTCTTCCTCAGCCGATTGTTCATGGCAACTCTCTCACAGGAGCCAAACCAATGCTGCCAATGGAAGGCCAATGATCTTCTGGTTCACACAGCAAAAGGAAAGTACACAGACTCTTACAGATGTCACCACCGAACTCCAGAATGAAGAGGCGCGGCATCTCCGCCGGGTTCGCAAAAAAAGGAGCGCAAAATCATAGTTTAGGGGGCCAAAGATGTTTTTGAATATTTCCAAATAAGCAACTTTGGATCAACCCCCAATGTACTTGTTTCCATGGTCGCCAGCTTGCAGCCTTTGTCCCCGATTCCTGCTTCCAAGGCTGCAATCAAATCTCTCTGGAAGTTGGTGGCTTTCGGAAAAACCATGTTGAAGAGAAATGAAGAACCAGAGACACCTGCTCAAGGAGGAGTCTCCCCTCCTTAATCACCCGGCCAGTCTCGATAGGACTGTGTCCGTCATCTGACTCTGCATCGTCGCTAAGTTCTCGATCGAAAAAGTCAGAAAGAGTCGGAGAGAGAGAGAGAGAGAGAGATCTGACTCCTTCTCAATTTGTCTTTTGCCTGTCTTCGAGCCCCGTGCTGGCTCAGCCTCGACCTTCTCCTTTGCCTCCGAAGCTGCTTCTTGGACCTTGGCAGCAGAGAATTGAAGCCTCAGGTTGGGATCTTGGAGGGGGACATGGCACCTCCGTCTGGCCAGCAACGGCATCCAGCTCTCGCAAGTACAACTCGGCCTGGGGACGCATGCCCTCGACAACGTCTCAGCCGATTCAAGGGCCTGTTCTCAAGCATGGCCTGGCCTGCCAAAAAGCCCTGCCGGCTCCCGAGAGCTGCTCCACCTGCACTGCAAGGCTTTTTTTGCGTCGGACGATTGTCTCGCAGACTTCTCGCAGCAGACTTCTCGCAGACTTCTCGCAGGTGCGACCCGGCCTGAGACAGGAAGTTGAAGACCAGCCTCGACACTTCAGGCCCAAGGAAGGAGAGCAGAGCGTCCTGAAAGCTTCCAATTATCCCCTAGAGGTTTGAGCGGTGCTGATCGACCTTTCTACTAGTCTACACAGGACACTGCCAGTGCGTCCTCTGCACCACGCAAAGGTGGTATGTCAAGGTAAGCAGCTGGGATCGTGTATGGGCGAAGCCTCGCGAGCTGGCAAGCGGAAAGGCGATAGAAACTACAAATGCTACACTTTCACAAATTTCCGCATCCGGCCTGTCTAGGGCGCTGGCTGCCATCAGCGCTGCTGCTCTCCAGCAGCGCTGGCGTTCGCAGCTGTGACTACTCTTTGACTCGTTGACCACATGTCTGGAGCTCACGAGGCAACGCATCTCCCCCATATTTTCAGAAGTCTCACAGGCACTGTGTAACCCCCAGCCTGCTCAGAAGCGGTTCCTGGGCGTCAACCATTCAGTGCTGGTATGCTCAGCAATTGCTTTGCAGAGGGGATGTGTAAGGATCCTGTAGCAAGTAGATAAACGCTGCTGTGCGTTGTTACTGCTCGGCACTCTGACCATGCAGCAGCACAGAAGGACGAGGACCGTTATGAGGATGACGACCGCTACCCTTTGACGGCCACACCGGGAGCCGATCGAGTCTATGGCAGCTTTCCCGTACACGCTTGTTTGTTTTGGCTTGTGCAAAGCTATTGTGAGGTGCATGTTCGAATTTGTCGAGGCTGGTCATGAAACACTGCCAGAAGAAAAAAGTACCCTGGCCCCTGCGAGTTTAAACTCAAGCAGAAGTCTGCGCCTTTGTGTGAAGCTGAAAACCGACCAAGAAACAGGATTCATGGGATAGCCATGGGGGTGTCTCAGGTTCAGGGATGCTCTTGGACCTGCCGGGTCGCGATCGGACGTCGATGGAGCCGCGTCTGCCTGTGGCATACAGCAATGGCAGCTAACTTAACTTTTGACCAAACTCGAATCATTGCTCTGCCCCTGTCCTCTGTCTGGAACAGAAGCCACTTAGCATCCGCTTGAGCCAGAGCTTCTGTCAGCGCCTCCTCGGGCGCCTCAGCTCCACCCAAACCACATAAACAGCAAGTCACGAGTGGCAGAAGTCAGGTTTGAGTAAGGCTGCTGCCTCTCGCCACAAATTTTGTCGGGGGGCCTGCCCACGGGTTCTAAAGAAAATACGAGGTGCTCAGGGCCGACCGGGCCTCCTCCTCAGAGGAAGATCTTCCCACACGTCGCAGCTGTCGACTGCACATGGACCCAGCTCTGGGTCCGTACACTCCGTGAGACCGACATAGCCGCCCTGGATGCCGACCTGGATTTGTGTAGAGGCACTTGCGGCTACTCCAAGGCTTCCAAGACAGACATGTGAGGGCCGTGCATCCCACATGGTATGGCAACAGCCACCCCTGCCAGGAAAACAACCGGCACACCGGAAACCCAAACTGTGATTGCAAAGCCTGCGCCACTTCCCTGGATGTCACGCCAGCTGCCAACAAGGCCTTCATTCTTCGCGGCTGCGCACTTCTAGACTACTGGAAGGTTATTGGGGTCGCTATGGGTCATTAGCTTCATGGACGGCTAGTGCGGACAGGGAACCAGACATTGCAATGGCAGGGGAACGGGACGGCTTGAAGCATGCTTCACCAGAGCCATCCTCTCGGATTGAGCCATGTTTTGCCTCGTCATGGCAATGACTATGCCTTGTGTGACGCATGTGCGTCCAGTTCTAGCAGATTCTAGCATGACGAGCAAGGCGGGTTCTTGATGAGTTTCTCGAAGCTGCGGCAGCTGAAGACTCGAAGCTAACGAAGCGAGTGCCAGTGGTGCTATCACATATTCTCCCATTTACCATCCCGCAAGTATCACAGACTCGCCGCCGGCTCTATCTCAGCTCTTTGGCTACTTTATCGTGTCGTGTCCATTCGTCGGAGGTCTGCTTCAAGCCGAAAGAGGCAAGAGACAAATGCGTAGAGGTCAGGTTTGTCATACCACACGCAGGGGCGCTTTTGAAACATTTTTTTGGCATGACCAGCATTTGCTGAAAGCGATATGGCAAGGCGCAGTGTTGCAGGGCTACCTCGATGCTTCCCGCTTGCGGCGCTGATGCTCTTCAAGAGCGACGCTTGCCTCACTTATCTGACTCTTGTTCATGACCGTCCTTTGCTCCACCATGTTCAGCTTCTCACTGAGCTTTGCGCACTGCAAATCAATTGACTTCAAGTGCTCGGTGGCTCTGTCGACCTCTTGCTGGAGCTCTTCGTGAAACTGGTCGGCCGGCTGCTGCTGCACGAAAAGGCGGACTGTCTGCACTTGTACTGGCACCCAGGGCGACTGCAAAGCCTGAATGGGTAAGACCGACAGGTCAATGGCCAAATACATCTGGAAAATGGCCTCTTCGCTGTCAGCAGTCCAAGCACCTTGAGGCCCGCAGAGCTCCCTGTATGTGCCTTTAAGGTACTCAAGCGCCTGGCGAATCAAACCGGCATCTTCGCAAAGAGACCAGCATGCTAGATCCCAGAGGCTCTTGAGCTTCGAAACATCGCAATAAGTTCCTGAGTGCTTGTACCAAAGATGCCTCATAATCACTTGACGGCCGTAATGCAGAATGGGCCTTTCGGTCACAGCTCTACCCTCCATCATCGTCGGCCGAAGCAGCGGAATCGTCAGCAACCCCTCGTCCCAGAGACAAGTTCCTTGCACTTCAACTACTTGCGGTTGAGGACAGCATACGTCATCTTCTGCAGCCATAACCCGCAAGAGGGGCCCTGGGTTTGAGCCATCCCCGTCGAAGCAATCAGGCCAAGAGTGTGGAAGGAAGCCTTCCTGGAACACGAAAGACACGTCAAAGAGCCTGCGACCGAGATGTTCAAGGCGCCACAGCACATGCTGACCCGCCCAATGGGCAGGACATCTCCTCTCACCAAGAGAGGGGATAATGTTGCCTGGCAAGGCTGCAGCTTTGCGGCCAGCATCCAAGCACGCCCCTACCAGCTCGTTGACGAGCTCGCTTTTCAGAATCGTATCGTGGCAATGCTCCCAGGATAAGAACTGGGTGAGCAGAACGTGCTCGACTAAATCGCAAAACTCCTCCGCTTCCATATGTCGATAGCCAGCTAAAACACGGAGCAGAGCTTTCGATGCATCCGGGTGGGCAACAACATCTGCAAGCCATGCTGGTGGCACGGGTGCTGGCGCACACCAAGCCAGCCTTTGCACCAGGATGCTGGAAGCGAACGTTGCTTTGAACATCTTGCGGGCCACCCCTGAGTGACCCATGCCCGTTTCTGCTGGCTGATCTATCAGCAGCAGGGTGCGGATCAGCAATGCGGACCAATTGGGGAACAACCTCTCTACATCGACAAACCCTACCAGCTCGACAAAGCAGATAAGTGTCGAATCTTGCGCCGTCTCGCAAAGCTCCATGGGCAAGTCTTTATGTGCCTGCTCGTCTTCCTTCAACTCTCCGGCCATCTCCACATTGCTGCGGGATGCCAATGAGGGAGGCGCTGTTGCAGCCAGGCGGCGGCGCATGCAGCGCAAGGCAAACAGATGGGAATCCCATGAGACTTTTGCACGCAATGGCTTGTCCATGAGATTCCTTAAATGTTCCGAACAGACTGCATAGACTGCGACAAAGCAGACACTTATTAAACTCTTGCCTAATGGCACCGGCTGGCCATCGTCACGACACCGCACACAAAAAGATTTAGCACGAAAGCACCGCCGCTTCAGACCGGGGCACTTCCACAAGGCACTGACTGGCTGCATGGCCGCTGTCACGAAACCAGCTTCTTCCTCCCGCAAGCGCTGCAGGCGGAGTAACTCAGCGCACACCCGCAAGCTACCTGTTGCCAGACGCGGGCCCAATATGAAGTCCCCTGAGTCTAGCTGTGATGCCAGCTTGATTGCAGCACGTTCTGTGGTTTGCCACATGAGCGTCTCAAATTGAAACAACCGGAGGAACTGGCCACATGCCAAGGACGGAGTCCCTTGGGAAATTGCGCTGACCATGCCATGCTCAGTCCAGCTGCCGAGTACATCATTCTCGCTCGGCGTGGCGGCCAGCATGTCTGCCGCGTGTTCTGAATCCGCCGGACTGCTTGCTGCCGTGTACGGCAGGATGTGCTCTAATATCTCGGCCCGTCTTCTGGACGACAGCGACTTAGCAAACGGAGACTCCATGACATCTTCCAGCAAGCGTGGGCATTCCAACAGCCACGTAGCCTCCATTAAGTCCAACACCGTTTCTTCGGTGACTGACAGAGCTTCCCCGTCCACCAAGAAGCCTGCAATGTCCCGAAATCGCTCCAACCCCCCTGGGAAGTCAAGCAAAGGACACTCCTTGGCATCAGTACTTTGCACTTGGAGAAACAATCCTGAAACCTCAGCCAACACATCTACATCGACTTTCAGGTGCTCCCCGTCGATGACAACTTCCACCGCCTTGTGGCCTTCTTGGATGGTGGGCGGATTCCGTCCCTCAGCGGATGTGCCGAAGATATAACTGAACATCGCTGGGATGCCATGTGGAGCTGACCAAGCTCTACACAAACTGAACGGACGGCCTTGCTGTGTCTTGTAGAAGAACAAACATGCTGCATGCAATGCAAGCGTTCATGTTGACCTTGATGATGAACATTGCGGCACTGGTGGTTGGGCGAAAGGCCACTTGTCTGGGGCAGGCCACTCTTTTGCTGCCAAGCACACACAAACAAACAAACAAACACACAGAATTACAACTCGTTGGTCTTTGGGCTTGCGACTTCATGGCGTGGAAAACATCTGACCTAAAACTTAAAACCATATCTCGCGTTACAAGACCATGAAATCAGGTCAAGTCTTGGGATGTGTCGGGCATGAGACGTGGACTGGTTTGGCAGAAAAATCAGCGCCCTGGCCCGACAATGACGCAGGGGCAAACCTCAAGATGCCCTAAATCAGCTGCCGGCCTCGCTGAGCAAATTCCAAGTTCTTTTTGTTCACGTGCCCATTTTCCTCGCACTCGCAACGGTCTGGATGTCCAAGCTTCGCGGGCCGGCGAGCGTGTGGTCACTGAGAGCACCCGCGCACTTGGCAGCAGGGCAAGCAGATCGCAGTGTGTGGTATTTTGCTACGCCACACAGCCCATCCCTGTGAGTGCATCCGGTACCTTGCATTCGTACTGCAGAAGCCACGTGCTGCACGCAGGCAATGACACACCACGTCCACCGAGAGGGTTGTCAATGCTCTGTGGGCATTACTGTATTCATGAGTCGGTTGGAACACCGTGTCCCTTCAATGTGCGCAGGAAGCCGGGTCCTGCTCTCCGGCCTGACGCCAAAGGCGAACCACCAAATGGGAACACAAAAAGCACGATGAAAACGGTTACGCCAAGCCCGGAAAGCATCCTGTGGCGCAGGTGCGGTGACGCGCGCGCGCGCCCCAGAAAGCGCCAGACAACATTTCCGGCTCGAGGACGGCCACCGACTTCGTGGTGTAAAGGATGCAAATAGTGGCGATCAGCGCATCAAAGCATGCATAGTTCCACCATGGCGTTGATACGTATAGCCCGGGCATCCAAGGGTTGCAAATGGTTACAAGCGAAACTATCCTGGGTGTATCAAAGTGACATCGTGTCAAAGAGTTGTTCGACACCGGCTCAAAAATTGAGTTTGATAAATGCAGGTGTGTTTGCTCTGGCCACGGCACAACCACCTGCCTTGCCTCTGTCTCTGACACTTGTCCTTGCTTCTCCCCAGTTTTGATGCATTTCGTTCTCCTTTCTTCTCCAAGTCCTGTGCAAACTCAAGAATGGGTTTTGGTCTGTTAGAAGGGGGTTAGACTGTTGCGGATGGAAATCGACTCAACTATTGACGGGATGCAACAACCAAATCTCATGTAGCCCTACGTGCTCACGTAGGGGCACAGTTGATCATCATGCATCCTTTCGGTCCTGGAACAAGGAGCCCTTCAAGGCTGCGCGCTTGCATTGATCTGCCTGAGAAGCACAACGGTGCCCGCGTCTTCAGCTGTAAATACGCGGCAGGCTTCCGCATACAGCACAAGACATCAACCGCCTCGTGAGTGTTCATCTTCTCACTCAGTCTCCACTAGACAGCAACAAGCAGCAGCCGTAAAGGCAGTAGCAACAGCCGCGTGAGCGTGCGCACGCAGGCACGCATGCCCGCCCGCCCACCCACCCACACATCCACACACCCACACACCCACACACACCCACACACACACACACACACACACACACACACACACACACACACACACACACACCACACACACACACACACACACACACACACACACACACACACACACACACCCACACCCACACCCACACCCACACCCACACCCACACCCACACCCACACTGGCATACACCCCTGCCGTGGCGAGTAGAAGCCTATCGTCCCTCAAAATGCCCCAAGCACCAAAATTCTGCCGATCGGGGAACTTATCAGTCTGGGAAGGCTCAAACCAAAATGTTGTGTCCGTCTGGTCACGGTCAGGCCTTCGAACCGCGAAGGCGACTTGCACGAGTTCTCCACCTCCAACTTGGACATGCCAGTCACCCATGCCTCGGGGATTCAGCCGTCATGTTGTACATATTGTACGGCAGCAATGCACCACGCAGTGTGACTTAGCGACTTAGCCTAGCAACATGGTTGCGCCAAGAGTCCGGACAGCTTTTTTTGCCTTCAGTCTGCCACGCTGTGTCAGTATTGTGCCAAACATGTTTGCCAGTGAGGCAATTTAGGTCTCTGAAACCAGGCTCGGGGCTCCCCTCAAACCATTGCTGGAGGAATGTTGTTGAGGGGATCGACTGCCAGGGTCTTGGGTATCTAGGGTCATCTAGGCTGTAATGAAGGGATGCTGGAGGTTCTTCTCGGACCCAACCCTGGCCCGAAAAAAATATCGGAACCGGGCCGTCGCAGGCGTGCTCGGAGTGTTAAAACTGCTTCCCCTGTGAGGCTTCTGAAGCTTCGGAGTGATGGGCTCTCGGGTTCCTGAACATCTGCTCCTCCCAAATCAACATCAAGGGGTGGGCTTCATTCGTTGATGTCTACGTGCTTGTGCGTTGCCCGTGTTGCCCAAGTTCTGGTGTCTACTCAATATCCATGGGTGGCTGGTCAGGCTCAGTGACTTGGTTGCTATCACTCAGGCACAGGCTGTGACAAGAAGAGACGGCCCAGACCCAATTGTGCAAAAAAGGACTTCGCAAACTGCACAAAAACGTTGCAGTCTCCACTGGCTGCTTGCTCAGCTTCGGCAGCGACCTCCTTCGAAGGAGGCCGCCCAAAAGCGACCCACAACTGTGCAGACAATGCCTTGCGCAGGACTGCCACGGACGAGAGCGACGAGAGTGACGAGAAGACTCCTGAGCTGGCGATTGTGTGCTGGGTGCTGGAAACCATCGACCGGCCATCCTGGGACAATAGGCCGACATAGTTGGTCACTGGTCTCACACCCTCGTAAAGGAAGGCAAGAATATTGGCCAACACATCAGAGCTCAGCAGCATTTGCCTGTGCAAATGGATAGCCCACAGAAGCCGGCCTGTCAGCTCAGCTTTGTAGAGCTGTCTACGCCTCCAGACATTGCGTTCGATCTCGGCAGCGTTGCCATGAACTCTGTAGTCTTGTGCATATACAAGCTGAGACTGCTGAGATTTCTCCATCTTCTGAGATTCTGCCTCAGATTCAGTCCCGGTGCATTCTTCAAGGCGGTCCGCGGTGAGCTGTGTCCACGTCATGATCAAATACCGAATCCTCATCTGACAAAACAGAACAGTTGCAACCAAGACAGCGATTAGTCGGCACTGGAAGGGTGTGAGACTGATGCAGTTGCCCACGTCGGAAGAGCTTAGATGTAGAATTCTCGCGCACGCAATGCTCGCGTAGGCGGCATAACAGGCGATCACTGAGAGTGGTTCCTCCACCAAGGGCACAGACAGTGTGATGGCGCCAAAAACGTCCGCAAATGTGAAGGCAACGTCCTGCGCGCTGCCGGTCAGCAATGTTGGACAGATTGCACCCATTGGCAGCCAGCTGAACAGTCCACAGAGTGCGTTGCTGCAGCGTGGGTCCTCCAAATAATGGGCCGCGGACGGCAAGCAGTTCGTCTTACTCAGGATCATACCGATGGTCATCAAGGCCACGGCGCCGGCAAGGTGAAGGACCGCCAAGTAGTCAAACCGACCCGGCGCGGTGCCATCAAGTCGAGAGATGATGAACGCACTGCCAGCAAGCCAGGGTGTGACAACGAAAACCATCTCCAGCCTGCATTGGTGCCTCACAGCTTCACAGCACGGAGGCCGCAAAAGTAACAGTAGCTGCATCTTGTCCACAGGCTTGGTGAGGCACAGGCTCGGCCATAGTCAGAAGAAACAATATCTACAGCATCTAACCCCTCATTCAAGATTCAAGAGCCAACCTCTCCAAGCTGCACTTCGGACTTTCGGGAAACCAGGGAACCTATAAGCATGGAACGCTTAAGTAAGTCAGATCACGAGTATGCATGTGTTCTAAGTCTTGAACGTTGGACTCTTGACCATCCCTCGTTGGTGGAGCAGGATTGAAGAGCTTCATAAGTGCTGCGGGCCATGGAGGCGAGGTCGTGGGCGGGTCCATATGTGGCCCTGGGCGCGCGCTTGAACACGTGAAGGGCGCAAGAACGGAAGATTGAAAGTTGGAAAGATTGAAGGATTTTAGTTTGAACCATTGAAAGTTCGAAAGGTCGAACTTTTGAAGGTTCAAATGTTTGAAAGCCTTAAAGCTTGAGAAATGTTCTTTCTCGGAATGCTGGAGTTGCAAGATCATCTTGAACCTCTCGCACTTTCAAGCTCAGAAAATGTTAAGTGAGAACTTTCAAAGTCTCGAACCCTCGAACGCGGCAGCGACAATCGAAGCGATCTTAAATCGGACCGCTACACTCCCAAACTTTCTATCTTCCGCTTGCAAATGCTTAAACTTTCAAGCTTTCGAACCTTCAAACTCGCAACTTTGGCATTGGGAAACTCTTAAGGTGCACGCTTGGAAGGTCAATCAAACTCGGCTGGAAACTCCGAAAACGAGACTCCTCGTAGGAAGCCTCAGCACGGATCCCTAATTCAATCAAGCCGCACTTCTCAGAGCAGACTGGGGGTAAGTATGCAGCGGCAGCTACCTCGTCAGGGCAATACTTACCCTAAACTGCTGGGTTTTGGGACCCGTTCTCCAGCCTTGGACGGAAAAAATATGTACAGGACGCCCTCAGCATCGAAACGTTCTGGATGATCAAACAGCGAGTCGGGTCGAGTCGGGTCCTAAGTCCAGGTCACTGGGCCTGGGGCCGCTAACCGGAGCAAGATTTACAGGCTCGACAAATAACCCTAAAACCTCATTGGGTTAAGGGTTTGGGGCTGACGTTGCTTGTGAACATGCCCAACAAAATGCGGCACGGCAGAGAGTCTGGCGCCCGACACCCGGTGATGCAGGATGCGTCCACCCTACCATCAGAAGGCAGAGAGCAAGGCGGCCGTAGGGCGAACCCCCGACACCTGCAGGAGTCTCCGGCGTCCCGCAAGACCTCCAGCACCATGCTTGCCGATGGGCCGTAGCAGCATGCTACAAGCTATGCACAAGAAGCTGGAGGGAGCCTAGAGAAGCTTGATCAAACAACGAGCCCTATGAACCGTGTAGCTTAGCGAAGGAACTAGTTTCTGCCTGGAAAACTTGATGCTGGGGTCTCGAGTCTCGAGGTTGGGTTCTCCCGGGTTCTCGTGGGCGTTCCTGTCTTCGGATGGCCAAAGTGTTATGTTTTTTTGTTGCTGCTTTCTTGCTGTTGCTGCGGGCACTTCTGTTTTTTGCTGTTGCCGTGGACGCGATTGCGGCGCCGCTAGTCCAGGTTGGTGCGGACTGACATCGTCTTGCAAACTTAAGCATCGAGGGCGGCAAGTGCGCTACAAGTATGAGGGTTATGCGCGACGGCATGCCGGTCACCCTTAGACAAGAAACCAACATCTGAGAATGATCATGGGCTCACTTTTACAGGGTTTAGTATTGGAAATAGAATAAATTGAAGTTCCTTTAAAAGGGTTCCATAAGGGTGACTATAAGTGATATCAGGGTTTTGGTTCTAGGGCCTTTCTGCAGCGAGCACAGTTTGTATTTTGAACCAGGGGCTATTCGGGGCTATGGTGGTTGTGCTGATGGAGGTGGTCCTCATTCCTCCTGGCCTCTATTTGAAGGGCTGCCAACAAGACAGTCCGGTTCTCGAAATTAACCAGCAACCACCTGTATTGAAATACTTTTTGATCTGCAGCAATAGTAAACATGCAGCTACTCTTGCAGGATATTGCATGGAAAACCCTTCGAGGATTCCGATCCCTTCAGAAAGGATATGCACCCGCGCTCTCATTCGAATTTGGTGAAACTGAGTAGCGAGAACATGAAGCCAAATGTCATACAAGTTTGGTGTGCAACGGTGCGCTGCCCATACACGCACACAACTTGCGGTGCACACATGACTTCAAGGTCGCCGAAGCTATCTCCAATGCGCCAGGGCATGTACAATGCACGTGCAGGTTACAGGCGTCACTACTGCTACTTAATTATGCAGCATCCAAAACACTCAGTGGCGCTCCATCCGTCAGTCACATTGCATGTTTACGATAGGCTAAACGACGAATGACAACGAGCTTGAGTTTCTTATGCTGGGCTCTTTTTGCTCGACGGAGGAGCAGCAAGATGCAAAACATTCTTGTCACTTCCAGGCCCTGCTGTGCATCAGAGTTCCAGTTGGACCCAACCACGCGACAGTTGTGACACCCTCTGGCATGCCTCCACTCTTCCTTCAAAAGCCTCGCGCAAGAACTCTGGCGCGGAATGCCCTTGTAAGAAGTCTGCTGCAGTCCATCCCCTCGAGTTCCGTGGAGTCAAATCTGCTCCTGCAGCGATCAAAGCTGAAGCGCATTCGTGCTGCCCAGTCAGTAAAGCGATCATCAAAGGAGTCGCGCCCTTGGCGTGGTATAAAATCTTGCTTACCATGGTGACCTTGCCGAGCCGGTGTTGCAGGACCTTGACTTTGTATAAGGTCCGAATCATTGCTGTTCGCTTCCAGTGTTCATCTGTCTGTGCATTCATGTCTGCCCTCATTTCCAGCAGCAATTGCACCACATCAGCACTCCCGCCCCCCATCGCTGCATTGTAGAGGGCAGAAGTTGGATTCAGGGCACTTGCAGTGCTCTGTGAAAGAAGCTCATGCATGGCTTCCAGTGCCCCATGATAGGCAGCACCATCCATGACACTGATGCCAAAGAGATTCGTCTGAACCGGGCTGCACCCAGCATGGCAAAGAATCTGGATGGCCTCTGTGTTGTTTGCATGGGCTGCACAGTTGAAAGGGCCACGAACAAACCCACGACTTGCAATTCTTGCTTTTGCGGAGATCAAGAGCTTCGCGGCCTCATTGTTCTTGAAAATGCAGGCAATGGACAAGGGTGGAGTCCCAGCAGGTTGTCCGATGGCCGGGTGGACTTTCTTGCTTCCTTGGTTCGGGTCTGCCCGGATCTTCAGCAGCTCTTCCACAAGCAACGGCTCCCCTTTCCTGGGTTCTTGTTGAGGAACTTATTTTAAGTTGCCATAAAAAGGAGACTCTATTGTTTACTATCGTTCCCAACTATCGTAACTTAACTTAAACTCCTTAGCATAACAAGAGCCCGGTTTCAGGGCAGCGTAGTGTAGAGGCGACCAGCCACCAGAGTCGGTCTCCCAAACGTTGCGGAAGCCGTTCTGGTGGAAGAAGCTCCTGACAAGCGAGGAGCCCCAGGAGTCCTCGCAAGCAGGCTTCGGGTCTTCCATCTCCAAAAAAGCTTCCGCAGCTTCGCAGGTCATTCCTCTGAGCAAGATGTGCTGCTGGTTCAACAATGCACGGTACCCCGGCAAGTCCTGGGCTCTGAGCAAGCTCAGCATTCGGCGTTTCACTGCTGCCACGAGGACTGGTCCAAGCTTCAAGCGATCCTGCGGCACTGTGAAGATGCCCTCGCCCACCGGACCACATCCGGCGCGAAGGAATGCACAAGTACCCGCCATGAGCTCAACGTCTTTGGGGCTTTTCACCATGATGCAGGAGTGTTGCTGAGCGAGTTCTCCACATGTTCTCCTGGGCTCTTGTTAAGAAACTTAAATTTAAGTTCCCATAGAAAGGAAACCCTACTATTCCTTCAGATCACCCTTGCGGTAGCTTAAATCGATTTCCTTGGCCAGGGCCAAGTCTCTCAAGGCGACACCATCCTCGGGACTGCCACGTCAGAGGCGTGATCAAGTTGCTTGAGTGCGGATTTTCTAATACCGGCACAAGACCAAAGAAGAAGGAACTCTCTTGCACGTAGGCTGGTATGCTGTTGATGGCATCCAGCAGCTTGCTTCCAGATTCGCCCTCAGGAGAGAAGAGCGATGTCATGCTTCGACTCACCCGATCCTTCTGCGGGCAAGAAAAGTAGTCATACCAGAAAAATAAAGGTTCAGACAGAAGCCGTGATGTTGGCAAGGGCTTTACATGTCCTTCTGCGGCTTCTGAAACAAGTTCCACAGGTATACGTTGCAAGTTGCCCATCTTCATCTCCTGGAGTGCCCCCTGCAACACCCTCATCTGCTTGAACTCTGGGTCGGGGTGGTTCGGGGCGACCCACTGGTGCGAAACAAACGCGGCTTTGCCCATGGACCCTTTAAAGTCCACCAGCATGTCTTTGGCCTTCAGCACTTCGTGAGGTTCGACCTTGGTCATCTCCAGCAAAGTGTCCAGAGAAACCGTGTACATGGGGAAATGCATGGGAACACCATCAGCTCGGCTGGTATGCAAAGACTTTGCATGTTGGGCCAGAGGAGTCAATGAGGCTCCGCAGCATGCCATGGCACCACGGAGTCGAGGGTAGGAAAGTACCTCCCTGCTTTTTCAGGAGCTCACCTCTAAACTGAAAAAAATGCGGCGCCTTCCCCTTCGGGGGGGCCGCAGGCCTGAGCACTCTCTCCCAAAAACAACACCGTGCGCATAACTGTTCGCGACCCTACATACATACCAAAGCACACATACAGAACTCTACCACTAGCTGCAGCTGGTTTCACGAGTCCCTTGCCTTTCCATCGAACTTGCCCCTGCCAGCCGCTAGGGCGCCTCGGGCAAACACGGGGACAGCTGGCTTCTGATGTGACGGTGCCGGTACTTAATCCCAACGAGTCAAAGTGACAGCCCCTAGACACGAAGCCCTTACATTTAAATGCACGTGTCTTATTTGTTCCTTAGCATTCAATATCTTAAGACAGCTTTTCGGACGTTGCAACGTATTAATGTACTGGTGTCCCGTGCAAGCCCAATGTTGTACAATCACCGTTTCACTCGCTTGCACTGTATGCTTTTTGTACACGCTGAATAGTACGGGTCTTGGAGCGAACGGATGGAAAGGAGCTGGTTTCGGCCTGGAAACCTGACGTTGGTGCTCCCAGGGTGACTTTTTCTTGCCGTACTTGAGTCTTTTTGTTGCTGCTGCGGACCGCGCGATCAGTGAATCACCCGCAGGCTTTTTGTTCTCCCCACGCATCTTTTCTTTGCTGTTGCCACGGGGCCTCTTTTATTTTGCTGTTGCTGCGGGTCGAGGGAATCTGACTTTTCCTAGCTGCGCGTTGTTTCTTCTGTTGCGGCGGGGCGCGGCGTTTTTTTGGCTGCGGGCCGTGCGCGGGCTCGCTCACTCACTCACTCACTCATTCGCGGGCTTCGTTTTTCCTAGCAGTGGCAGTGGGGGGGCTTGTTTTGTTGTTGCCGCGGGTCGAAACCAAAAACACACACACACACACACACACACACACACACACACACACGGAGGTTCCGTCTTATGCCTCTCTCTCTCTCTCTCCCCTCAGCAGCCTTTCAATACCCAATCCAATCTACCCAATCATACATTTATCATTTTCCCACATACCCGATACCCTGTTTTGCAGGGGGAGCGGTTGCCAAGATGCCGCATATGAGGCCCTGAGACTCATGCAACGTTGCTAGAATGGCTACACAAGAAGCATTCTTTTGCAGTGCTGAAGTGTCTTCAAGCTTCTGCATGAGTTCTGCCCAAACGTGACAGGACGCGGAGACTCTCAGGCTCATGAGTTGCTGCTGACTGCACTCTGTTCGAGACTCAGCGCAACTCCTACAACCCTGTGAATTCCGTGGGCTCCAGGCCCAACCGGCCCAGGCGGCTGGGAACTCTCAACCCGAGCCGTGCACGTGAAAAAGAAAGCTACCGCAAAAACCGCAAAATGAGTCTGACAGGGGCCCCTTCTCAACGCAGCCCCTGTCCCAATTCCTACTACAGCATCCAACACCGCACCAGATGTGATTGGCAACCATCACACATGGCAGTGATCTGTCAAGGATTTGAATCCTTTCCTTCTCTTAAAAACAATTCTCTTATGCACTTCATGTGACACTGCAATCTGCAATTAAATTGAGAAAGTATCGTCATCATCCGTGCTTCGAGTGGAAGTCGAGCACTGCGATTGCCGCGGGGATGGCTGTGGCTTCCGCTCGATGTGCCATACGAAGGTCGTGAGTGCTGCGCCCGCAAAAAAGATGATCACTGGCAAAGGGTTGTCTTCGTTTGTCGCTGCTAAGCTAATTCCCAGCGGCAGCCACAGTGAGCAAACACCAAGACAAGAGAGTGGCGCGACCATGAAGACGGCCAACCAGCGAGAGAACATACGCTTCTCGATCAAGGTGCCTAAAGTCCAGAGCCAAATGCTGATCTTCAGTGAAAAGAGTAGGGCCAAGCCGACAATGCCCCATGTGACAAAGTGTCTCAAGCTCCAGATAGAGATGACAGGTCGGTGGTCAATCGTCTCGGCCCAAAGCGCGATGAAGTCTGCCAACCAAGGCACAATGCTAAAAACGGCCGTGTAAACAACATAATGAAATGGCAAGCCGATTCCCATTCCATTCGCAATTTTGGGGGCCACACTCTGACGAACAGATGCACTGAACCGCTCCAAATGCGGATCAGACCCGTCTTCTTTCTTAGTCCCCCACCAATCTTGGATGGTTTCGTAAACGAGCTGGCGGTCACAGGGGAGTGGCTCACCGCTGCGAGGGTGCACGTGCGAGTGACTACAACAGTAGCACTTCGAATCTTGGACTCGGAAGTTCTGGAGTTGCCTGGGTACCTCTTGAAGCTCAAACATCAGCCCTATGCCAACGTAGAAGGACAGCGGAACAAGCAGAGAACAGAAACCCAACATGGCTGTTGTAAGGGTCATGGTAGCACCCCCTCCCCAGCTTCCAAGCACACCATACCTGATCAACAAGAAGTAATAGCTTGCCAGCAAGTGCCAGCACCCAGCCACCATCAGCAGGAGTAGGGTTGTCTTCTGTGGAATGATCCGCAGTCTGTTCAAGGAAGCCCTATCTCTCAAAAATGTTGAGATTTCGAAAACGCACCAGAGGCGTGACCTTGGTCCGTGCTATCAGGCAAGGAAGGAGAAAGTGGTACTTTGTATGGGCCACGGCTAAGTTTTAGACTGTTAGGAGACCCAACAACCAAAAAGTAGAAGGATCCGTCGCGCTGACCGAGTGACAGGTACTGAGGGCTGAGCAGCACGACCAGTTCCCGGGAGCTCAGGAGGAAGGCACCAAGGCTCTGAATGCCCTCCTGCTTCAAGTCCTCGTCGTGCTGCGCCACGCAAAGTTTGTCCAGGAAAACGACGAGGGGTCGACAGAACATGGTCCGTATGCGCTGCCAGAACGAAAAGATGAAAAAGTAGACTGCGTAGACAATCGACAATGTCCATGCCTGGTCTGGGATCACTCGATGTGCTCGCAATGTGCCCACCAGCACGCTCACCAGGAATGAGATAGCAAAGGCAGGTCCTGAGTTGAAAACCATGAGCAGGGATAGGAACTTCAACCAGCGGGATGATGCCCAGTCGTGGCTCAGAAATGCGTCGTAGGCTTTCGTGGGCCGACTGAGCTGGTAGTTCTTGGGGTTCACATTGAACATGCCTTGATCAGGGGCCCTCCAATGTTTGCCCCAGTAGGACAGTGCTACATGTAACGGGACCCCACGAAGCAGCTCTGGTCGTGCCACAGTACGAAGTGATCTCTGCTGTACCACGGACGATGTACTGCGTGTTGTGGACTGCGCGGTGACGGCATCTTCGTCCATGACGCTCACGAACCATGAAAATCTTCAAACGAACTCCACAGCCCGTGCCTTGCCTTGACTACTATCCTGCTTTCATGCTTCTTTAGGGTTTCTGTAGTTCTGGTGTCCATTTGCTTTCATTGCTTCTTCGACTCAAAGTTCCTTGTCGGCAGTTGGAAACGGCATGTGGGAGGAACAAATCCTCACAGAAGCATCCTCTCTGGCTGGAGCTACAGTGCTCGGAGCAACAGGAAGCGTCAAACCGAATATCATTTCCCTGGATGTCAAATGCAATATGCGCCAAAACCCTTTTCTATACGTTATCCTTGGGTCCGGCCTTGGGAGTGCGCTTTCGTGTGATGACAAGAAGCATCGAGGTTCTCCTCAGACTTCGGGGAGTTGCTCATATGCTTGGGACACTGTGGGGTGTAAGGATGGTATCCACCACCACTCGTGATCACCTTCCTGGACGAGTGGAGCTTCGGCAGTGCGGGCAGCACCATGAAGGAGAGTCAACCACGCGCGAAAGCCTCACAGCGCAGTGCCAGTTCTGCAGGGGGGATGCGCGACTTACCCGCGGTACGGTGGAGAAGCCTGCGCGGAGCAAGATGGAAGAGTTTTTTTCTTCCACACGCCTTTTTCCGCCGCCAGGAAGGTCTCGTGGGCCTAAGGCCGCAGCGGCGGGAGGCCGGGTCCAGCGCAGTCAGCCAGCGCCAAGACGGCCTCCAGAGCAGGCGCCGCGCCAAAGCCGGCGGGTTGCAGTCCCGCCGCGGTTGGGCCCAAGGCAGTCTCGGCCACGGCCACTTGCACCGCGACGGACAACAACCCCCACCACCGACGCGCCCAGCCGCACGCCGTGCTGCGGCGCACAGCAGCGGGGGCGCGGCAGCCCCGCAACCGCGTCAAGGTCCGCAGGAAGTCGCGGGCCTGGTCGTTCCAGCGCCCGCCAACCTCATTGCCGAGGACTAGCAAGCGCTGGGGCCCGGGCCCGCACAGCTCGGGGTAAGCGGCTTGCTTCCGGCGCTCGGCATGGCGCAGCGAGACTTTTTTTTTTTTCCGCACACTTTTTGCGCCTGCGGGTGCGAGTCTCAGTCGGGGGGCAGGGCAGGGCGGCCTACTGTGGGCGGGCGGGCAGGCGGCTGGCCTGGGTGGGGAGGTCCCATCGGCCGTCAGCCAAGAGCTCATGCAGCGGCGGCGCTGCCTGCTCCCCGTGCAGCTCGGCAGCGGGTGGGAGCTCGAGCAAGGAACTCGCGTAGGCGCGCTGGGACGCGACAGCGAGCAGTGCAGCCCACCGTGCGACCCAGGCGGCCTGCGCAGCCGGTCGGAGGTGTGCCGGCACGGCGGCGGCCCGCTGGCGGGCGAGCAGGCGCAGCAGCGTCGCAGCCTCTGCGCCAAAGCGGCCGGCGAGACTCCGTCAGATGTGGCTGCGCGGGGGTGCGGTTCTCCCTCGCGCGTGAGGGGCGATACCATGGTGGCATCGCAGCAAAGGGCGCCACCCCAGCTCGTGGCCCCGTAGACCACCAGGTCCAGGCGGCGCTGGTCCCCCGTCCGCACTCCCGGCGCGGTGGTCCTCGCCAGCAGCTGCTGTGGGGCGACCTGGCCCTCCGTGCCAACGGCCTCGCGAGCAACGCGGACCCATGCGCGCTCCACGATTTTGGCCCGGCGCGCCAAGAGGCCCGTGCGCGGGCACGCCAAAGCGTGGTCACCGAACGGGTCGATTCGGCGGCCACAGCCGTGCGCCCCTGCGCCCCCGCACCGGTTTGGAGCGAAAGGCAGGGGCAGGCGGAGTCGGCGCCGCAAGGCGATTTGCATGGCCGGCGGCGAGAGTGTCAAACCTGGCTCGGAGGGGACCGTCGAGAGCCAAGCTGCCGACTGCTGGCCGGCTTGGGAGCGCAGCAGGGCTTGGCGGCTGGGGGTCAGGGAGGGCAGCAGCACGCAGTCGCGGCAGTAGAGGTTGCGAGTCTGCGACGCGAGCCGTTGCCAGCCATCAGGTCCGGCTTCGTTCTCGTCCGGCGCGTTTGGGCGGGCGCCACCAGCCAGTGCGGACCAGGAAGGGCAGTCGGTCCATCCCTCAGCTTGGAAAGTGGCTTTGGCGTCCGCGGCACTGCGCACGCAAGGCGCGGTGCTGGCCAGGGGCTGCTCCAAGGCCGCCCCGCAGGACTGTGCGGCTTCGGGGCAGCGGGCCTGGATGACGCGCAGGGCATCGGCCCACCCGGCCCAGTATGCGGGCAGCGCTCCACGGGTCGTGGCCGCAAGCCGAGCCCGCCAAGCGCGGCGGGAAGGAATGCCAACGCTCGTGCATCGCGCTCGAGGTTTTGGGGCGCACCCCCCAAGCAGCGCATCAGCGTGTCCCACAACGCTACGTCATGCGCGACTGCGTAGGCTGCGACGTGGTTGGGAGGGACGTTCCTGATCGCGTGGTTGGCGCGCGGCGAGGCGCATTGGGCGAGCAGAAGCCAGGCGCACTGGAGGTCCGGGAGCTCTGGGAGTTGATCGAGCAAGAGCTGCTCTTCGCGCATGCGTCCCTCCGACCAGGCCCGTGAGAAATCCAGATGGCCGATGGGGGTGCCCAGGACGACGACGCCGCGTGCGGCGGGGGGTAGGTCCCCTCGCCAAACCTCCTCCCCCGGGTCTGCCACGCCTCCTGGCGCGGGCCCGCTCGCGAAGCGAAACACCCGCGTTTTGCCCTCGTTGGATGCTATGCCGCAGTGAGCCTCGACGGCCTCGACGACCACATCGCGCGCTGGGCGGGCAAAAGTTTCCAGCCTCGGAGCTCTTGCTGCGGCGACGTTCGCTCTGAGAATAGCTCGAGTCCTGTCCGCATGACCGTGCGAAGGGCCCCACGCAGGCGGGCGGGGACTCGTTGAAGGGTGGGAGTGCGGCAGCGGAAGGTGTCTTCGAGGCAGATGTCATCTAAGGAAGCTAAGCCAATGCGAATGGATATGGAACTTTAAATATCGGGCTTTGTGCACGACGGCAGTCGTGGAAGCTTGCATCCGTATGTGCTTGCCGCACAATGGAGAAAAAACAAACGCAAGCGCCGACTTCACAGTACACGGAACTGTCAGCCTCCTTACGCTCCACCATGCGTCACTTACATGTTGCTGCACGGGCGACACCTTTGAATGAATGGCTGCTCTAGTGACTACGGGCTCTTGCGCATACAACATGATCCAACTGCGGACTGACTCTCTCTGCAACAGGAACCATCGAATTGTTGGAGTTTGCATGGTCCATGTGCATGCAACACCGTCCGTTAACATGACGCTGCACGAACCATTGCACGCATGCAAGTGTTTGCTGAGGTTTGGCGGAGCTGCTATTGGAACATCTTTGCAGTCAATTGCGCCAAACTGGGCTGGTGCCTTTATCTACGGGCTTTGCTGGAAGCATGCATCGGTCGTGAATCGCCCTCAGGGCCTCCGCCTGACAAATTCTGCAAGCCGCTCTGCATTAGTTATACAAAGCTGAACGTGTTGTGAAAGGATGCTAGCTTTGAAAGCGTTGTCACAATTGCGGGCTGATGCTCATTTCTCGCGGTTCTTCAAGGGATTCGTAGGGAAGCAGCTGATACTCCACATCAGCGGACAGGTTGTCCAGGTCCGAGATGAAGGTCACCGCGAAGGCATGCAGCGCGAAGTCACTCGCACTCCCCGAGGTCACAATAAAGATCCGATAGAGGCTGTTGGCCATGTAGCCTCGTGCTTGTGGAACGTGACACATCCCTCTTCTGGGTGCAAAAGGAAGCGGGGCAGGGTGGCAGAGGTAAACAGCAACTAGGGATATCAGTCGCTAGCGCCTTCCGCACCAAGTCACACATGCAGAAACGGAGCACGACTTCTGCCTGGCTGAGCCGCGGGGATGTCGTATTGCCTTCCCCTTCCGATAGCGGCTCCTGCCTCTGGTGGCCTGCGAGTCATTTATGCGCACGGTCCAGCGACTTTCGGACAGGTTCATGTCCCGGAGGTACACATGCTGGGCCACCCTGGCCCCAGCTTCACGGCAAATGCGTGCTGCAGCAACCTCGAGAGGGTACCCCCGCGGGCCCAGAACTCCACTGCGCTGCGCGATGATCCCCCAAAACGTCCAGGGTGGCGCCACAGCGGCAACGCCTGGCCGTGACTGGCAGCGGGAGGCGCAGCCGTCGGAGTAGCACCACTCGGAACGTCTCACTCGTCAAGTGCAACTCCGGGCAGGTGGGTATCACCGTCAAAACGCGGCCGGCCAAGGGCCCGGCCTGCGAGTGGAGCAGTGCCTGAGCAGCAGGGTCCAGTTGGTTCATCAAGCCTGCTTGCTCATCCACCGCCACCGCCTCGCATGCCAGGCGCTGCCAGACACGCATGAACAACTCCGGGTCGCCATGTCCGGCGCTGCCTCCCCGGCTACCACCGCACCCCAAGTGTGCAGCTCCGCATCCAGGGTACGGAGAAACGCCTCGGCCTGTGAGGCCTCCGAGACCGCCCGGCCGGCACCAGCTCCCCCTAGCCCAAGCCGCCACACGAGGTCGTTGGCCAGGTCACGGTGCCGGTCACGAATGACAGGGAGGGTGTCCGCCCATGAAGCCCAGTAAGCTGCCTGTCGCAGCCGGCTCGCCATGTCGTTGTAAAGCAAAATTTGCCTGCCAGTTGCTTTCTGTGCAATTTGACAACAGCCGCGGCCCAATTGGGAATTCGCAACATTTGGAAAGCGAAGTTGTACTGACGTTGTGCAAGCTGGCGAGACCAGGTGTCCACAGGGTGTATGTGCAACGCTGCAGTCAGTCTGTGTTTCATGCGACTCATAGTGCTGTGCCAATCTTCGTTTGCAACTCGCACCCAGCCAACCACAGAGCGAAGCATTCGTCGTTGCACTGCATCCAGTGCATGAATTTGTGATAGAGTCAACGGCAATACGTGTAATCCAAACAGAACGGTTGGAGTCAATACTGTATCGAAACATTTCAATGTCAATGCGATGGACACATGTTTGTTTGTAAGAATATGACGGTGTTTCCGAAACTTTGCCCATCCCACTTGGAACCTATGCTTGAGTTCTGTCTGACTGCGGCTTCGAAAATCCGCACTGATATGTCCCCAGTAAGCTGAGTGGCGTTGCTTCTCCGCAAACCCGAGTCCCAGTCTGGCCGTGCTGAGGGGGAGCTGTGCTCGACGGGCGCTAAGGTCGGGGAGGGGCATTTCACCATGCCCCCCCGCCAGCAGCCTCGCGGCAGCGCAGGACCGCGGCATCATAGGGGGTTCTACGTCTGTATGTAGGGGGGTGGGACCCCCATTTCAGCTGCTGAAATGGGGGGGTGAGGGGCTGAGATGCAGGGGTGCAGCCCCATTTCCGGGAGCAGCCCCGGGGTGCAGGGTTTCTTTGCTGAAATGGGGGGGTCCGGGTTTCACCTCTTGAAGAGAGAATCTTGAGACAGCTTTGCCGGTGTCTCATGTTAAAGGCCGGCAACCAGGGGAATGGGTAAAACAGTCCCTGTGTTACACCCCGGACATAGGAAAGTGTTTTCACAAGGGTGCCTCCTGGGGTCTGCGAAGCACCCTTAATTTTGTTAGGGAATGGCTCTGCGCTGCATGCAGCACTCCTATATGCATTTCAGTGTGAGACACGGTGAGACGAACCTTTCCCAGGCCATGTCGTTTGGGGTTTCGGCCATGAGTCCAGGCCGGTCCAGGTATCTGGGCATAGGGTTTGGGAAGATCCTGTCGGGGCTTCGGGCCTGCTGTGCTGTACACGATATGGTTGCTGCGAGGTTGGCTGAAATGCCCAGTGCAGGGGGGTATTTCATCTACACAGACCTTGGCTGAAATCGTGTAGAGGGGGTTCGAGACCCCCCAAAAAAACTGGCACGTACGACCCCCTATGCGGCATCATGCTTGGCGGCGAAGTCTGCCGTGTCGGAGGGCGGCACGGTCCGTACCAAGTAGTACAGCAGCAACAGCCATGTTGACTGCAGGTGGGGCACGTGCGGGAGTTGCTGGAGCAGGCAATCCTGTTTGCGCAAACGCTGCGCGAGCTTTTCGGCGACGAACTCCCGGCTTCCGATACACCACGCCCTGCTGGGCTTCTGCGAGCGCCCAACTTCCGGTCCAACAGGGGTTGGCAGGGTCCTCGGTGGGGAGCTGGGCGAGCAGCCCTGGTGGTTCTTCACCTGCGGAGTTCCACGCACGCGTCTTGCCCAGACGCACCTGGATGTTCGTGTGGCGTGCGAGGGCTTCCCGAACGTGGCCGAACTGGCTCGCGGTGCGATCGAGGGAACCCGTCTGTGCTGGCCCAGGGCGAACAGGCAAGGCATCAACGGATCACCTTGCTCTCCGCCTTCCCCTTGCCGCACTTCGTGAGCCCGGCCCTGCTCGTCATAAAAGATGTAAACGGACTGTAAACGCATGGGGCCAAGAGGAACTCGCGGCGTTGCGCGCGCAGCGTCCTTCAAGAGCCACTTTTCTCGAAAAGCCACTTTTCTCGAAAAACCACTTTTCTCGAAAAGTGACTTTTCTCGTGGCGTGTGCGCGCGCCGCGTCCCTGAAAAGCCACTTTTCTCGAAAAGTGACTTTTCTCGCGGTGTTGGAGCGCGCCGCGTCCCTGAAAAAACCCTTTTCTCGAAAAGCCACTTTTCTCGAGAAGCCACTTTTTGCGAAAAGTAACTTTTTTCGTGGCGTTGGAGCACACAGCGTCCCTGAAAAATAGGTTTTCTCGAAAAACCACTTTTTGCGAAAAGTAACTTTTTTCGTGGCGTTGGAGCACACAGCGTCCCTGAAAAATAGGTTTTCTCGAAAAACCACTTTTTGCGAAAAGTAACTTTTTTCGTGGCGTTGGAGCACACAGCGTCCCTGAAAAATAGGTTTTCTCGAAAAACCACTTTTTGCGAAAAGTAACTTTTCTCGTGGCGTTGGAGCGCGTGGCATCTCTGAAAAGCCACTTTTCTCGAAAAGCCACCTTTCTCGAAAAGCCACTTTGTGCGAAAAGTGACTTTTCTCGCGACGTTGGAGCGTGTCCGTGAAAAGCCACTTTTCCCAAAAAGCCACTTTTTGAAAAACTACTATTTGCGAAAAGTGAGGGTTCAGGGTTAAGGTTTAGGGTTTGGGGTTTCAGAAGGGTTTAGGGTTGAGGGTTAGTAGGGTTCAGGGTTTAGGGTTTCGTGTTGAGGGTTGGAGCGCGCGGTGTCTGCCAAAAGCCACTTTTCCCGAAAAGCCACTTTTCTTGAAAAGGCACCTTTTGCGAAAAGTGACTTTACTCATTGAAAGCCGGAAAAGGTAGTGTGTCCGTTGCGGGTGGATTGAGTTTGTGCACCCACTTCTCTCCTCTGTTCACAGGACTACTAAGTCAGCAATGTTAAGCTTGGAGATTCTAATTTATTGGGTTCGAGGTTTAGGGGGCTCTGAGGTAGTTAGTGAATCCCTAATCGTCGAAGAATTTCGAGAGCCTAATGCTCTTAATCTTCGACAGCGACTCTGTCAGGCTGTGAACCCCGCTACTAAAATTCCACAATCCCCCGTGGGTGCCTTGCCGTGCCATCTCAGAGAAGCGGAAAAGGGAGGTGTAGAGGTTCTCTTGGTTGCTTCAATGGTGGGCGCCGTGTCACTTAGTGCCGACGCGTTGCATGTTCTCGAGCACGCCGCTACGTGTTTGGCCCGCGCCGACGTGCGGCATTTGCGGAAGCGGTCGCTTGGGCGCGGATGACGGCACTGCGTAAGCCTGCGGGGGGCGTGCGGGGATAGCCACGCGCGGGCGACGTCTTCCGCCGCCTCGTGTCGCGTACACTCGCGCACCTTTGGGCGCCCGTATTCGACGCGGCCACGCGCCCCTTCCAGTATGCGCTCCAGGCCCGGGCCGGTTCTGACGCGCTGGCTGGCCAAGTCCGCGCAGCGCTGGAGCTCCACACGGATTGCACGCTCGTGTCCCTGGACGGCCGCAGCGCGTACGACACGATCTCGCGCGCATGGTTCCTCACCGCGCTCCGCGACGTCGCGCCGGAGCTCTTGCCTTTCGTGCGGCTGTTTTACGGGCAGGCCTCCACCTATTGCTGGTGGGACTGCCATGGTCGCTGCTGCGAGATCCGCCGAGGGGAGGGCTGCGAGCAGGGGGACCCCCTCCCGGCCCTCCCTCGGCCAACACGGCGGTCTCCTGGCGGCCGCGTCCCGTTAGCAGCCACACGAACGCCTCGTGTCTGCATCACGAAGCGCTCCCATCACACGCGTCAATTTTTGGCGGCCTGCTTGCGAGGTCGCGAGGATTGTGACGGGGGCGGTCGTAGCAATGCCGTGGGCGTTTGCCCGGCCGCTGCAGCCAGCGCTGTGAGTTCCGCCTCCCCTCCCTCGGCCGCGCAAGTCAGCAACTCCCGTGCAGCCGTCGCCCAGGCAGGGGCCGGCACTGCACGCGCCGCGAATCGCAATCCCAAGGCTGCCGCCAACAATGCCCCAAGTAGCACACCTGCACACAGCCAGCCCCAGCAGTGCGAACAAGGCCCCCATCCGTGTGGGAAGTTTTTTGTTGGAAGTAACGCGGCGGCACGAACTCTAGTTTGGGACATCGAGATTGGTACGAGAGTGCCGAGCGTGGCTCATCTTGCGAAATCAACGGAAAGTGGCCGTACCGAAGTTGGCCATCCGGCGGGACCATGTAAAGGGCGAACGTCGTGGGTACTGAGGCCATTGAGGCCAATTGAGCCAAATTGAGGCCACTGAAGATGAAGTTTGGTGGAGCCGCCCACGAACAACCATGGATAAGAAAACAACCCGCAAGACTTCTGGGAGGAGACAGAAGTTGCTGTACCCCGCATCGGACCGCGCACAGTACCACCCATGCCCATCACCGAATGGCCGGGACGCCCACCAAGTTCCGCCGAGGCGTCATCTGTGACGACAAGAGGCCAGCTAGCAGAAAGCAAAAACTCCTGCCATGACGAATACAGCCGTCCTCTTGTCACTTGCATATGTGACATATGTGGCGGGGGTGCTTGTTAACAGCGGGGTCTATGGCAGCAAGGAACACTGACAAGGAAGTCTATACGATGTTGTGCTAGCGCTCAAAACCGACGTCAAGATCGGTGGGCCGATTTGAATGCTGGATCGATCCTTCTGATCCTTTAACCAAGCCTCATCCTTCTGCCTCCTTGCGCGTTGTTCTGTTCCAAGGAACGTGGGGCGTACTTTTGCCCGGTTCCCAGACGAATAATCGGGACATTGGACCGCCAAGCTCAAGCCGAACCTGAATCGACAAGTGAAGCGGTTCTTGCAACTGTCCCTCCACACAAGGCCCTGCACGGAAGGCTGGTATGTGCAACTAGAACCCCGTCCATGACGAAGCAAGCTTCCGCTGTGTCCAATGTCTCTTGCATGCAACAAATGGAAACTCATGTGAATCACACCCTGCACATCCCTGCACATCCCTGCACACTGGCCTTCACTAGCCACATTTCGTTCTCTCAGGCTTCGGGTGGCCAGGGGTCGCTCCCCGAAGTCACCAAAAAGACTCGGCAGCCCGCATCTTTTTCGTGCGGTGGCCGTAGCCTTTTGCAATCTGGGTCATCTCTGCTACTGAACCTTGCAGATCTGCTCAGTCTGGCAAGTTCATGTCATCGGTGTCCTGCATTGCTGGCATAGCTGAAAATTGCTGGAAAGCCTTCGACACGACAGTCTTCGAAGACACAGACAGAGCATCTTAGCCAGAGGTCGAGTCGGTGGAGTTCTTTGTCCCGGTCCATCGTTTGCAGCGTTTCCGTGAACAGCTGGTTCATCTTCTGCGCAACTAAATTCAAATCCTCCCGGGCGCAGCTTTCTGCTTGTTGCATCTGGCCTGATGGCACATGCTCTCGTTTGACAATGCTCTGGTCCCCCAGCTTTGCTCCAAGCCGGCCCCAAGCACGATCGAAGTCGTCGGCACCCACCTTCCATTTCACAACTGCGCACATGTGCGCAAATTTGTGCAAGTTGCGTTGAACTTTTGCTTTCTACTTCCAGAGCTGCGCGAGCTCCAGTGCAATGCCTAAGCCCCGCACGCCGAGGCTAACGAGGCCATCCCGCAATCGATCCTGGCATGCTGTTGAGGAAAGGAAAGGAAAAAGGAAGGGAAAGGAAAGGAAAGAAAATGGTCAAAAAAGAGCCACGAAAAGAGCCCCAAGAGGAGTGCGAAGACACGGCGGCTTTGCCAGTTTCTTCCTTGGATCTACTGGCACCTCATCATCCAAGCGCTTGGGGGCGTTTTCTGCACGTAGATCCGCGCCTTGGCATGTTGCTTTGCTGTTATGTTCTATTTCAGCGTGACTGTGGCGTCGCCCTGCTTGGTGTTCAACGAACTGCGGTCATGGTGGTCACGTGGGACTGTAAACAACTCGTAGTTAACATGTAGCAGGGAACCGGAGTTCGTAGCAAACGCTTGGGTTGGGTGCCCTACCACCCAAGAACTTCTTCTCCTTGGAGACATTCGTGCAGTTTCCTCCGACTGCTACATCTGGTAAACCCACATCACCCAAAGCCCAATCTCAGCAAACGCCAATGCCATCACGACCTTTCTGGCATCCCGGGATCTTCATGAACTCTTCCCAGTCGTATGCCTGCAACACCAGCTCAGCTATGCGGGGCTTTGTCTAACCCGTGCGCCATACAATCATAAGCTGAAAAGTCACATATTCGCACATCGTTGTGCAGGATCATCCGGTGCCTTCTTGTCAGGACAGCAGGCCCAGTACTTCGCTGTCTCGTGGAAGACCGGTGGAAGCCGGTGGTGGACACACCTCGTCTGCAGCCGACAGTGAGGTTCAGCCGTCAGAGCATGTCAGAGTTGCAGCTAGCGACGAGTGGCTTGCCGTGCAAAAGATTGGAAAAGCAAACACTTGGTAAGCGAAGAACGCCGTTTGGTCTGCGCATCTTGGATCGAAGAACCTGCCCAGACGAAACCGACTGAGCCAGAGCCGCTATAGCCGCAAAAGCCAGCATTGACTTTGGAGCATTGACTTTGGCTCAGGCAGGGACTTGTTGCATCCAAAGTTCTTGCAGCGCACGTGCTCGGGCGGCCTCGGCACGACGTCGCCTCGGATCGACAAAATGCATCGGCAAAGAGCCGGAGCCCAAGTCAAAACATGTCAAACAAGGAGCTATGATAAGCTGGGTCAGGGGCCAGAAGTCATGGGGCCGATGGCGACCCGCCAAGCTCGATTCTCACTTCTTGTTGCGGACAGGCAAAAAGAAAACTCAGAACTGTTGCAGGAAACAGAACTCACTATGGCACACGCTATGGACTCCACAACTCTCCGCGGCTGCGTAAAGGAAGTCTGCTCCCCCTCTGGTTCTTCAATGCTATCCCTCTCATGCCCCGTGGGCGATCGTCTTCTGCAATTCCTGTGTAAGACATAGCTACAAGGTCTTGTGGCGAGCGCACGATCTTCTCACACTCGGGTTTGAAGTGCATCTGTGGGACTGACACGTAGTGACTCCCCTCTCTCTTTCTCTCGCAGTCTTTCTTGTGCTCCTCTTCTTCTATACGTACCATTGCTAGACATTTTCGAACGCGTAGCCGAGGCTAGTGATGCAGCGGAGCACGCCCGGGCAATGCGAAGGCATCAACCCCTCGATGAGGTGCTTACAGAGTCCGGATACTGCTCACGCTGGTAGTCGATTGCAGTAAAGCACACTGCGAGATGCCCACGCAAACCACATCAGCTGAGATGGAAGATCATCTACACCTGCCCTTGTCTCCGCCCTCAGGCACGCAACGATGGGCAACAGCAACACTTCTACCATTCTAGTCATCGCGCCCTCAGTACAAAGGCTTGATCGGCGTCTCAGCCCAGTAAGGCTTCACACGAGCCTGCCGATGCCACGTGACAAAGGCCGCTCAACGGATATAAGCTGGTGCAACGCACATGGCAAGCTGGCCTGAACAGCTACCATGCCTTTGATGGCCTCCTCTCCTGTACAACTGTCAGAGCGGCATACTGTAGCTGCTACTGTAGCTGAGTTCAGGGACCATCTGTATCATCAACACAGTCACACAGTCCTATTCGAATGTCTGCCAGCTCGCCGCCTGTGTACTCCAGCCTGCGAGGGAGAAGTCTGAAGATGGCCAACCCGACGCAGCCACTTCGCTAAGAACCGAGCAGTTTGCGCGTCAGTGGCTGCAGGCTTACGTTCTGCGCCAAGCGCTTTGCGCGGCCAGCAGCCGTCGGGGCGCAAAGCCTAAGAGTGCAACAGCAAGCCAGCCTAGTGATCTTGGCTTGGAGTTTCATGTATTAAGCCTTGGGCTTTTAATGTTGATCACGAGTCCGACGCGTCTTGCTCATGAACTATAGCACTACTGGTAGGACCTGCTAGGAAGAGCCGACGTGCGCAGTGGGGCTGAGGATGCTCAGTTCCTGACGTGACCTTCTCGCAGATGTCTTTCATGTAGTCGGAAAACTCACTTTCCTCTTCCACCACCTCTGTTGGCTCTGATACCAGAGGCATGGGCGTTCTAAGTATGCTTGCAGGCGTCTTGCAGAGAGCTTCTACGGGTTTGGTCCCTTGAAGAACGAACAGCTGGAATCCCTGGACTGCTACATGCTCGATGCTATGCGGTGCTGTATCGAGAGGAAGGCTGGCACAAAAGTACCCTGGGTAAGGACGCAGCATCAGAGATGAGGCCCATCCTAAGGCAAGCATTTCGAGCACCTTCTCACGAGCATGGCATAACAAGCTGAGCTTTGAGCCTCTTTGCCTGCTCGGCAGAAATATTTTCAGCCTTCGCTGCAGCTGCACGGTGGCGGCATTTGTTGTGTGCGGAAATGAACATCTTCTCGCGTCTCAAGAATCTCGGCCAACCGGCCATACAGAGCAATCGCTTGGCAAATGCAGGTCCGACCTGAGCAATCAGTGGCTGCCTAGCTGTCCTGGCCAGGGACGCTGACATGGCCTTTCGCGTCACAAAGGGCGCAAGAGCCGCAGGGCAGAAGCCCAACTTCACCTTTGAAGCAACAGACCGGCCCACACACGCCTACGATTTCCTTGCGACTCTGAATTCAGTCCCCCCCCCCCCCCCTGCGCCTCTGAACAAGTGAAACGCGCTGCGCTCGCAGCCAGAACCATGTCACCTTCGTCTGCACTGAAGATAAGGCACTTTGCATATGCTTGCAATATCAGCAGATCCAAAAAGAGTCGGGGCCCAAGCAGGCACAGAGCAGGCCGATACCACTGCCCATCGCAGAGCCCTGCCCACAAGCATCAGATAGTGCAGGGGCGGCAGTGCACTTGAAGAGAGTGGGGCATGTGTTGCCTGCGCCAGGCCGACCGTAAACTGTGGCAGGCTTTGGAACCAGAACAGGAATTTCATGAAGCCGATCGCCGCCTGCATGTTGCCGCAGAATCCGCAGAGCGCATCCCACAGAGCGACTCCACTAAAGAGCCCGGCAGCGCCTTCCGGTCATCCCTCTCCGACATGGCCAAAGCATCAAAGAAATGCTTTGGGTCTCCGCCGGCCTCAGCCCAGAAAGCCCAGCAACCCCTATCGTACCTACACCTAAACCCCTCAGCGCATAAAACTGCTTCCCTCCACCCTGAGCAGCCCACACAGAACATGCTGCCCTCGGCACGCAAGACCACAATCCGAATATCCCGACCTGGACAAGGTCAGGAGACGTCCTACTTATGACTCCTCCACGTTGACCATCTTTGACGCCTCTACTTGGTACTATGACCGCCCAGCACACTATGACCTCATATTGGCAGACAGCCGAGCAGCGGTTGTGGAGCTCGCAGGTGGCGTCTTGGAGCGCTTGGGACATGGACTCGTTCAGCGCGTTGTTAGCCTCGGGCCTCCAACCAAGAGCAAGCAACTGTGCGCACAACATGCTGAACGACCCCTTTCTTTGTATGTCTTGCACTGGTTGTCTTCGGCCTCCATTCTCTACATGTCTTTATGACATGACAATTCGGCCTATTCAGCGTGATGTACGCAATGCCCTCGCCAAGCTCGAACAGGACATCCTTGTGGTGCCAGTTCTCCGACCTGGCTCTCCGCTGATGTGAAGGATATGATCGGACATGAAAAAACAGTGGGAGAGCAAAGGGACGAGCCAGAGCGCCGAAGATACCGAGGCCGTTGCCAGCAGGTTGGCCGAATGTGTGGCACTGCAAAGGTTTCCCAGGACTGCTTGTCCACTACCTTCGTGGTGGGCACATACCTGAGGACATACACACAGAAGCGAATGTCCCTGGTCCCTCCCACGACGGAAAAAAAAAGTGCCTGTAGCCACTGAGATGGCCCTCACTGACTTGGGAGCCTTCCTCGTCAGCGCTCCAACAGCAAATGAGGCTTCTTAAGTAGAGAATGCGCAGATCGCTGCACCTGCTGCATCAGCTCGGCTTCCTTTGCTGCCAATGCCCGCTCGATCGTCTCCCAGTCCTGCCCACAACCCCTATTCAGAATTCACGCCTGCTCACAGATTTTCGCATGAGTCAAGCATGACAATGAGCCAACCTTCGTCTCCATTACCATGGCCGCTGCTTCGCCCGCGCCTTCTGATTCCACTTGCACGGCACACCCTCTTGCGCCCCTGCGCCCCCCAAGAACATGGGAAAGAGCTTCGCCAGAGCTTCGCTGAGGCTCTTTCGCGGCTCGTTTGCTGCGGCTGGCTTCGCGGCGAGCCGCAACTGTGGCTCTCAACCCTTGCTACTCTCTCACCTGCTGCACTAGTTTGTGTGTTTTTGACGTTCTTGCTTCCAGCGCCCTTGTATGTTGCTGCTTGACCCTTGCTGATGCTGCGCCTCTCCCACAAGATGAACCCTCTGAGAGCAAGGTTGGCCAAGGTGCAAAGGACCGTGAATGACAACACTCACTCTGCGTGCTGATGCCTGCTGGCCCATCATCCTCGGCCGCGCGACTCTTCTTTTTGTCTGCATTAATGGGAACTGCACGTTAGCTGAGTGGCTTCAGGAATCAAGCACTTCGACTGAAGTCTCCTCCGAATTATCTGCTGACGCGATGTGAACAACTAACATGGTTCAAACTCTCTCTTTGCAAAAGTTGCAAAAGGTTGGCCGGGACCAATATGAACCTTCTCCGCAACACTTGGCTCTGGGGAAGCATTGCATAGGCTCTCTTGCACTTCAGCCGGCAGCGTCTGAGAGAGGTATTGCCGATAGCCGCCAACATTCGGGCGACGCTCGCGCGCGACAGAGTTGACGACAGAGTATGGAGCATTAGCTGGCGATGACGCTCAGGCTCATCGTGCCATTTGGCACATCTCATCCGCCTCACGCAGCGCATGTTGGGTGAGCCATGTGAGCGCAAGATGCCTAATGGCGTAAGACAGCCGTCAATCAACTGCACTCCTTTTTTTTCACCACCTGCACTCCACATGATTTGTCGGCATCAGCCAGCGTCTTGCTGTCATCGCCATTTCTTCAGCAGGAGCCGGCTCAGTCACAAACGAGGATACCTGGAAGTGGGGACCTCGAACCTGCAAGCCTCTTAATTACCGAGCCTCCTGAGCCGCAACCCTCACACCCTGCCTCACGTGAAATAGACGTTGAGGCTCTGAGCTCCGTGCCCACACGCATGGACCCATGCCCGTGCCAAGACTCCACGACGAAGCGCAAGAATTGCGCTTGCAACGGAGGGTCGAATCGCGTTTCAACCTGCGAAAGGAATGTTCCGGGTGCTCGCTGCCGTCTCAGAGCACAAAACACAGCTCAGAAATGCTAAGGAATCCTGCCTTGGACGAACAGTCGTGGCTGCCGCGTAGTGCCTCCGGCCTCAGCCAGCGTTCTACAGTGACACTTTGTGCTTTCTAAGTTAAAATACCTGTACAAGTTGGCATTTAATTTAGCACTAGTTTGGTGTTGAATGGTCTTGCACAGGATCCGGCAAGCTGGAGAAGGAGCCATTGACGCTGTACTGGATCATGTAGGTTGTCACCCAGCTGTCCAGGCACCTCTCACGAGCCCCTTGCCGAAGTGAAACTCCAAAGCGACACCTGGCTGCGGATGTCTCCGAGCCTGTTTTCCCGAGAGCCTCCCTGGACGTAGGCACCGCCCACCCGTACCTGCCAGGGTTTTCCACAACAGGACACTAGATGTCGGCATGGCTTAGCGGCTTAGCGAAACAAATTCAAACATCACGACTTGGATGATTGCACTATGCGAGCTGCATTCGCACTATGCAAGCAGTGCATACGCTGTCTGAAAGTTCTAGCCTAGGGCCTAGCCCTCTGTGCAGCTCAGCCACCTCTTCGCCCAGATCCAGCATCAGGAACTCGCCCGCTTGGGCCTCCCACACACTTTGTTTGAATCACTCGCATGGCGAGCGCAAGTGCTCCCGAGGTCGACTCGGTCACCCAACAACATGTTCATAGTCTGCGAACTATACCGACAATGGCAACTCGATGCTATAACTCCAAAAGCCGGTTGCGCAACGCTTGCAAAGTCGCTGGTTGTATTTCGCCAACGACGATACACAGTAGACTGCTCACACGTACATCGATGGGGGCAGTTTTAATGGGAGGACCCTGGACAGCCCCCAAAGCTCCGAAGATCGTGGAAACCCGAAGAAAACTCCTAGTTCAAGAGCTCCGGATAATTTGTGTAGGTTTCAAGAAGGGGGTGTGCTGCAAGCTGCTGCGAGCTGTTGAAAGCTGCTGCAAGCTGCCAGGCATGGCTCCGTGAAGTTGCCCAGCTCTGTTCACAGGAGTTGCGCAGAGCTTTGGTGCCCAGCATGGCGGCCATGGCCATTGTGATCATGCTTGGTTTCTTCGGTATTGGTTTGATTCGGGTTGGGGAAAGAGAAAGTAGGAGAAACGTTCCACACTTCCACGCCGCTTGGAAAGAGAGAGAGAGAGAGAGGGAGACAGACAGAGAGAGAGAGAGAGAGAGCTCCCTTCTCGCCTGTTTGGGAGCCCAGGAAGTCGCCGAGTCCAGTCCAGGCTCCGGATTCACCACGCCGGAGCTGCTGAATGTGGCCTCGTTGCAACGTTTGAGGAGTGCGCCTCGGCTTCCGGCCGAGAGGCGTTTAGAACAAGCAGACCAGCATCTGGCCCCCTTGTGCTCCTGTGACACTTTGGAAGAGATGCAATCCGACGCCGTGGCGGTTTCCAGGCTGTGGGCCCTTCCCGCACAAACCAAAACCAAAAAAAGTGCCTTGGACTCCGGCACTCGCTGTCTACGCCTCCTACCTCCTGAACTCCTGACGTGCGTGGTGCTGCACCAGGTGACGTACCACTTTCGTCCCACATAAGAAGTTCTGAGTGCTGTTTGGGGGACCTGCTGGGATTTTTTGAGGCATCTTGGAACCCCTTACATCCCCTCAAACCTCAAACCCTGACCTGATTGCCTGGCCTTCCTCAGGCCACACTAATCCTCCTGATGCTCCCACCAAGCAAAACCCTCAAAAAAACAAACTTTTGTCCTTGCCTCCCCTGGACGTGCCACCCCCCCGCCCGTTCCTGGGAACCCCCCCGTGACTCTACCTGCGGCAGTGCGTTTTCTCCGGGAGCTGCAGCCCGCATTGGGCCGGGCCGGCTGCCGGGGCGGCGTGCAAGCGTTTACAATTGATCCCCCGTCAATCCTCTGCTACCAGATGCTACGGCAACGCGACTTGGCTAATTTCATGCACTTGTTGACGGATTGGCCTGGGACCTGGTCGGTATGAGGAGCTTCCCCTTGCAGGCGGTCTGCATTGTCCCCACCTTGGATGAGAGAGTTCATTGAGTTCGATGCATCCCGGTGCTTTGCAGGCGATGGCGGGCCTCTTGCCGCTGGCCGCCGCTCTGTGACGGGCAGAAGCGCACAATGCGTGACTCTGCCTGCATGAGGGTGGTATGGGGTATTATGGAGTTTTGAAAACTGAGATTGTGGATGACACCCCAAGCAGGCAGTCACCTGCGCAGACGTCGGCAGGCCCTCAGCGAACATGATCAAACATGGCCCACGCCCGGCGGAGTGCACTCTGCACTTAAGCTGAGCCCCTGACATCGTACCATCGCTTGGCATATGCTGCAGTCACCGGGACGTAGTCAGTCAGATTCTTGCACACCGTGTTGTGTGGGTACGTCTCCTCGGCATGCGTTTGCATCGACAGTGTCAGCAACGTTGTCTGATTGCAGCCGGAGCATCGTTAAGCGGCGTGGGAGGTGGGGCATAATTCACGGAGATCTCATCCAGATTGTGGACGCGACCTGTTCCCGAGCCAGAACTGCCAGTCCCTGGCACCATCAGACTGCAAGGAACCAACGCCCAAACCCCCCCAAGCCGGCGCAAACCTCCCACCCCTCCGATCTCAAAACTCTGAGTGCAACGTCTCTACACTCTGAGTGTAGAGAAGCGTCTTGCCTATGCAGCCGTCGATAGCCGCATGCTTGTTGTCACTCAAGAGGGCTTTGAGGAGGCACCTCGGAGCGCTCAGGACATTTATCGCAGCTAGGTTTGGTTTCGGGAAGGCTCGCCGATGTCAAGACAGCCCCTACGGCGCTCTAATGCTGGGAATTGTAATATGGCAACAAAAATGAGACGTTCGCTTCGCTGTAGCATTCAGGAGCCTTGATGGTTGAGGGCCCTTGTCCTGGATATTCCTGGATCTTCTCTTTTTGCAGGCTCTCTTTGCAGGGTTATGTCAGGGAACAAGGTAAGCTGTCCAACAGAAGAAAGGGTTGTCAACTGGGGCTAACGAGCCAGCGCTTTCTGCCGAGAGCACTCGATGCGCAGAACCGCCCGCCACTCCTGTCTCAACGTTTGCTCCTGGCAGGAGAGGACGTAAAAGGCACCCAGACAGTGCTTGAAACGTTGGCCGCTGTCTGGTAGTATCACTGACTATGCTGCATTCTCTCTTCATTCTCCAAGAAATGGTCTGTGTGCTCAAGTTCGCTTTGGTCCTCTCATGCGCAGTCGTTTCCATTCATGCTTGCCCTGTCATAATACCATGTTACTCCTCCATCATGATGTGTCGGCATCTTTCCTTTGTGTGTGCTCGTGTCAGTTTATGCATTTGCCGTCCTGTCTTTTGCTACGATCTTGTTGATGTTATGATACCACCTTAACCGTTTAATGTGCTCATTGACTAATCTTGCACCTCAATTTGCCGCCATTAACCTTTTCGCCCTCATGCATTGCCGGCGTTCTCCTCCTCGGCAATGGTCGAGTTCAAGGAGATGAAGCTGGCAAGCGTCTGGTCGTAGCACCGCGAGTAGGCTGCGCAGCCTTTCGCGAAAGAGATGGCCAGCCGATGGCCAGGGACCAGTCAGGGATGTCAGCTGAGGAGGCAACCATACTCCGCACTGGTGACAAAACCGCAGGACGTCGTATCTAACTTCGCCTCAAGCCACACCGCATGCTTTCCCGCACACACGCAGAGTTTCATCCAAAAGTATGGAAGGTAGAATGGGCATCCGGCACACGAGCACCTACAAGCACTCAAGCCGAGGCCTGTTGAGAGTTGCATCTCCGGCGCTGGGCATCGCGTGCCGCAGACAGATTGGAGCAGTTGGTGGAGGTGCTCTGCACTTTCTCCTCCAGGAAAAAGAGGCATGGGAGGGAGCGGGAGCAAACGACGCATACCCACACGAAACAAAAGGAGCCAAAGAGCCAAATCAAGCAAACGAACAACACGACAAACAAAGACATGGGCAAACGTAGAGATATCACATATCACATGACATCATGCTCACCATCGAACAGAACGGGTGGGTTCACCTGAAGAGCGTTGCAGATGGTCATGTTGCCATCCTTGGTATCATATTCCGCGGATGAAGCCGAAAGGAAAGTCCTAGGTGGCCAGTTGCTGCCCAGGAATCATACCACTTGAGATACTCGTCCTGTAGACCAGGTCGATGCACCATGCAATAGCATCGGCACAGCATGCGTGACAGCTGTGACGGAGCTGTCCCAGAAGGTGTGGAGGCTGCGGTAGTGGTCGGCAACGCTGCCCACCCGGTTGTTGCAAAGCCCTCGACCTCACAGATGCCGAAACTGTAGCGATCCCAGAGACTGGCGGCCTCAATGTTCAATGGCCCAACATGGCTCAACGATGCTCAACGTTCCCTGGCCTCCACTTGGATAATCGATGACCGCATCGCAGCCGACTCTGGCCTTGTCGCTGCAAGTATTGCACGGACATGGAAAGACGTTCAAGGATCAGACGAGTCACCGTAGCATGGGACGCCTTGTGATTTGCAAGCGATTGCTCGCAATCGTCGACTAGCTCGGCTTTTCTGCCCTCATCTTGTCGGCATTGCTGGTGCTCAGCCGCAAGACCGGGCACTTGGTCCTAGGTACGTGAGGGGAATAGGCATGTAGGCATTACCGGCATTACCGGCATTACCGGCAGTAGCGGCATTAGCGACAGAGGCTAGGAGACGGGAACGGACTTGGCCGAGGTGCTCGAAGCACTTTGGCTTCATTGTACTTCAGATGGGAAGCGCATGCATTTATCGTTCCCACAGCCGTCTCCAGGCTGTTCTGCTGCAGCGCCAGCTGTGTTCGTATCGCTGCCTGGCCAGCATGCGCCGGAAGAGCGAAATGATGCAGCAAAATGCATTTCACGATATTTCACGCCGGTGCTCGCCTTCATGCTGTCTTCCAAGATTCTGCCGATCATGGTCGCCGTCTGCACAGGCAAGCTCAGCAACCCGGCTGCTACACTGCACGGCCGTTCACTATCGTTCACCTCGACCATGCTGCTGTCAGTCGTCGGCTGGCGCCCGAGGCTCAGGAGCAGGGACTCCATCTTATTGAGAGAGTCCCTGGCCTCAACATGATGGCTTGACATGGCTTGACCTGTCAAAGTGCCGAAGCAAAATTCCTGTCCTGGGTGGCATTCTGGCCGATGGTCAAGGAGCTCGACAAGGCCAGGGAAGACAGGTCTGCAAAAATTGCCTCGGCACTTTACAGAGAAGGAGAAAATCCACAGAGAGCAAAAGGAAAGCCAGTGAAGGGAGAAGAGCCGGAGGCCACCAGGGTGCGCTTGCAGAGCTCTGAGTGTTGTCAAGCCCCGTGGCCAACCTGAAAGCATGGGAACGCGTTGAAGGCGCACAAGCAACGCCCATCTTGAGCATCTCGTAAGAACTGGGGCCGGGCCCCCCCTGCCTCTTGGACTGCAGGGCCTGTAGGGCGACCTTGGCACCATGCCCACCTGCCACCGACATCCCAAGAAAGGGAGGACACAAACATGAACAGTGCAAAAAAGGTATGCACATACCTAGTTGTGATTCATTGTCTGCGTATCTACGTTTTAGTATTGATGCGCCATGTATATGTATGTCTACATGTGTTTGTGCCTATCTGTCTGTCTGACTGCGCATTAACGATGTGCAATTCGACCGTGTATGCGAAGGTGATCTTCAATTGACGTCTGCGTCTCGAAGCTACGGAAACTATTCAATGTACTAAAACTATCCTGCCATTTCGGCGTTCAGTGCTTTCATTCATAGTTAAAAAGTTCCAAGAATTGTAAAGTATGGAACAACTCAGTAACTCACACCGTAATCACGGGCTCGCCTCTTACAACCCGTTGAAGCAGTTAAACTTCTGAAAACTACCTTTCACGCTATAGGCTTTAACAGTTTGTTGAGGAGTTTTCACCGTTACATCTGCGTCTTCCAAAATTTGGATGCCTTTCAAGATTTGTGAACGATAACACTTACGAAAAACAGCAAGCCACTCGCCAATTCGGGGTCACTCGTCACGTCACGCTCTCATCACTCTCTCATCGCTCCCTTTCATCTCTCTCGCTCGCATCTCCCTCTCTGATCTCTCGTTCAGCTCTCGCGCATGATGCTTGCTTGCTTGAGACACCTATAAGATTCAACTAGTCGCACACACGCATGGACGTAACCTCTGGAAGCTTAACTCGTCTTCGATGTTGAACATTCAGAACGATAGTTTCGCTCGAAAAGGCCTGGCGATAAAAGCATCGAGGGTTGCTCATGGCTGTGAATATTTCAGCCGTTTAGCAGCGACGACGGCTATTCATGCGACAATCACAGTCTTTCCAGCCTTCATCCGGCTTGCGATTCTGGAAATTGACAACTAGCCAAACCAACAATGTGGCCACATGTTTTCGGCTCGGACAGTTTCCACAAGCTAAACATGGCACCGATTTGCACTTATGCATACATCTGTGACCGTTCGTCGCTTCACTGAAAAACAACCAGAAGCCATGCAAAACGACTATTACTGCCTCGCCTTGTCGGCCTTCATAGCTTGAGCGGTTTCCAATATTTCGAACGGTGAAAGCCATGCAACATATGTTAGCCGAACAACTCCTAAAGCTGAACCTAGGCTTTGAGAGTTGTAATGTTGCTCAAAACTGTGTGCGTACGAGTGATTGTATGCACGTATGTAGGCAGGCAGTGCATGTAAATGTGTATATGCGGATGTGTGTAGACATACACACACAAAAAATATACATATACATATGTATATATAGATACATATGTATATATACATACATACGTAGATGTGTGCATGTATATGTACTCTGCATGTGAATGTGAATAATATACCTTTGTGTGCGTGCGCGCATATGTGTCTACGTATGTGTATATGTACATGTGATATATGTATACTTGTATTCATCTTTGCAGTATGCTTCTAAGTATTTCTGGTCGCCAGTGGACGCACATCTGCACAACACGGGATGGCCTGGAATTGCTGTCAAGAGGAAAAGAAGAGCAGCTGCTGAACAGCTCCTTCGACAGGATGGGAATGGCGAAGAAACGGCCTTGAACCCAGAAACTCACAATCCAGCCTCCAGAAGACCCCTGTCAAGGTGGTCGCAGTCTGCATTGATCCCGTTGGACGCAAAGGACGCCTCGGCGTCGGGCTTGCAAGGCGCATGCAAGACGCTTAGACTGCCAAGCTGAGTTGCCTGCCGTGCGCACGGGTGTCCCAAAGAAGCCCCTTCCCCGGAATTTCCCCTCAACCTCCCCCCACTGGGAGGAGGGAGAGGAGCGGTTTAGGGCATGGCAGCGTCTTACCGAAGAGCCACTTTTGGCTGCAGTTTGCTTCGTGATTTTGTCATGTCGTAGTTAGGCATGAGGCAACCAACCGGTCGAGGAAGGAAATATGCCATGAACACATGTGAACACCACAAAAGGCCAGGCAGTGGGGGACGAAGCAGTCATGACATTTTCTGCAGCGCACCGCGGGGCAGGCCCTTGGTCTTCGACGGTGTGGTGACGCGTCTACCATTTTTTGAGGTCTTACAATACATGCAAGATGCATGGTATTGCCGAGTCGCTGAGCTTGCTGAAAAACTAGCCCTCTGTGCCAGAATGGTCTCCATGTCAGAAAGCAAGTTAATACCGGTAATCCCTTCGGATGAGCGATGTCTTCGGTGATGCGAGGTGAAGCATCGCCCGTGACCCTGCACCACCATGTGGCTGCCCAGCAGGGCTCTCGTCTGGCGCTGAGCTGATCTCCCACCCGGCTGCGATTCGCCATTACTCAAGGTTCAACTCATGCGATGACTTTAAACGACTTCGATGCCACAAAGCTTTATTGCAGCTCCCCGTGCAAGCTGCTGCACCAACTGGTGTCCGATGCCTCACGTCAACATGGCTGCAAGAACTCATGCCGACTGCAGTGCTGCAAGTACACGCTTCAAGCTGAAAGCGAATGCTCCTAGGACTCCTAATTACTGCATGTTTTGCTTCATCGAAGCCACGGAGGCCGTTGCAAACCGCCGCCTCATCGTCCAAGAACCTCAGCGCAGAGAGGAAGAGAGGGCGAGGCCAAGAGACGTAGGCGCGGCATGCCGAGGACCAAGGACCAAGGGCTCCTAACAGCTCTCCTAACATGCTCGAGTCAAGAGGCCAATGCACTAGGGCCAGAAAGGTTGGGCCCGCCCTGCCAGAGACAAAGCTTCGCATGTAGTCCAGGCCACCGTGGACCAACAGCCAACCCTCCCACGTTTTCTTCGCGCGGCCTTCGATTCCGTGGGCAAAGCGGACCTTGGCGAGCTGTAAGCCGCTCAGCGCGTAGGCCACATCCAGCAGCGTCAAAGCGAAAATCCGCAGCACCCATCCCACCAGTCCCAGCGCAGGCCAGAAAGTTAACGGCATAGTCACCACGAGCAATGCCAGTATAAGCAACCCATGCGCAAAAGAGCTCCATGCCAGGAATAAGATACAGCCGTTGAGCTGATCCCACACGATGTCGCAAGACAAGTCCCATCTCGAGAGCACCTGCACATCACGTATCGCAACATTGCGATGTTCCATAGACAGGACCTACAGTCAGCGTGACGGGAAAATAGCGACTGCCAAGAAGTACGTGAAGGGGTTTGGCCGAGTATGCCCGAGCGTGACAAGATAAGACCAGGCATGACGAAAACAAGGGGTTCGGGGATACTCGGGCATGTGCATGCGCACAGGGGCATACTCCGGGCATCACTCGCTCGCGCGCACTCGGCAGTCCCTGAAGGCCCCCGCAACATGCCGCAACGCAAGCTGAAAGAGCACCTCCTCGTAGGGTTCAAGATGGCTCAGGATCTCAGCTTTGCTGTCCCACCAAAGCTCTCGGCCAACGGTTCCCAGGAGCACAGCCAAGCCCAGGCAGAGAATCATGGCAGGGAAGAATTTGTTGAGTCTCCTCCCTCTGTCGCTCTCGTGCGTACCACTGCAACACTGTACAGTATGGGGGAATTGGGGGACATGACCCACTAACACCTCACCCTTCGCTGTATCTTCATTCGTCAAAGCCGTCTTTTATTGCTACTAGTAGCTGCTGCTGATAGAAGTAGCAGCTGTCATGCCGGCCGCAACTGCAACCGCCGCAGCATGGGCTTAGCAGGCTGAGCAGGCATAGCTTACTTGGTGCTCTGTGTGCAGTCACACCTTTATTTTTGTGTGAACCCGACGAATGCGGAGCTTAACTCCCTCAACATGCACCCTGAACCCCTGAAACACCTGAAACACCTCCAGCTAGGTCCCGCTGGGCCCCGCTTGGTTCGCTACGTGTCTGTCACTGACTTTTACTGCGAGAAGAACGAGGTCAATCATGGTCGACCTTCACGTCCTGAACCCTGCAGCGTAGGACTCCGAGTCCAGCCAAAGCCCTGGGATGTACCGCGTGCGGCGCCAGAGCCGTCGCCAGGGGATGCAGCGCAACAACTGGGCCCCAGTGAGCGCCTCCACTGCCTTCAGCCGGCCCAGGAGTAGCCTCAAAGCCTCAGCAAAGAGCTGGGCATCCACAGTGGTGGAGGCGTCTATGCGGGCCAAGATGTCTGGCTGCAGTCGCTCTGCAGCAAGTGCCCTATGCCCATGAGTGAACTTCGGCAGCACAAAGCGTGAGGAGGAAGAGCAGTCGCAGGAGGGAGGCAAGCTCCCATTTGCTTGGAAGTGTAGAAGGCACACGCTGTGTTCGTAGAGATCCGTCAGCCCAACCCAGTCAAAGCGCCGGAGCGTGGCCAGAGCACCTTCGAGTGACGGCAGACTCTCATCAAAGTGCGTGTCTCGGAAGTGCTGGCCCAGATTGCCATGCGCTGTGCTACAAGTCAGAGCATGCGATTGGATGTTCCGCAGAAAGGGAATTACCTCGACCTGGCCACTGCGGTTGGGATTCTCAAGCTGGCTGCGGAGGTCTGCAAGTGGCTCAGGCTCAAAGTGAGTGCAGTGGCTGTCGCAGGCAGCCTCCGTCGCCCGCAGGAGGCCTTCGGCAGCGTACTGGGGAAAGTCATCCCAAATCCGCTGCCAATTATTGTGGTGAGCCGCGTGGCAGTGGGAGAACAGGGACAGGACATGGGCCCTGGGAGAGCGGAGAAGGGTGCCCTTGAGAAAGCCGCCTTCTTTCTCGTCTTTTGCAAGGCTTGCGTGCAAGATGTCAGAGGCACAGCACTCACAGTTCAACCCGCAGAGTGCCAGGCTGACAGCTCGGGCCCAGGTGGCGCAGGAAAGCCGCGCCGTCGTCTGGGGCCAGGCCCGGGCCACCGCCGCGCTGCGGCACGGACCGTAGTCGATTTTTGGCGAAGGCTGAGCGGACAGGTGCAGCTCCAGCGACTCTCCACCCGTCTTGATCACATGCATGAAGTGAAAGCGCGCAGATGCGTTGAAGATGGTTATGTGACCAGCCGGCGGCAGATTTTTTGGCACAGCCTCCACGAAGTCCTGATGTTCTTGCGCGGGCAACTCATCCAGCTTCAGGCGGTAGAGCCTGGCTGAGATCAGGTCCTGCCAGTCCTCGGCCGCTGCTTGGGGATCGACTCTAGCCACTAGCAGGTCTGGCTGAACTGACTGTCACTTCAGCTTAAAGGATACGGCCCAACTGGGAGCAAGAGTCTGGGCCTGTGCCGGTCAAGGGATTCAAATACACTCTCTCGCAGTACGTCAGGTAGCCGGCAAGCTCTACGTGGCTGTCTTCCACCAGTGAGCAGCCAGCTACAGCTTGCCCCAACTGCTCACAAACTTCTGCATTCCTGGTAAATGCCCATGTCGCAAACCGATGCTGTGGGAAGTCAAAGCTCGTGACTCCCAGGCTCGTGGCACGGATACTCATGTGAGTCTTGCTGAGCGTTGGCTGGGAGCTCTTAAGCACCTGATCAGTCGCCCACATCGGACACATCCATACATCTTTCAAGACATATCTTTTATATATGTTTATATATACATATGTACATATATATATATGAACCGACACACACGCACAAGACTTGAACTCGCAAGTCAGTCAAAAAGACACAACTCGTACAATATTTCGGCAGTTCAGGGGTTGGCCAATGAGGGAAGCACGGCCACGCTTCCATAGGTCGAGGCGTTCAGAAGCCGATGGTTCACGAGGCTTATCAGGTGCAGGTCTTCTTCTGACATGTTCAGCATGTCGATCACATCGCTCTCCTCAAGGACATTCGGCCCGAAATATGCTGCGTCCGGGCAGTCCCCGAGGCACTCGGTGCCCTCCTGCCTTAGACCGCAAAGAGACACGGGGCGCTTTGCATCCCTCTAGCTGGCTGCCACAGCGTTGTCTGGCTATCTTTTGACGAGCCTCAAGCACTGCAGGCCTTGAATCATCAGCGGTGCAAAGGGCAAGGCAGGCACCGATGGTAGCTCTCGCGAAAGGGCTTGGCCCACCCTCTCAAGCATCTTCCGGTTGTAGGCCTCGAATTCAGCCTGCAGGCCGCCTTCGCGGACACTTTCTGGGTGGTGCCGGCCTTTGTAGACCGGCGTAGGCAGTGGGGAGACCTCGCCGTGTGCAGCCCTGATGTAGTAGACTGGATGATGTGAGTGGAGGTATGCATCTCCTTCGCTCTGGTTTGCGAAGCGAAAGAGCCGCAGCACCGTCTCGAAATGTGTCCAGTCGTCGAAGAGTCCTCAACATAAGTCATGTTATCAGATCCATCTGTCGGGGCCCTAGGGCCTTAGGAGCAAAACCAGTTGCAAACAAAGAACAATGAATAGAGATGCTTAGGAAGGTTCCGCCGATGTCAGAGGGCACCACGGCCAAGTTGATGGCACTGCTGGGAAGGCCACTGCTGACCAGGGCCAGCTGAACGAGCTCAAAGGTCCGCTGGTTCGCCGTAACCACATGTGCAAAGAGGCCCTCGGGAGTCTCGCGAATGTTCAAGTTGTTGACCTTATGCAAGCACTCTCTCTCTCTCTCTCTCTCTCTCTCGGAAGGCCCTGGCTATGCACGCGTCGGCAAGTTGCATGTTGCATGTTCCGACAGTGAGCTTAGAGGCTCCCTGTACTCACCTTTCTGGCAAGGGGCGCTGTCTCCCAAACTGCTGAACTGCAGCCCACGCCGTGGGATCCACAATGCGAAGGTGGTGAAGGAGAAGTACTCGACGTTAGGAGGGCGCCGCGCCAGGAGAACCACGGCATCATCACGCCTGTCAGCCCCAACTAGAACCCATCTTACTTTCATGTCTGTATGTCCGTACATCGCCCCCAACGCCTCAGATTCCACATGGGACTTGGCAGTAGGAAGCCGAAAGCCGGCAGCGCATTCCACATGTAAGGCGTGTTGGGATTGCCTAGGAGATCAGACAGATCCAGGACAGATCAGACAGGTTCTATTTAAATTAAAGACCCCAAAGAGTTGCGATTGGGGTCCCCCAAACAGCACCCGGTGGCTGCCAAACTTGTCCGTGAAGAGTGACCAGAAGAAGGTGTCACCTGCGGATGTGCGGATGTGAAACGCTCCGAGCCATTAGATTCCTCAACCCTTATCGAGCAGGAGGGTTATCCTGTGTAAAGCTTCTGGGATGGCATCCCTGCAACGGCCAACAAAATAGCAATGTTATGGGACAAAGGAATCTCTCGAATCTGTGGAAGGCTTCCATCCAAGGATTGCAGGCAGATGCTACAGGGATTGGCAACGTTTTCTTGTCGGAAACCTTCAGGGCACCCTGGGAGGGGACTTGTTCTGTCACCCAGGAGTGCCTGTGCTCTCTACACGGGGTCTACATGAGGTGACACAAGAGCCTCGCATTGGCTCGCGTGAAAACCCGGCAATGAAACTGCTTAATACCAAGAACCGACCTCATTATTATCGTTTCACAGATCACCCCAGCATCCATACTGCCGGTTGTTGACATGCAAAAAACTTATGTTGAACTGTTTCTTCCTTATCGCTTTACAGAGAATCGAAGCCTTGCTGGTGTTCTGTCTTCTCCTTCCACGCCGCGTTTCTTCCAGGGCATATGGCCGATTGTGCAAGACAGCATAAAATCTCCCGGTCCCTATGCACATCCCGGAACGTCCCTCGACGCAACAGACATTTTCCTAGTTTACTGAAGGTGAAGCCAGGTCACGGTCTCTCACCATTTGTCCCTTGCTGGTGATGCTCAAGTTCGCTGACTTGCTGATCACGTCTGTGAAGCGCAAGCTGAGCTCAGACACATCGGGGTCAGCAGGGCTGGGTATCTGCGGAAACAGCACACCTGTCCAACGCGATCGCAGGACCAACACTCGGACTCATGGAGACTCTCCCCACTGTCACGGCAGAAGGCACGGTTGACGGCATTTTGGAAGCCCTACAGTAGGTCCATAAACCCCATAAAAGTGGGAACAAACGTGCGCGTTGCCTCAAAGCAACCTCCATAATGAGCGCGTGACATGCTCTATGTTACTTTGCACTCCACGATCAAAATTCCTGCACCAGACATCCCAGCCTCCATAAAGGGCAGAGGCGACGGCAGCAACAACGGCCCCGACGGTGCTGGTCTTCATGGCGTGCTGAGCTGCTGATGCGACCGTGCGATCTATCGGCAGTGTCTAAGAGTCCAGAGTCCAGAGTCTGACGCAACAGCACAAGCAACCGCACAGAAACTCCTCAGCATGACTCTGCTTTTGCTCAAAAGCTACATGCAAAGCCTTTCGAAGCCAAACGCTGATGCACCACATCGCAAGGGTTGGACACAAGACTCAAGACCCTCAGAATATTCAACTAGCCAAACGAAAGCCTGGAGCACCCTAAAGCCGCCCTAACTGCGCTTGGCCAGGTTCACCGCCTTGAGCAGCTCCTGCAGGCTCCTGCGCTCTCGGGGCTGCCCAAGGCCCACCGTCTTCACCGTGCGCCGGAAGGGCGCCTCAACAAAGACTTCGCTCTCCTTTCTCGATCTTTGAATGGAACTTGGGGGTGGGCTTTGAGAGCAAACCAGGCCGGGTCGGGGGGGGCGGGGGCCAAAGCTTTGACACTCGCCTCATGGGCACGGAAGAGGCCGGTGCCCTCGGCGTTGGGCAGCTCCAGGCGATTCTGGACCTTTCTCGCACAATCTGAGTATATGCTCTTCTGCAACTTGAATGAATCCCCAAAGCCCCTTTCTCTTCCCTTTCCGCAGAGGCACGGATTTCCAGGAGCCCTTTCGCTCCGGTGTTTCTGAGTCTCGCCGAGCCTGCTGGGCCTTGCAACTCTTGCAGTTCAAAGAGCTAACATAGCTAACAGCCCAACAGCCACACTGCTAGCAGACACTCAGGTGGGCGCTTTCTGTTCAAAGAGATCCTGGCAACTCGAGGAAAGCTAGGCCAGCTAGGTCAGCTAGGTCAGCTAGCTTGCTCGCATGTGGACGCATGTGGACGCATGTGGACGCATGTGGACGCATGTGGACGTGCCAACCCTAAGGCCCGTCTCCTTGAGCTCATTCGCAGTGCCCGCCGATTCAGCCGAGGGTGCTGGTGGCCTCAGAGCGCGCTTCTGTGAAGCCCTTCATATAGCGGCAAACTCGCAGGGCACTGTTGCGCGCAAGTGGAGGCTGCGGCGTGGCTCCGGTGGCTCCGGCGGCTCCGCTCTCGCTCTCCTTTCGCGCTGGCCTTAAGGGTCGATATGGGATGTCAGTCAAGCGCCTCGAGTTTGAGTTTTTTGCTTCCTACCTGCGCATTGTGTTTCTATATATATATATCTGTATATATATATATATATATATTTTTTTTTTCTTACCTATATATTTAATTATTTTATGCAGTGCAACAGCAAGTAATGAGATAACCTTGCAACAGATTCCCCAAACGGTGTGCCAACATCAAGGGGTTCCAACATGCGGGGTTGGAGGGGCCGGATTCGGATCGGCTGGCTCGCGTGGTGCGCCCCACCAAGCGCGCCCACGAAAAACCGTGGGTTTTTCTCGAAACCTGCTCGAATTTTGGATGAAAGCCGCGCTCTCACCTAGGCGGGGGCGTCGCGCCAGCGTCGAAACAGCACTGGGCTCGCGAAGTACGAAGCTGTCGTCGCTTGCGGATTTCCGGACCACATGGTCTCCCACTGTTCGGGTCTACGCTTGCATAATGATTATATATAGACATCTGGTCTTGACAGCGGGCGCACCCCCCTCTGGAGAGGAGCAAACCAGGTCCGAGGTCCCCACGCGGAATGCCGGTGCTGCCGCGCGCCTCTCGAACGGCACGGCTCTCGCACATCGGAGAGGACTCCAGAAGAGGAGACATGCCGCGCACATTCCGCACATTCCGCACATGCATTGCTACCTGCTTTGCTACCTCCGTATTCTACCATTTGCTATTATTCGCAAGTTGCGCTCTCTGAAGCTTGTTTCAGGCCTCGCTCGGAAGAGGACGCCTGAGGAAGCTGCACCGGCATTGCAGCGAACGAGATTCTACGACTGCGCGTGTGTGGCGCGTGCCTTCTGCTCGAATCGGTCCTGCCAGTCTTCAAGCCAGCAACCGCAACTAACACCCAATCTCACACACAGCCTCGACTCTACCATGTTTAGTGTTTAGGGTGGGGCTGGGCTCTGTTTGCGGCCTGTTCTTGGGCCTTAAGGTTCTGGTGCCTGCTGCCGTTGGTGCATTCCAGCCACCCTTGTTGGCATGCTGGAACGCCAGGAGCAATCGCTCTGCGATAACAAATTATGCTGGCGACGTCTGGCGGCGCCTCTCCCCACGCTGGGAGGGAGGCTCACCAAACATCGCTCATTGAGGGCATCGGGGTCAACGTCTGTACATAGCCCTCAGATACTACAATTGTCGGCAGGACAAAGAACATACAAAGAGGAGTCCCAAAGACAAACATAAGCTCAACGAACTTGTACGTGAGCCTATGTGCCTCAGGGCCGCTCTTGAAAGCCAAGCGGTACAGTATAACGAACACATAGGGGAGGTTCCAGAGAATGCACAGCCACGCTTTAGAAGCGCCTGAGTGTGGGGCTACCAACTGCCACAGAGCTAAGGGTGAGCCGATGCCAATCAGACAGAAGAGCATTGCTCGGAAGTGTTTCTCACCCATCATCAAGGGCAATGTGGTTCTGCCTGTCTTGCAGTCACCTTCCATATCCTTCAGGTCTTGCACCATAAACGGAACGGTCCAAAACAGAGCGTAAACTGCGACCCACTCCAGTACAGCTGGCTGCGAGCCCACCACCAGGCTGGCCGGGAGCATGATGTTGGCCATGACGGCAACTGGCATAAAGACGAAGGTTTTGAAGAACCAGTTTTTGTCCCACTGCACCACGTAGCCCAGAACATCCAAGAACCAAAGTACACAAGGGAAAGTCTGCTTGTTGTGCATGCCAGCCAGGAGAAAGGCCACGCTCACAATCCCATAGCGAACTTTACAGCCTTGCACCGTCATGAGACCTTTGGGGATTGGTCTCCAAGGCTTGTTGATTGTGTCCTCCTCGACCCCAAGGAACTGATTGGCAAGATCAAACATTATCAGGAACAGACCCGACATGATCACGGTCACAACATGGCCAGTCCAGGTCCACGTGCTCGTAGCAGAGGCGACAGCAAGGTAGGTGACCGTGTGGGTGACCATTCCGGCCAAGAAGTTGTCCCTGAGCAGTGACACCAAAACCCGCGCCTCGCTTTGGCAGAAATCCATGCGTGAACAGGTTCCGGCGGAACGAAATGCTTGACAATGCCTCACCGCTGAGCCCACATGCCCCGCAACGTCTCTCAACAGAGCGAATCATAAGCTACTTCCATACTTCTACTATCTTCTACTGTCGAACAAAATCTCAGCATCGCTTGGCTCCTTCAGCTGGGAAGCCGTGCCGGCTGAGGCCGTCACAAGCTGGTTCTGTGGCCTCGGACTGCTACGACTACGCAGGCCCAAGGCATGTGGGAGAAACCATGCCTGACTTCAGGGCCCGGCGTGGTCACGGTCTCAAAGAGCACCGAGGACTGTGCCGCACCTGCACGGCCCCACAATTCTGCGGAATGGACTGCAGTGGCCCGTCTAAGCGTCTAAGCCTGATGGGTCTCGTTCAATGGAAGGTGTCGCAGCTGCTGTGGTGGGTACCTGGGGCACCTGCCACACAGCATCTCGTCTTGCAAGCTGAGACTTCTGGCCAAATCTGAAAGGCCTTGCTGCTCACAGGTTCATCCTCCGCGGCCTGCGGCCAGGGCTGAATCACTGTCTGAGTAGGTCTGAATCGCAAGAAGAAGGCAGGGTTACCACAGCACACCTGGAAGAGTGATGGAACACCGGTCGAGGCCTCTAACAGTCGACTCCAAAGAGAACCACATGCTCACAACACTTTCGGTCACGGCCTTCCGCTCCTTCTCTTTCGGCTCCACTTTGGGCTCCTCCTTTGGCTCTGCCTTTGGCTCAGCACCTTCTTCCCGGTCCGGTCCGCGTGGAGCGTCCCTTGGTGAGCTTCCATGCAGGCCATGTCGTGATGTCTCTGCACGAGCGTCACATGGGATGCTTTGTGGCTTAGTGTTCATGTCGCGTTGTACCTTTATGTGCCCGTGCCCTCTTTCTCCAAGGAGAGAACGAGGATTGCAGGAGCTTGGCTTGGAGGTGGTGGACCATTCCTGCAAAGATCAGGGAGATGCCCAGAGAAAAGAACATGACACGAACCGGAATGCCAGCGCAGATCACGGACAGGACACGAAGACACGACATGAGGACACGACACAAAGACACGACTCGGAAGCACAACTCAGACATGCATAGACATGCATAGACATGCGACAGACAGGAAGACACGACACGAAAAATGCGACGCCAAGACCCGAGACGAACACGATCGACACAGGCAATTGAGATACGACGACGATGACGGTCCAACAGCGACGTGTGGTACGAGGATTGCGACTAGCAAGGGCCTCATCCCTGTCACTAGGTGGCAATTGTTGAAGATTCAGGATCAGCTCCTGTACGGCGCTCGCGAACTCTCGCTTGCGGACGCTTTGGCAACGATTTCATTTATGTCAGCTCTTCTCCCCACACTTCAACAGAGAACCCTTCTGCTACGCATTCGGGAAAATCACTCCGGGCGTGGCTGGCCTGAGCCTTTGCGTGGGTACCCAGCCGTCTTAGGAGCTTGCAAGGGCACCTGACAGTGTCAGGGAGATCCCGAGATCCTGCGAAGATCTGTGTGGCGATTCCGGTCGGATGCCGAGGTCTGCACTTCAGAGTTCGGCCCCATGTCGGGCGCCTGCGCTTTGACACAAGCCCAGCCCAAAAACGGGAGGGTTGGGGGAATCTGGAAGTCAGGAACAAACCCTCAACCAAAGCTTTCTCTGCGTGTTCAACACTGACACATACACACGGGCATGAACTCGAATGGAGGGGTCTACATCATTGCGACAATTAGTGTCAAAAAGCACATGCCAGGCTGACAGAAATCTTTGAGAGCGTCGAGACTGTGCAGGCTTAGGCCCAATAGGTCTGTCTTCGACAGCACAGCACATTTGGCAACATCATCTCTGGATGTGTTCCCGCATGCGGTGAATCTCACACCAAGCTCGTAGTTGCGGAGTTCGAGGCTTGAGTTTTGGAGCAGTGGAAAGCATGCACTGATGCTACGTTTGAAGCCTGGGGTGTAACCGAGCCCGTCGAGCCCGCTGTTCAAAAAACAACATCAGCACGCAATCCCATGCCGTCTTCGATGAAAGCGGGCTACAGCATGGCATGCGAAGGCGGGCTGCACCCAGATGGACCAGAACCACGCACGAGGCAAACGCGCCTGGAACAGCGCTCGTGTCGGCGTGGGCGTTTCAGCGGCTGCCTTGAATGGAGACTGTCAGGAACTTCTGCTTCCGCATTCTTCGAATCACCCTGGGGGACACACGAGTGCCTGCTCACGCTGCTTCAGCAGCTCTTCGCGCTCCTGCTGTCACAACGTCCAGATTCGAGCCCCCGGATACTCCAGGCGATATCATTCTGTAAGGCTTCTCTGCCGAGACGCTGCCAGGCCGCGCTCACGGCGATCCAGCTCGGCAACCCTCTCTGCAAGTTCCGCCTGGAGACTCTCCCCCAAAGCCTCCTGGCCTGATGAAACACTTAGCAGACTTTGCATCTCGACCCACCCGCGCCTCGATAAGGGATCTGATCTGGCCTCACGCATCAGATAAAACATTGGCGATTCTGATGCATTGTGTAGGCAGCCCTTGTCCGACCCCCCCAGACAAGATTGATGTGGTGCCTGAATTATGCCTCGTACCAACATGCAACAAGATACAAGATGTCCGCCCCAGGCCTGCTAGGCCATCTGCTGCACTGTGAGCAGCCTTCCGCAACAGGCGTTTCTGGGCATTTGAAGAATTTGAGAGGCTGCATGTCTCGCACTTCGAGAGAGCGCGGCCTGCATCTGTTCAGCAGCGTCAGGTAAGTCTGAGGGCACTAAATAAACACTTGAGCCTATGTGACCTCACAACAGCTGCTGTCACGAAAGATCAACTGCCTGTCTTCGAGGGCAGGTCTAGTGAAACAAGGGAAGAACAGCACAACGCCGCTCCGAAAATCAGCATGCTTTGTCCAACGAACAATGGATGGCTTGCGTGCGCCGACTGTTCAGACTGCCATCGTCACACCCTCCTGGTGATGAACCTCAGAAAACTTCAATGAAATCATAGTATGATTGGAGTGGCTGGATGTGTCTCTTCAGAGCCCCCCGCCATCTTGTGCGGCGTCTGGTGCGCTTCTGCTGCTGCGTGTACCGGCGTCTTTGCATCTCTTAGAGTGCTCTTTGGCACTGGAAGGTGGTTGAGATGAGCAGGATGCAGCAAATTCTGGCTTCCATGGCCAGGATGTGAATGCGAGTGGGCAGGGTGCCCATGTTGTGCCGGGTGCGCCTGGTGCGCTGGGTGCGCTGGATGTGCTGAGTGTGGAGCTGGGTGCGCTGGGTGTGAGTGGTATGCCGAATGAGGTGGGTGAGCCGGGTGAGCCGGGTGAGAGGGCTGAGAGGGGTGAGAGGGGTGAGCCGGGTGTGGTGCATGCGCTGCACCTGCTGTAGAGGCTGGGTGCGCAGCGTGCTGCTTCGACCGCGAGCCTGTCGCGTCATTTGTCCAGAATGCCAAAGAATTGACAGATTGGATGCACATTGGCCTTCGTGCTGCTTCTTTGTGAACCCATGTTGTCGGAGGAAGTCCTCGGATTGCTGCATGGCCAAGACATGGAACGACCTGCTCAGTCGATTGAGGCTCGGGCTGCCATTGGAACCAGCCCAGATTTGGCTCGCACGCAAAGTTGACCCTCCAGCAACGGGCACATGAGCATTCAGCATGACGTTACCCTGTCCTTTCTCCGACAGCAAGATTTGGAAGGCGTCAGAGGTTCCCCCCCAGCCTTGACTCGATTCGCAACTTCCTCATCCACCCGCCCCCCCCCCCCCATCGTTTCCTCCCCCATTTCCTCAATTCTGCAGCTTTGCCTGGGGAACCGAGATGGGAATACGGCTCCTCGGCCTACCAGTGTGCGACCGGGTGTTGAAGCAATTTGAAGCAGACCTAAGAGCCAAGAAACCTGCACCCCGGAGCGGTCTTCAAAGCATCCGGGCAGATTTGCCCCATAGGTAGGCAGTCTGAGCCGAACCAGAAGTCTGACGTAGCTAAGGCAGCCTGAGGCACCGCCCAGTTCTTGCTGACCAACCCCCGGATTCGGAAGCGAAAACGCAGTGTCGGAAACCAGGACAAAGCACGCTCAGTGCAACTGGGCCATGCTTCCCATAGCAGAAAAAAAAAAAAAAAAACATGTCTCCCCACATCAAAATGGTCACATCCTGTCTTGAGAAACTCCCTGTGCCCTCCCAGAGCCCTCCCTGAGCCCAAGGCGGCGTCCGTCAACTCCAGGGCCACGGGCTTCTCCGCGACAAGATGGGCAGAGGCACCTCGACGCGGCATCTCGGGGTGCACGTAAAATCCATACAAGCGAAAACAACAATATGTTTAATATATACGTATATATATATGTATGCAGATCGTGGTTTGTATATGCAAAGCTATATATATATATTATACAAATAACGTCGAAACCAGTTTCCTACCACTCTGTCGTGGGGAAGGGTGCAGCACTTTCCAGCTGTACAAGAGAACAAGCCTTACAAATGGAAAGCGTTGAGCCATGTTCAATACCGACAGCGGTTTGCATTTTGAAGATGCTTTCAGTTACTTCATGAATCTCAGCGTTATACTGCTTACTAGTAAGATGGCAAGTGCCCTAAGTTTAACATGTTTGAGATGGTCTCATGAACAAAGCCGGATGTCAGTCGTACTTCTTGAATATTCGTTACTGACTACTAAATTGGACACTAAATCTAAAACGCCTGTGCCGCGTATGTTGTGCTATGCACACGTACATATTTCACAACATGTGTGACCTACGAGAAATACACGTAATCATTTGAGCCCACCCAAGTTAAAACTGCAAGAAAGTGTTTTTTGTCTTTCTGTGTTGCTGGACTTTCCTTGAGTTGTTGTTGGTTTGTTGTTTTCGGGAAAGCTACACGAAACCAACAAGTCAAATTTGTCAAAGTGTAAACTCAAGAAAACAAAACCCAAAAAAAAACACCGTGTTCTGAGATTCTCCCAGAAAGCAACTCGGTGCACAAGCTCGGACGACCCGGAGAACTCGGCATCCTTCCAGCAATAATCGGCTTTGGATTTTCGACAAAATTGCATCTTCATCTCTATTTACAGTGGTCTCGAGTGTCTGTCGTGTGCGGGGGGGGGGGGGGGGCCATATACATATATACACACATATCTGATGTACGTATGTTTCTAAAGAACCTGACAACTACAACTGCGAACTCAGCCCCGGGCTCAAGCGGATGATTGGGGGGACCAGCTCCTGAACAAGTCACGGGAGTTGATTGGCGCTTCAGATAACTCGGGGCCATGAGGGGCCCACCCCTTGCTGCCGCATCTTCTGGGTGAAGCTGTCGACTGCGTCGTCCACAGCGGTCTTGGAAACGTGAGGACCGCGTTCTTGCATGGCATGGGCCGCCTGCCTGCAATGCGCATCAATGCACTGCAAGATGCAGACTGGCAAGCAGAGGGGCAAAACGTGAGAAGAGGCACAGTGAAGGGCTTTTTCAGATCGAACGGCTGGGAAGCAGACATGTTGCAGAACATCGCATTCAAGCTTCGATCCGGTCCGGCCCAATCACTCTGCGCAGTCACAGCTTGACGTACTGCAAGGGCTTCTGAGCTCAGCGCATCTATGGCTCAGCGTTCGACAAGTGTTTGGTGGTCATGGCCACCCAACTCCGCATACCATCGCCCCGAAGATCCTGTACGTGCAGATGTCCCAGACGGAGGCTCCATCGCCCGAATTGAGTGCCACAGCAGCACCACCGAGTCTGCGCCACTGCCGGCTGATCAGATCGGCACAAAGGATTGCAGCAGGAAGGCCCGTGGAGGAAACGCACTCCAGAATCCAGTCCTCGTCCACTGCCCAATAACTGCAAGACTGCTGCACACTGAGATGAAGCTACTCAGCTACTCATGCACGCGCGCGCGCACACCTACACACACCTACACACACCTACACACACACCTACACACACACCTACACACACACCTACACACACACCTACACACACACCTACACACACACACACACACCTACACACACACCACACACTACACACACACCTACACACACACACACCTACACACACCACACACCTACACACACACACACCTACACACACACACCTACACACACACACACACACACACACCTACACACACACAGACACACACACACACACACACCACACACACACACACACACACACACACACACACACACACACACACACACACACACACACACACACACACACACACACACACACACACACACACCACACACACACACACACACCACACACACACCACACACACACACACACACACACACACACACACACACACACACACACACACACACCACACACACACACACACACACCACGCGCACGCGCACGCGCACGCGCACGCACGCACGCGCACGCGCACGCGCACGCGCACGCCACACACGCACCGCACGCGCACGCGCACGCGCACGCACGCACACGCACACGCACACGCACACGCACACGCACACGCGCACACGCACACGCGCACACGCACACGCACACGCACACGCACACGCACACGCACACGCACACACCTACACACACTTCTACACACCTCTACACACCTGCACACACCTACACACACTTCTACACACCTCTACACACCTGCACACACCTACACACACCTGCACACTCCTACACACACACTTCTACACACCTCTACACACCTACGCACCGTCCAAGCTAACCTGAGAGCTCTGCCGCGAAAAGAGCAACATGCAAGAATGCAAGACCTCAAACCTAGCTCCGGCGTTGTTGACATGAGTCGACCTGCCAGCTGCGTAGACAACCTGGTGCAATCCAAGTAGGTACAAGTCCACCCCTCTCACCCAGTCTTCGTCGGCCAGGACAGCTGATCACAGGATCATGGGCCCCTCATGACACAGAGTCATACACACGCGCACACACACACACACAGACACACAGACACACAGACACACAGACACACAGACACACAGACACACAGACACACAGACACACAGACACACAGACACACAGACACACAGACACACACACACACACACACACACACACACACACACACACACACACACACACACACCCCTACACATCTCAAGCTTGTCAAGCATAGCTCCTGCCAGGCAGAGGCAGCGCCAGCACGTCGTACCAGCAGGCCAACTCCGGGCGGCTCCAGCAAATTTCAAAGCTTTCGTCCCACCAGGAGCCCGTCAAAGGAATCAAAGACCGACTGCCAAGCAGAAAGCTTTCCTGTTGTCGAGAAGGGTTTAAGTTCGGAGATGGGGTGGCAGAAGGCACATTAGACCCAGGGGAAGCAAAACTTCTGACTGGCAGCCGCGTCACGTAGCCGAGGGTCCGGAGCCATTGGACCATGCTCCGCAGCGTTGGTTCGGTGAGGTCCTGCACTTTCTTCGCACCCACTGCGCTCACGTGAGACTCCTTGTGCACTCGAAAGAAGTCCCGATTCATCTGTCCGGCCACTTCGAACACAATCGCGGCCACCTCGCCTCTTTCTAGCAAGCCTTGGGCGCCCGGCAACACTTCCATGTCATGTCCTTCGGTGTCGACTTTAAGAAGAAGGCTTGGCCCCAGCCCCGCTTCCTGGGCAAAATCGTCGAGGCGCTGGGTTGCCACAGTTGCCACATCCGACAAACGCTCAAAACTGTAGTCTGGGCTGTTGGTCTTGGCCGGGATGTGTCGAGAGAGCGATGCTTGGTTGGCGGATCCCCGCAAAGAAGCGGTGCCAGTGACATTTGAAGCTGCTCGCTGTTGCCAGCTCACGCACCTGGGCCGAGGGACCGGAACAAGGCATGAAGCTTTGCACAAATATGGCGGAAATGCAATGTGGGCTGGGATTCACCCCACGGATCGACTTAGACTCCAATTAGAGTTCTTGGCCCTTTTTCGGTCTTTGAAAGGTTGAGGGAGCCTCCGCGCGGCACGACGGCCCAGGGCGAGGTCCCGGCGGAGTTTCTGCTCCGCGCGCCGCTGCGTGCGCCGCAGCTCCTGCGGGAGGGGCTCGAAGGCGTGGATCTGCACTGCAGGGGAGCAGCCGAGGAGCACCGCCATGTCCGCTGCATGGCAGCGGTCCGGGCCTTCGTAGCTTGCGGCGCCCACGTCGAGCACTGCCAGCTTGGCTTCGGGCAGTGCACGTAGAGCACTGCGACCAAGGTCAGCAAGTGCTTCCAGGACCTTTCGCATGCCGGCCTGGGCCTGGCCGGACCCACCCCAGAACTCTTCGGGCAGTGATCTTTGCAGGTAGGCGGCATTGCGTTTTCGCCGCCAGAGTGCCACTCGCTGCAGGGTCGGCAGAAAAGAGGGCCCCCAGCGGGCCTGGCAAAGAGGAGCCCGGGCGACTTCCAGCAGCATTGGCCAGGCCCTGGATGCCGAAGACTCCAGGCGCAGGCGCAGGCGGCCACAGTTGAGCTGCTCCAGCTGCTCCAGCTTACCCGCCATGAAGGGAGCGACGGTTGCGAAGTTGATCGAGGCTGTGCACCCACTATGATCATTCTTCTCTTGTCTCAGAAGCTAAAGCTGGACCCTTCCAACTGTGCATGAGCCACATACCAGTGGAGGCGAAACGAAGGCATTTTGGGAGAATGTGATATTGGGCCATGCACCGAAGAAACCTGCATGGAAAAAGCAAGCGGTCGGAGACCGCCACGGAGACAGGCGTTTTCGCCATGCGAGCAAACAATCTACTACGAGCAGGCTCCAACGTCTCCAGTCCCACACATTCCCTGAAAAGATGCAAAGGCAAAGTCTGTAGATATCTGTACCTTCACCACGAAATTAGCCATTGACAACCTGGGTTAAGGGTCACAATGGGTCCCACATGTGTCCCAAGTCCCTGTGCCTGACACAAGCGGTCAGGGCAGCCAGCTGCTCTTGGTTCTGTCGCGCATCTGCCTCGACGTTTCTCATTTTTGCTAACATCTATGCTGAGACATGTTGGGATGCTGTGAGAATCAAGGCCTGCAAGAAATTAGCTCCCGGAAACGTCTGGCGTACAGGGCGCGCGCACCTCCACCTCTTCGTAGGTCTTGGCCTGCCTCAGTGTCCAAACTTCAAACCCAGGCACAGCACTCCAGGCAGAATGAAAGAGAATGAAGGTCTATATGAAGTAAGAAAAACTTAAGTCGCTGAAGTCTATGTTAGGCTTCCGACGCTGCCACAGAAGTCTTGCGGCCCTTCTCTTCGTGGAGACGTGCCTGGCGCAATTCACAGCTCCAGGTGCTCAATCGCAAGACTGGGCCTATAGGCAAACGGCCTGAAACATCCTGAAAGGCTACCTTGGCTCTACACCTTTCTACATCTTTCTACATCTTTCTACATCTTTCTACATCTTTCTCCATCCTCCAGCTTTGCCCATCTTTGCGGTCCTCGAGGATGCGTTGCTCCTCCATCTGGCCACGCTTCAGCTCGTCCGCCGTCTTGGTTGGCAAGCTCAGGATGAGAGTGGGAAACACGTGTTGCTGATATGGTCCCTGACAAGTGATAGGCAGAGAAACACAGAGAATCAACTAAATGCTGTGAAACGTGCCGCTGTTGAACGACAGTCATGGGCATGCTACGTGGTTCAAACATCGCGCTCTTGCGTCGGTCCCGCACTCTTTTTGGAGGCTTTTCTAAGGGCTCACTTCGTGCGTACGGACTTCTGCGGACGCCTACACGTATCTTGACCCAAGAAGGGATCACAGTCAGAAGCAGAATGAAGCAGAGAGCTGGCCATGGAAATCCGAAATCCGAAATCACCCCCCGTTTTCTTCCCCCCCCTTTTCTTGTGAAAGCTTTGAAAAGGTTTTTCGGGGGCCGCTTTGGGGCACCTCGTGGCCCAGGCGGGCCGCCGCCGCGCAGAGTCGCTCCTGGCGAAGCCGCTGCTTTCTTGGGCTCCGAGACGGTCTTTTAAAAAAAAGCAAGTTGAGGGCCAGTTGAGAGGCTTGAGTCGCTTGAGGCATTGGAGAGCTGCAGCTTTCTTAAAAGTGGTGGTGTTTGGATAACTTGATGCACAGAAGAGGGGGGGGGGTCTTGCCATTCCTCAGCTGCCGGGGCTTCGGAAGGCGTTGAGTTGAGAAGCGAAGCGGAGCGAAGCGGAGCGAAGCGGAGCGAAGCGGAGCGAAGCGGAGCGGCTGAGTGACGAGAGAACGGCGACGGCGCCACAGAGCACCTCCATCACCAATGCCTTCAAGAGTTCCTTCCGCCGCTGGATCTCCTCTGCCTGGACTACGCTCAAGGATTTGAGAGCCAGGAAGCACAGTCACACAGCCAAATCGTCAGTGAAATCGTCAATCATGTCCGGCTGGCATGGTATCTGCTCTTCTCCTCCATGCGCGTGAGGTAGCTCTGGAGCGCCAGGATCTCCTTTTGCACACACCCAAAAAATGAAAGAGTCCCTGCCCCCCATCCTACCCCCGTGGAAGGATGCGGAAGGGACCGGTACATTCAGAGCAGACCGTATACCAGCTTCTGCCATCCTGCGACCCTGCGAACTGTGCCCAAAGATCTTTTCTCCTCTGTTTCCGGCGTCTTTGGTCACTGCGCTCGGAGGCAAATTCCTCCTGCACAACAGCGCAAAACTTCCATACTTCGGCCAAGTATGCCGCAGTATGGCGCTTGCCCGTGAGCCAATGCTCTGCCGGCAAGCGGCGTGCACCTGTACAGTTCTAGACTTGCTTGCCTCGGCGCAAGGAAGATGGCAGGTCTTCAATTCGACTTTCGCAGCACTTCTGAGCCCCTGAAGGAAGACAGAAAAGTTAGCCACACCAGGCCAACGCCTGCAATCCAGGGTACTCGCCAGTGGATGGGCACCATGGTGAACGTGAGGCAGTGCGCTGGCAACCTGAGCCAGTGCGAAGCTCCCCCCCTAAAATACTTTGACACAACTGCACACAGCAAGTTCAGTACTTGTCTAACATACATGAAATACTCATGAAATCTGGGAAAGCCGAGGCCATGATGCTCACCCAACATCACTCGCACACATCTACACCCAAACACGACCCAGGGGCCAGAAGCTGATGCACCGCTGCACATCGGACCACACGTTGGAGTGCCACTGCAGGAAGATCGACTGCAGGCTCAAGCTCGCAGCAGCTCCCGTGAATGCTTGCACACAGCCCGAGGCAGTGTAGAAGACCGGGAAGTAAAAGAAGGGGATGTGAAGGATCTGATCCACTGCGATCTGGAAAATAGCTCGCGCCGGTTGCTGCAAAGCCAGGGCAGACACCAGCCGCGGGTAGGCCACCGTGTATATTGCATGCTGCGAGAGACCGCAGTAGAAGAAGCCAAAGCAACCGAACACCAAAAGTCGATGACGGTCGAGCTTCTCTTTACCTTCTATAATTTTCTGTGCTACGACATCCGCAGTCACGGCCTTGATAGTGGAGATCGTGATGCCAAAGGCAAGCGGATGACGTTTGCATACATGGTCCACCCACCTTGCCCATGCCCACATTGCGCCAAGAGCTATCTCTGGCAGCAAAGACTTTTGTGGTTTTTTGTGCCCTTAGGACAAGACTTCGGAATCTGGTTGCAATGCGTGGGTATCCTTTGCAGAATTTTGCAGATGATATCAGCTGTCATGCAGTGTGCGGTAGAGTAGAGTAAGCATCGCAGCATCGCATTTTCTTGAGCTCTGCTGACGAGCTGCGAGTACTTCATTGACCTTTCAGATGTCTTGAAACACCCGCACCCCACCACCCCCCACTCCAATGGCCACACCAAGCCCCCAAAAGCCGAAGCCACCTTCAACCAACACCTTCAAGAAGCGACCACAACAAAGAGGGCCCAAGAAGGTTGGAAACCCCAAACCGTCTTTCAAAAATCCGAGTCTGTTCCTTTCTGCGGACTCCTTGGTGCAGATTAACAACAGCGAAGCGCTAGAACCGTAAAGGGTTGAGGGCTCCACATGTCGTCGGCCAGTGCCCTGCCCCGGGCCTCCTGGAACACCTCGATCTGCCTCTGGTGCTCACGGCGCTCACGGACCATTACCTGGGTTTGAGGAGAAGTCTCCTGATGACCAGAATGATTCGTCATGACTTGCTGCTCCTCTGGGACAAAGGCGGCATCCTGCTGCTCCTGCTCCACAAGCGCCTGGCAACGATGGGGCCGATATCACAAAACCTGAGCACGGGGCCCGAGAAAGATCCCGAAACTTCGCCTCCACTTGGTGACGCCACTGATCGATGGCCATGTGCCGGTGTAGCAGATCACTGTCCTTCTGCAGCTTTGCCACCTTCAGGGCTTGAACCGCCATAGGCTTGGCTCAGGGCCGAATTAGGGTTTTGGGGGCAGGCTGGCAAGACAGCAGGGATGCCTTAGCTACCCTGCCTTGCTTCCATGGAGCTTGTGCTGATGCTGCATTGCTTGCAGATCTGCCGCCTGAAGAACGGGATCCAAAATCCGGGAAGCCTAGTGGTGCGAAACTCGCGCGCGCGCGCGCGCGCGCGCGCGCATGCACGCGCAAGAAAGGGATTCGCTTGGGTTTCGTTTTTTGACTTGCAGCTGAGGAGAGCTGGACTACATGCCGGAAACGCAACTCGGATTCGTGCTACCGGAAAACGGGATTCCTGCTGCCAAAAACACGGATTTGTGAGACAACAAGATGCGTGAATCGCGTGTGGTTGCGCGACGTCGGCATGCCAGGTCCTGCAGAAAACTGCGGAAGGGATGCAGATAGCGTCTCCCTGCCAGGAACTGCCAGCAACCTGCCTTGGCTGCAACCTGCTGGGATCCATGGTGTATGGCCTGCACACGGCAGCCAGAGACACTCTGCTCCTCGGTCCAAGTGCTCCTTGGGGGCCTCTTGCAGGCCCGACAGCTCGTCATCCTTCTCCGCGAGCTCGGACTGCAAAGGCTAAAGCGGCCAAAAGCGGCTCAAAGACCCTCTTCTCTCAAGAGCAACAACAGATGCAAGTAAGATGCAAGTAACAAGTCACGTTTAGAAGAGTACTTCCCTCTCTTCCAGGCTCGGTTGGAACCTCAGCCGAGGCCAGGCGCTTCTTCAGAGTCATGACCTGAAGAAGCTTCCCGACGTTCCGAAATTTCCGATAACAAGGGTAGCTACCCTCTCCGTGGGCTCCTAGAAGATGGAATGTCGCAGTTTTTGGGGATGAGTTGAGGGTACACCGGTACAGCAGGCAACAGGCCGCGCCACCTTCTGTCTTTTGCCTCGAGTGAAACATCGGGAGCGATGGCGAAAAGAAAGCCAAGCGCGAGGGCCAACTGCAGCCCTGAATTAGCTTCCCGCCCTTCGGGCAGGGAGGCCATGAGAATTGAAAATCATGTTTGGGTTTGCAGCTTTGCATTGGAATGACACGAAGAACAGTGAGATCATCTTAGGTCACGTAAAGCTCAGTAAGGGAAAGGAGGAGTGCGGCGCCGCACAGACCCCCGTACACTGACCGGCTCGGAGGGACCTTCTTGAAAGGACCTCCCCGGGGCGTGCAAAAGTGGCCTTTCAAAGAACCAAACGGACAAAAGGAAACAACATGCAAAGAACATGTGTGTCTCTCTGCTTTCTTGCTCAGATCACGAGAAGTGGCCATTTTTGCGACCCAAAAGAAAACTTTAAAACCACCATTCAAGAAAGAGGAAGAGGCTTGGATTCTCAAAACTTAATTCAATATTGGATTCCTTGCAAAATCCTTCAATGGACTCTCAAGGCTTGGTAGCCAGCCTCACTCGCTTTGGAGAGGCTGGACAGTCCTCCATGGAGAAGACCTGGCAGCGCAAAGGGAGGCGCGCAACAGGGCAACAGATGGCAACAGATGGCAACAGATGGCAACAGCAACCACTTCCGAACCTTCTCTGCGGACACCTGGAGCCCCGAGGCCGTGAGCCCACCTGCAGTCGCAGGATCGTGGCCTTCACCACATCTTCGTATCGTGTGGTCAGAAAACTGACGGGAGCATGGAGTCCGCAGGGGAAGTAGGCTGCGGTAAGGCTGTAGGCTGTCCAAGGCTGCTGCAGAGTCTCTCCCGTACCGCATGATATTCGGCAGCTTCGATGCTGTCTTCTTAACGACCCAGGCGTCCGGCACTCCACAGCGTGGTGATTGCGACACAGTTTTCGTGAAGTTGTTTGCATCGCCAGGGTTTCCGGCAAGCCGGCGTGCCCGGCTTGTCGGCCCAACGCATCCGCGCACCCCCCCCCCCCAAAGTAGAAAGACCAAGAAAGCAGCTTAGCACCTCTGGTTTCCACAGCGCTTCACTGCAAGGGAGGGTTAGCAATGACGCTGCATCGGCAAGCGCATGTGCATTTGCTCGACGTGCTTCTTGGAATACGCCAATGCGCACGTCCACGTACATGTTGGTGCTGAATTCCGACTTTTGTGACTTCCAACAAAGGGTGGGTCGGGGAGACAGCTTGTTCAGATGCAAAATAATACAAAGGGTGGCTTGGTGGCTTACGTACCCTCTGCGCGACACCCCGGCCTTTGCCTTTGAGCCCCGGGGTGAGAGGCTCGAGAGGCTCGGTGTGGGGCGTCCAGTCCTACCACCAAGTATGTCAAGGAACAAGAAGCCTGACACCCCTGCTGAGTTGAGTGCCTCTTGGCGCCGCCGCAGCAGAGCAGACATCGGCTCGCGGGACGGGTCTCCTCACGCGACACAGCCACGGGCTGAAGGTTCATCCGGGTTCGTCTCGTCGTGGCTTCGCCCCAAGAAAACACGACGCACTGACAATTTCGAGCAAAAGTCCTTCATTCAATGCCGGAGACGACTTTGCCCTGGCCAACGCTGACGCGTTTCCTGCGACAGCTTCCTGCACCACTACCTGCCAGGCACTGCCAGGCACTGCCAGGGATGCCAGGGATGCCAGGGACAGGATGGGACAGGGTTGGTTTGCAAGTTGGGGTGTGAGCTGCTGAGAAGGCGGGTTGCCTTAGGAGCCTGGGCCGTCAAAGGCGACCTCTTTGGGTTCGTCTCGATGTTGAGCTTCAGGCCCCGCCTGAGAAGACTCTTTGCACTACTACTGATAAAGTCCACGAATACTCATCACTGCTGAAATTACTGCCCCAGACAAAGACTTCCACGGAGGAATCCGGGGAGAACTTGGCCTCTGACCTCTGAGCAATTGCAGAGTTTGCACCAAGGGATGAGGATGGAGAGATCTCCTGGCCAGCGGGCGGAGCGAAAGGGAACCCGCACGTCACGGCACGTCACATCATGTCACAGGGTCCGAAAATGGAGAGAAGTGCCCCCCGACAATGCCTGGCTTGTTGAAGGCGAGATCTGTGAAGGCGATGCAAAGGCCCTGCCGCGAGGCTCAGGACTTCACGGTTCTCTTAGGTCCAGGGAGTGTCGTGCATGTGCAAAACAAGCGCGGGGAGAACGAAGATGACACGGCTCTTCCTGCAGAGCAGGGAGATATGGCACAGTTAGACGACAGGTTCAAGGTCTGCGAATCCCTGAGTTCATTCACCTTGTTGCTTGTCCAACTGCGTTCTCACCTGCTGCAGCTCCTCCAACATGCGCAGCAGCCCGAAAGCAAAAGAGGGCTCAGGACCAGCATTGCAGTGCAGGCCTGATAGAGTGCCTGAACCTCAACACACTTCTCCTCAAACTTCTGCGCCAGCCACTCCTCGATGCAAGCGCGACCCCTTCAGAGGCACATGTTCCTGAAATTCCCAAGCCTTCTCCTTCTTTTCTTTGTCTACTGTTGCCAGCAGCCATTGCAAACCACCCTGTCAGAGAGCTCGGGATGGCCAGATCCAACCATGACAACGAAAACTTGGCGGTTTTTAACGAGACTTTTTCCAGACTTCTCGCTTCTTCGTTTCTTTAGCCTTGTCGTACCGGGTCTCCCACGGCGGTTTGCCGTGGCAGACTTGGCTCTGGTCCTTTGAGGAACCAGAGTTCAGAATTTGGGAAAACTCCAGGTTAAGGAATACAGGCGACAAAGGGCCCTTTGCCCTTGCGATGCCTTCTGATGCCTTGCGCGGTCTGCTTCAGGCAGAAGGATGCTCGCGGAAGTTCGAAATTTTCGAAATTTCACTCTGCTGACAACGGGAGCTCCGAGTCCCTTGGGCCCTTCGTCGACTTGAACGCTCCAGTGTAGGGAATCAGGAAGATGCCCGCAGCCGTTGCCATTCCGACCACAACGGATGCCCACAACGAACACAAGGACAACGTCCTGTTCATGGCCTCTGAAGGAAAGCTGCCATCTGAGATGGTATGCTGCCGGTACAGCCCGCCAAAGAACCATACGGCGACAAGCGACCACGCAAAGTCGCTGCGCACCGTGGCCATCAAGACAGACACAGCTGCAAGGATGGCAACCACAAGAATTGCAGTGTGTGGAGTTCCTGCAATTCCATAGGCATCGGTCCAGCCGTAGGAGGCGGCCAGAGTGAACTTGTTGGCTGCCGTCGCAACAAGCACCCAGCTGGCATTACAGGCTATGCCCGAGCCGTACACCACCCACATCCAAAATGAGCCTGTTGTCTTGGTGTTGATGTCGACATAGATCATGAGGAGAAATGCCAAGTACACAAGGATGACCAGCATGGACTTCCCGAAAAGCATGTTGGCATAGAGCGGCAACCAAAGTGCGTTGAGAAGGAACACGATGACCAAGCGCCACCGAACCGAAAGGCTTGTCAGGGAGCATGGTTGCTGCAAGGCCTTCTCCGCACTCTCAGATGTGGAACACTGCATGACCACCAGTATGCCCTCAAGGGTGTAGGTTACAGCCCAAATCAAGAAAGTCAGCATGTCCGGCGTGACATACGTGGGATACTGGCTGGAGACAGTGCCAATGGACTGGGCAGAGAGGAGCCCACGCGCTGCCAAAGCATTCAGGAAGAGGCTGAAGACGAACGTCACGACAACCAAGATCTTCTCAACGAAGGCCATGCTTGCTACAGCACGTCTGCGGTCCTACGATGATCTGCAAACCAGCAAGGCTGCCGGAGCCACCCTTTTCTAACATTTCCAGCTTCAGGCGCAATACGGGGCCCCTTCCTTTGGCAGGTCACCCCAGCTAACGCAATGCAGCCACATAATCAAGATAAAGGAGTGCCCACGTGTGACGATTGTGAGAATAAGTTAGCATCTCTGAGTTCAACCAGGGTCTCCACTGGGCAGGAAAAATCGAGCTTCACAACCAATGGCCTCGACACTTTGTACTCCTGTTTGGAGCTTCTTGGCCTTGGCAGCACCGTTCAGAACGCTACGAGTACAGTGTGCTTCAGTAGTCCAAACTTCGTGCACTGGGGCCAACTGCCTCTGGAGAACTCGCCTCGTTGCCCTGCAAGGATGCGAACCGCAACATTCGCAACGAGCAGGAAAAAAGTCCAAAGATGTCGCAAGGTTTGGGTCTAACCGCTTCCGGTGGCGCTAAGGGAGGGAGGGGGGGAAGGGTAGATGGATTGGTTCAGAGAAAAAGCAGAGGGGCCGTGGTTGAACTTGCTGGCCTGGTCGATGCTGCTGATGGACCGGTGGACTGCGGATTCGAAGCCGCTGCGGGCGGTGCTCTGGCACAGGAAGCTCCACTACAAGAAGAGACCAAGAAGATGCAAGAAGATTGCAAGAAGTCTCAAGCGTCAAAACATGGGGTGCCGTGCCGGCCTTCTCCCGCGGAAGCGGCGGCACGGGCGGCGCAATCGATCCAGCTGAGCCCATGGCACAGCATGTGCTTGCCAGCTCTAGCAGCAAGAGCTTCTCCAGTCTATTGCTTTGCTATTGCTTTGGTGCGACCATTTTGGATGGACAGTTGGCAGGCGTGGAGGGTGTCGGTGTCGCTGGGGAGCTCAGAGTCCCACTGGGTCAGGAAATCTCCTACCAGTATCGGAAACCTCGTAGAATCTCGTAAGAGCACGCTGTGTTTTTTTGCGGTTCTAAAAGCATCTTTCATGGGATGGCGCCGAGGGAGACAAAATCATCCTTTGGGAAGCATGTTGACCGCTCCGACCGCTCCGACCGCTCCGTGCTTCACGGAATCACGGATTCAGACATGGAGCCTGTGAGTCGATGTTCCTGGCTGATGCCTGGGCAGAGAAGCCAGAGAAAGATGCGAAAAATTTGCTGAAACCGCTTTGCCGCTTTGTACTTTGACATCTGGCTTTGTCCGTCCTGCAAGACCGCCTGTTTGCTGCCGCTGGCCACCTCCGCCTTTTCGCAGGCACAGAAGCCGTCATCCCCCGTCACATGCGGTCGGGTGCCCCCCAGGTCCCCGGGCCTTGGCAGAGAGCGTCCCCACCTGGCCTTGTGGCAGGGACATGAGCCGGCGACCAACGAAGAGGCAAAACAAGATGCAAGAAAAGCCAGAGATGGGAAGAGTGCGGAAAAAACGCTGCCTGCTGCTTGCCGGAGCTGGTCCTCTGCGTCGCGGATCTGCCCCTCCAGGCGCAGCACCTGCAGAGCACAACCATGCATTGCCACATTGCCATGTACCGATGAAAGGAGCGGCGCCATGCGCATAAACATCTCGAGGATATGTTTGCAAGCTTCTTGCAAGCGACAGTGTCAGCCTCCTGGCTGCGGGTCTCCAGCTCCTGGCGGAGCACTCGCAACTCCACCTCGCGGGCCGCAACCTGTGCACAAGACACCTTGAAGTCGCCTAAAGGCCTCGTTCACTGCACTACAGTCACTACAGTCACTACAGCCCCTCTACTAACTTGGCCCTCTGGTACCTCGTTCTGAAGAGCATCAGGCTCCAATTCTGGCCACCTGGAGGGCATCTGAGACTGAGCACATCTAAGTCTTGACTCAGTGAAAAGATGTGAAAAGTCTAAGGCAGCAGCTGCGACTTTGGGCTCTCACGCTCATCCACTGCCGCAGAAACGGCGGCAGCTGGCAGTCGAGCAGTGCCGTAGACAAGTTCCCAAGGCCACAGTGAGCACAGCCCCTGCATTTCTACCGCACTGCCTGTGGTTGCGTGGTGATGCTCTGCTTCGACCGATGCCGGCGATGAAACCCGCGGGCTGTGCACCTGCCACAAGGCAATAAGTTGTTATTCAACTAAGTTGACAAGTTGCCTTGTTTTCGGCACGTCACTTGTTTCCTGCGTTTCTGTTTGTTTCGCTGCGCCTTGGGTGACAGGCTTCCACGGTCGCCCTTGTGCGGAGACCTAAAGAGACCATCAACATCCATCAACAAACTGAGATATTGAGACATCACATCCACAAACGAATCATTTGGGAGCTCTGAGATTGAAGCTTGGAGCGCGCAGCCTCACACAAATCTCACAGCAGCTCCTTGCAACTACTGTGCAGCACTGCGGTCGCTAGGCGAAGATGGCCTTGGCCGTGGCCTTCGCTTGGTGGCGCTCGTGCAGCTGTTGCAAGAGCTCGCGGTCTCGCTCCGAGAGCTGGCGCAGAAGCAGCTCTGCACGCCAAAACAATCAAAACGATCAAGACATATCAAGACACAGATAGCCAAGTCATGTCTTCATGTGGCCCCGCCGGTGGGTGTGGCTGCAGCTTGGGCTTCTGCGACGCCTTTGGCGAAGCCGGCGAAGCACCTCCGTGGAAGGTATGCAAGGAAAATACAAAACAATGTGGCTGCAATTCATCATCACCCAAGACTATAGATACACACCGGGATGCAATTTGTACTTAGCTGACGTAGCTGCTGTAGCATCTGGGAGCCTGCTGGAACCTGCGCAGAAGCAGCAGGACCGCTCGCAGCATTACAAGTGGTCGCTCACTCTGGACCAGACCACACGTGTAGCGTGGGACACTCTTTTTTGGCTCTTCTCCGCTTGTCTAAGGTCTGAAGCGCCGTGCGGTGCAGCTGCTCGGAGAGACTGGACAGGCCCCGTACCTCGATCATGCGGAGCACTGCGGCGCAAAGCGGAGCAAGGAGGCAAAAGGATGCAAAAGGACGCACCGAGGAGGCTCCCTTGTCTCTTGCGCAAATGCAGCAATCTGTGCTTGTGTGTGTGTGTGTGCGCCTATGCATGCATGCATGCATGCGCGCGAGTGTGCGTGTTCGTGTACGTGTGGGTGTGCGCGCGTGCAAGCGGCCTCATTGCCGGCGCTGCACCATCCCCAGCCTAGGCGCAGGAGAAGGCGTCAGAAAGCGAGAGGGGGGCACACGGGCAACAGCACCCCAAATGTGCCCCGCCCCCCCGGTATCGTGACACGCTCACTCGCACTATCCTGACAGCTTCCTTTTTGCAGCTGCAGGTCACTATGGTCAAGCTAGCTTTGAGCTACGGTGCAGGGAGGATGCTTTGCACCCTGCCATGCTGAAGTTCCCCGCTCGGCGAGCTTCTGCGGGGGCAGCCACTCCGTTCGGGGCGCCTAGCGCCTGGTCAGCCTGCACGAGCTCCCCGAGCTCTCCCTGACAATGACATGAGCGTCCATGGGCGCCACGTGCCTACATGGCGGCAACGTGCTGGTTGAACATCACTTCTTGTCAAAGAGCACGCACGGCTTGCTCCGCCCTTTTGTGTCGAACCACACTATGAACGACTAAGAGGACTACTCACCATGGGAGGAATGAGCGATCTAGGCGGTGCCTCACGGTCACGGGCGTGGAACGGTGCGTGGCTGACTCGGTATGGGAGGCGCACCTTGCAAAACGACACAGCCTGCAAAATGCTACGGCTACCCATTCTCTCCCCTAGCTGGCTTGCTGAATTAGTGATCAACCAAACAACCTGTCAAATTGAGTGCTTACTTCGCCTTCACACATTTAAACTTCCGGTTGCTGACTTCTAGTCTGACTTACTATTCTGGTTACCTGTGTATTGGTCGTACTTTTGATACAATATTACGATGTTGGTGTGTGTGTGTGTGTGTGCGTCATTACTTGTGTTCGGCTAGCAACACTGCTCTCATGATTACATGCTAGACACTGTGCTTGTTGCCACTGCTGTTGCGGCAGCGCATTTTCGACTACTTCTGAACGTTTACTGGCAGAGGAGAACCTCTCTGACTCTTGTTACGACTACGGCTACTATTCTGCGTAGGACTATCTGCATTCCATTCGCTCCCGTTGCTGCTGTCGAACCAATCCTTCACCACCAGAACTATGAACATTGCTTTCGATTAGTGGAGACCTCTTACAAACCTGCATAACTTGTATAAATAACTCTGCTTTGTAATTAAGATGCTGTAGTCGTCACATAGTTTTCCTGATGCTCTCATGCTTGTGTTCATGATGTCTTGTGAATCGCTCTGCAAAACTTGCCGCGTGGCCTATCCTGTCATACAACTTCTTGTGTTCTAGACGTGCGTCGCATTTTCCAATGATAGTTGCGATGAAGATATCCATGGTTGCTCTGGCAGTAGTGAGGGCTTGCTCTACTACTCATCCTTGATGCCTCTCCCAAGAAGCAAAGCACCTTTGCGTGGGGCTGGCGGAGGATACCCCGAAGGCATAAAGCCAATGCCAGGAGCATCTGGCCTGCAGAGGAGACACACATTAAGGCCGACGGCCAATTTGACATGCCGAGCATGCTGCAAACAACGAACTCATCCGGGCATCATGGCCCATTTTAGAGCCATGGAACCAGCGTGAAACAACCACATCTCCATGCTGCGAGCATAGTCTGCAGGCGCCAGCCCCCACAAAATTCTCGAGGTGGGTACACATAACTAGCAGGATTGTGGCTCAGCGGGGGGGAGCTTCCCCAAATGAGGGTTGCGGGTTCAACTCATGAAACCCTGCGACGATTCGAAAGCATCGTCCTCAAGCAAGCTGGTTCATATTCTAATTAATTGCACACACACACACTCCCCAACCCCCGAAAGAAGGACACCGTTGACGTATCGAACCCCATGCTTATTATATGCAGCTCCAATTTGTGCCCAATTCGCACCCCATAGTGCACGTGTATAGCGCGCAGCTTCGTGAACCCCCCAAATCCGTGTAAAAGTTCCTGCGCAGCTGCTGGTTGCTAGGAAATGCGATTCGGACAGCTGTGGTAAGCATTTGGGGCTGAGGTGGGGAAACAGGCTCAAAGGTTTTTCACTTGGCTCGCGTCTGGACGGACGTGTCTCGCACGTGTGCCATGGCGACTCTACATCCCACAGCTACAGTCTCAACACAAAAGTGGCTCCCGATGCACAGCCTAGGTGTTGGCGTCTGCGCTTTTACCCCCGAATCCTAAACCATGAACCTATACTACAGAACTAGACTGACGTATGTTCTGCAGCACAGGACTTGCCAATCGGATGAAAGTGCGGAAACATGTCAAGCAGCTTAGAGTTGAAGGCTAAAGGATGCTAGAGGTTCACCGTCCAAGGATCCAGGGCTTGAAAGGCCAGATACATAAGACTGAATTCACGACACACAGTCTCCCAAAACATCACTTTATCAGGCGCACGACTTCTACCAACACACGATTACGCATGCGCAATTACTCATATAGCGTACTTCTGGGCTACGCCGAAGTGCTATAGTCAAGAGTAAAGCTGTATACGCGTACAAAACATAGGATACAAGGTCTAAGATTTGAGGTTACTTGCGTGTTCGTGATTAATGCTCATCGGGCTAGGGGTGCCCTGTCCACTTGCGGGCTGCCGGCACCTGAGCAAAGCTAGTTTGTTTGTTCATCGGGCTAAAAGCTTTCGCATTAAAGTTTACGTCTTCCAAATTGGTATATAGATGGTCTATAGTCAACATACCAAAAGAAGCAATTGGAGAATACGTGGACCTGGACTTCCTTTATGTCTGAAGGCATGCACCTTTCCCCGAAAGGGGTGTGTGTGGCACACCGCTGTACATGCGGGATCGTGAACTTGTGGCGTCACACAGGCAAAAGGCTACGTCCGACATACTGCGTGATTGCTTTCCGAAACACAGTTTCAACAGAAGAGAGTCTCCTGCCAACGAAGACGCTCTCAGTGCACAGTGATATGGAGATGGGACGCCATCTCCACACACCTGCAGTGATGGTTATAGATGTCCTGTAACTCAAGCTGTGTATGTGTGCATCATCGCTGTTGCTTCAACCACCACAACGACAATGCGAATGAACACCAGGTTTGTGGCAAGAGCGAGCCGCCGCAAGTCGCCGGATCAGAAAAGCAATGAAACTCACTTCAGGCGTGGGGGCTGGCTGAGGGATGACACTGTCGAAGCCAGTCCGCCTAAGTCCGCACTGGTCTCAACATTGCATCCACGAATGAGCCAAAGGCAGAACGGCAAGTTTGAAGGAGGACACAAGCCCTAGAATGATGAGGGTCCTGCGTACAACCAAAAGACTGGCACAGCTAATCAGCTGCTGCAAAAGCAGAGACAAAATTTAATACATCCAGAAGCATCTGTCAATGTCAGGAGTACGGTCAAGTTCCTGAGAGGAGCGCATGCCTGCCAAGCCCCACCAGGTACCCGACGGGGCAAGGTGCGAAAGGGTGGTAAGCTCTGTGCCCCGCGACGCTGCAAGGTGTGGCTCGTCTGTCCAAATCTCCTCCCAAGTGAGCAATTCGAGCTGGGCAGGCTCCTCCTGCAGCCGCACGTGAGCACCTCTGCGGACGCCAAGACCTGAAGAGAAATTCTTGCCTTTGGACGCAAATGTCCTCGAAATTCAAGCGCTGTTTCAGCCATCTAGGCCAGCGACCGCGAAGAAATAGATGAAGTCGGGATTACCTCGGGGTAGCTCACAAGATGGCCCTGGCCCTGCGCCGTGTCTGTGCGTGACAAGGTAGCACTGCCTCGCGGCGAACACGTCGCCGCTGTGTCAGGATCTACCATATCCATAACTTTCAGACCTGCCTCAAGCTTGAGCTGTTGTGAGCAAAACAGGCGACGAACCACGAGACGAAGACCGGCATTGGCCTGGGCGAGACATTTCACAAAACATTCTCCAGTCAATCGAACGGTTTCTGCAAAAAGCCGGCCATTGTATTCAGCGCCGAGCACTTGCTTCTCGACAAGCACGTTGCGCAAGTCTGGACCTTCCCAGAATGCCACTGCTTGCGCAGAAATCTGAGAGAAGGTGTGACTGTGCCGGAAAAACCGATCCACTAAAGGTCTGGGTGGCCCACGATGATCTCGGAGCACTTGATCGAAAGCACCCAAAGCATCGAAAACGTGCAGCTGAAAGTCCTCTACGTAGAAGTGCCTTCAGCTTCACAAGACTGCTGTGTAAGGACGGTGAAACATGAAGCGAGACCGGGACGGTGTATGTTGCCGCGTGAACGCCACGAAAGCCGCACAGGCCTTCGCAGCTGCTAGGTCTCTGGTCAGCTACGTCTCTCAATCGTGCCAGTGCAGCCGTAGAGACTGAGCCGGCACTCAGCGAATTTTTGCTAAAGGCTTGAAAGGATGCCCAGCCACTGAAGTTGTATGGTCACCAACGCTCGTCCGCTCTTCGCTGTCCGGGATCGTTGCACCGAATGCACCGAAGCAAACGAAGACCCGCAAGATGGGCCGCAACGCACTGCAACGCACTGCAGCGCGTCTGTCGCCAACGTGAAGGTGCAGGGTAACGAAACCCTCGGTTCTCGGTGCAAAAAAGCATGGTTCGCTCGTACTGTGTGTGGAAGTTTCCTCTTGTTGCTCTTCGTTTCTTCGTTTGGCCTCTGGGCTTTTGCTCGATGTGACGATCAAAGAGCGTTGCCATTAGCTGACATTCTCTCCGCGGATACCTTTCCCTCCCTCAGAGCAACAAAAGGATCTGCTGCCAATCCCCTTGCGAGGCTTTGTGATGCCCTAAAGTCCCTAAAATAAGTTTCACATGCAAATTGGCTTCCACGCATGCATGTTGCCATGAATTCACGTCAAAGCTGTTTGCCAATGCGTCTTTTCAAGCTTCAAGCACTTTCTCGACGACTTGCTTGAAAAGCTACAGTGTTTTTGAACATGTATTCCAGTTTGGGCTGTAGTCCGACAAATAGCTTTCGGCAGTTTCGGATTTTCGCATTGGGCGTTGCGCCCTTGCTGATCTCGCCAGTAATGAAATCAAGCTCCAAACTTTCAGGAACGTTAATCCACAAGAAGCAAGACGCTGGAAACTTGTGTTTTTCTTCGCGGCTTCATGGACTCTGACCAATGACCAAGTTCTCTGTTTTCTGCGACACGCAACGTTTCCCAAAACTTGGA